TTGAGCCGGAAACTTGGTGGCCGTATACATGTAGTTCTGAGTTTAGATATATGGATACAAGTATGCTGTGGCACGATCAGGTCTTGACACCTTTCTATTCTACAGCCTCAGTTCCAAATCACCCCATATCTCAAAGAATCTCTGAGGAGCTCAATTTGAAACCCCATGGGGACAAACTGCCTAAACTCGTCAGGTTCTCGAGCTCAGGCTCTTCCTTCAACGACCTAAACCAGAAAAGGATAGTTCATGGCATATCCCTCGGTCGATATTCGAATTGTAAAGTGTAATCGAAACAAATCGGCGGTGATCTAAGATCCCTGACCTTATTTTTGTGACAGTTCTAGAATATTCTTCCAATCCCTGTTTTCGCGATCGGGCATCAACCGGGATTTAAAAGCTGCGTTGGACCTGGTGAGGCTTGGGTTCGCCGTTCTGATCCTTGTGTAGTTAGTTGCCAAGAAACCTCACAAATCTCCATACTATATTCTATCTTTACTCCATGCAGTTTTACCAAGAACACGTTTTTTGTTCAAGATTCATATCATATATTTAGGAACAAAATCATAAAGCGCTTTTCTTTCATGGAGATGTAGGATTGATTTATGCCTACCTAAATCTCAGGATTCGGGGATGACGTCGAGTAAAAATTTAAAGTTTACTCAAAGAATTAATTCTTATGTAAAGGCTAACTAAAAAAAACACAATCAATTGATAACAGTGTATACGTATAAATATAAAGTTTATGACTGAAAGACAGGCTAGAGCTTTCGGGGCGAGGGGAACAGGTAAACATAGGAAACGACACTAAATATATGCTTGGTGGCCGTTTAATTTGAAGATTCCCACTGCTCACAACGCCAGCTCCACAAAATTCAATAGGGTTTCCTGCGCATCCTCTTCGAAATTGCCAATATCATCGGCTCTCTTAGTTTCCCGCTGTGCATCGCTCTTAGAACAACGGAAAACTCCATCAACGCCAACATAGATGTGGTCAGTCTGATCCCACCAAATCCTTCTTCCATCCGGACCGACTTTCATCATATCACTAAACGTTTCAGCTAGGTCGTATCTATTAAAACTCGGCAACAAGTTCAAGTTGGTTCTATGTGTCACCATCACCATCTTTGCGCCAGCCATCGCTAAAGCTTTCACAGCTTCAGTGGGTCCGCCAACCCATTGCACAGCTGGAGTGGTGGTGGTTTTGAAAGTAACACCGAACATCCCTTCGTCATTGACGTGTTCCAATATCTTCTCTAAACCAAGACCTTTCAAGCCAGAGTTTGGCATGGCATCGGGCCTAAGCCTCGAAAGGAGGTCTCCGTATCGGTTGTTGATGATCACCAATTTGGGAGTTTTTCGAATACTGCAGTAGTTTTCGACAGCATTGATAATCATAGTCACTCCGATGAGCCAAGCACGCATTATCATGAATTGGGGATCCCATGGCCTCCCGTCGGGACCGTACTTGTCCACCGCGGCAAAAGTGTTATATGCCGAATGAGGCTCGAAATAAATTCCCACGCCGAGGGCAGCCGAGTCCATGTATGGCGGGCCATTGCATAGTTCCAAGTGAGCCATGACATGCTTGTCACCGTTGGGAGAGAGCTCATAAAATTTTGTGAGTATATTATCGCTCCAAATCGATCGGGGTTCGTCTCTAGCCTCATGTTTGACTTGAAAGTTGGCCACTACGTGCGGAAACTTGAGGAAGAAATCTCTTCCCAGGAGGATGACCGGAACACGAAACCTATGGTCTGGGCTGGACGCATTGGGATCGAACAACACCGCATCATCCAGATGCAAGACCATACCAGGGGAAGGGAGATGGAAAGGGAGCCTGAAACTCAAATCGATGTTCGCTGAGTAACCGCTATCCTGGACAAGATGCGCATTCTCTCCACCGGTGCGCCACCAGTATCTCCGGTGGCAGAGCTCCACGCCATTGAGATTCTTGTAAATAAGATCCTTAACGGAATACATAACCACTGTGGTTCTAAAGAATGGAAATAGAATGAACTTGGCAGTGAAGAAGAGCGGTGGTCTGCCGAGCTTTAGATAACCTTTGAAGCCTTGGTCTTTGAGCTCTATGGGATCCTCAGCGAAGGCGATCCTTTGTTTGAGGCTGGGGTTTATGGAGGGCATAAAGTTTTCAACGATTGTATCCATTTTATGATGGGATGTGAATTTCTATAAGATTAGCTAGATGCAAGTGGGATTTTATGGGTATATCCACTTACTCTGAGGAAGGAAACAGATATGTGGAGATAGGGCTAGAGGAGAGACGCAGGGCCAATGATCACAGAGGTGGTATTCGGTTTGAATCTCTTTCTTTCTTTCTGTTGAAGGCTACACTTAGTGATTGAAGATGGATGAGGATATCACTAATACTCACTTGAGAACTGATCTGAAAACAACCCGGATGGATGAGCAAACAACAGGAGATGTGGGAAATGAAAGCGATAAACAACAAGATTCTTTCCCGTTTGTTTCAAGGAAATGTTTCTTCCAAAAGACTACTCTCCGTTGATTGAGGGCAAAGATTCAGGGGATATTTCTTCTACTCACTTGACAGCCGATATCTGGAGAATCAAAAAACAAAAAAATCCACCAAAAATAACGAGAGAAAGCTAAAGTGTGTCGTTTCTTATTTCTGAGCACCTCGGGTACGTGCTTCTCTATCACTGATGTAGAAGGAAGATGGTTCACAGTGTCTGTTGATGTGTTGTTTACAAAGCACAAAGTGAAGAGGAAGATGGGGAGATGGGGAGGAGGGATGGGGATGAGAGGAGGGACGAGGAAGAGATGGTAAGAAGCAAGGTGAGATTCAAAAAGCAGGTGAGATCTAAGAGCCGACTTGCTGAATCGCGGGCGAATTCTAGGAAGCGCCGAAGGGGCTGTAGTCAGTTTACACGCTTCACCCTCGCGCAACCACGCCCCCGTCAAAAGGCAATAAACAGCAGAGATCCCCAGTAGTATTACACTATGACCTTATTGCTCTAATATGGAATTGAATTGACAACTCTCGTCCATACATTTTGCGCCTCTAAGTGGGAATTGAGGGGACAAAACACCACGAGTGAGACGTGGTGACGCGAGTGATATGTGGTGAGTCATGCTATACAATCACAGTCTTACGGATTTCTTTGATGCTCCCTAGAATTGGACGGGGTGAAAAGCGGTGTAGAAACAATGACATACTGCATGCACCTTCGGCTTCTTTGTTCACCTGGTCACCCCGTCTTTGTGCATACATCAACGAGTCGGCCTTAGCCACAGGCGTTCGGGTGCGCCCGCTCAAGCGAGTCTGCCTATTGGCAGACAGGGCTTATAGGTGCACCACACTCCGTGATTTATTTTGGTTAGTGTTGGTCTCGTCTCGATCTTTCATTAATCAGTACATAGTCTGGTAAGGCCTCTCCTTAGCTAGGGAGACTCTAAGAACGGTGCCTTGGTTTTACCTGAACTCCACCTCATCTCCTGTCACCCCACCGTACCGTCGTAGTTGATGCGGAATCATATGTGCACAGACTTTTCTGACTTAGTGGTTATGCGCTACAAAATTTCGTTGATGCAAAATGACACTATTCGCTGTCTACTCGACTTCACGCCGAGAGCACAAAGACATCGGGCAAAGCCGTAATAAGGGTCGATTCCCAGTCCCACTTTCCTCCTCTAGAGAAATCAAAAATCAAGATAGCCTCCTAATTAAAAAAACTTTCAAAAGATTCGACAAAAGGTACTGCAACGACGTCTTGTTGTCCGTTACTACCCCCACCCCTGGTTTGAACCTAGGACCTTGTATCCTAGGTAAACACTCGGTGTCTAGCCCGACGAGCAGTCTAACCACTAGACCACTCGCCCATGGTGGATACTGCGCTGGAAGTGATCATTGAGCTTAGCAGAGTGCCAAGATGAAGCAGAACCCCTAACCCTTCCGTAAACTTTATTATTGTGGCTACGAACGACCAAAGATTCAACCACCGCACCTCACCGGCACTCCATGTATTCCATGTATACCCCACGTGGGCAAAAGTCTACAGTACTTACTACGACCGGGTATAGGTGCCGGCACATCCCCCACGCTTTCATGCCCATCCCACTAATCTATAACACCCAACTGGCCACCGTGCATTGCACTGAAGGAAGATAAACGCCCCACTTGAGCATCAGTGGCCGTGATATAAGCCCTATATAGATTAAATCCTCTACCTTAAGTCCCTCCCAACGGTAGGAAGAAGACAAGAGTGGCTAGCGGGGATGCGGCCATGCGGCGAGACGTGCACCCTTGATCCCCGCCCTAGTGCACCGTTATCTCCCTAAGTAAACACCTTAAAAGCAGAACCAGCACAGGTTCATATCTGTTTCCCAGAGTTCGTCTCGTGGGACATGTATTTGTGCCAGAACCTTGCTAGGTGGGAACACCGAGAGGGGAAGGGGTGGGCGGTTGAGGGAGAAGTGGAGTGGCTTCGAGGCAGTAACTTGTCATGTATTAATCCATCTAAGCAACACAAACCCGCTCTAATTCATTGTTTCGGACAAACCGCACATGGTTCATTTTTTATTCATCATCACATCCTGTCTGCTTCCCTTTCCTCCCCTCCGCTTCCTCCCACCACCACATCCTCCCACCAAGTCTCGCTCACCCGCCATGCCGCACTCCATATATGTAGCGCAAAAAGCAACCAATCAGCAACCACATAACTACATAACATATAGCTCATTTAGCCACCTCCACCTGCAACAGCGGCCATCAAAACAAGTCGAACTCGAACTCGAACTCGAATTTCTCCAGCCCAAGTTCACAGTAAACGTAAGCGTAAACATAAAACGTAAAAAGAGTTTTGAAAAAAAAGTTTGAAAAAAAAGATCCGAAAAAAAAGAAAAAAAGGTACGTAGTATAAGTATCCCCCCAATACAAGCAAAATCAAAAGCAAATTACTCTAACCTAACTAACGACATGTGCCTCCATGCCCCCGCCCCCAATAACCCCAGTTTTTGATTTAATTTCTCACACTGACTCCACTTCTCTGACTGAACATTCTTGCGGCAATGTTCATACTTGCCAGTTCCTGGAAGAGAAGCTTGGCGGCATAGGGGAGGTGGATTTGGGAAATTTTTGTCTTGTTCTTGCAGGGTCTGCATTCGAAGAGGTTCTTTTTGAGGTTTCTATATATATATAGTCTCATTAGTACACCGCCCTATCGCAAAAGTAAAAAGAGAGGAAAGAGAGAAAACTTACGCAATCGGCGTCATCAATCCACACAGATCACAGATATGGACCCTAAACGCATCGCTAACCTCGAACAACCTCTCTTTCAAAAACGCACTCGCACCATGCGCAATCATACAATCTCTCTCCATCTCTCCGAAACGCAGACCACCGTCTCTGGCCCTACCCTCCACGGGCTGCCTCGTCAGGATCTGCACAGGTCCTCTGGCTCTGGCGTGGATCTTGTCGTCGACCATGTGTCTCAACCGCTGGTAGTAGGTCGGTCCCAAGAACACCTGGCACACCAACTTTCGGCCTGTGTAGCCGTTGTACATGACCTCGAAACCACGGCTCTGGTAGCCGTTCTGGCGCAGAAGTGTGGACACGGACTCGACAGTGACGTCGGTGAACGGTGTAGCGTCGCCCTCAAAACCACGAAGGGAAGAGACCTTCGACAGCTGGCACTCGATCAAATGGGCAATTGTCATACGGGACGGAATGGCGTGGGGATTGATGATAAGATCCGGCACGATACCCTCGCAGGTGAACGGCATGTCCTCCTGTCTGTAGGTGATACCGACGGTACCCTTCTGCCCGTGACGAGAGGCGAATTTGTCTCCAATCTGAGGGATCTTGGTAGTTCGCATACGGACCTTGACGAACTTGAGACCCTCGGCGTTGGTGGTAAGCATGACCTGGTCAACGATACCGTTTTCGGTACTACGGAGGGGCGTGGAGACGTCACGCTTTGTGTGGAACTTTTGTCGCTGACCCATCTCGTCGACGTCTGGCGCAATAGGTGCCGTCTTTCCAATGATGATGTCCTCTCCGGATACACGTACTCCCGGAGCCACAAGACCGTCCTCGTCAAGCTTATCATATGTTCCGTGCTTAAGCTTCAATGTGTTGGCACGGGTCGGCTTCTCGAACTCTTCCACAACCTGCATACCAATACGCTTCTCCTGGTCCATGTACGAACGGTAGAACAACGAACGGAAGAGCCCACGGTCAATCGACGACTGGTTCATAATGACGGAATCTTCCTGGTTGTACCCAGAGTAACACAAGATAGCGACAATGGCGTTCTGCCCAGCCGGCAGCTCTCGGAACTTCAGGTACTCCATAGAACGTGTAGTAGCAAGCGGCTTCTGCGGGTAGTACAGAATGTTCGCCATGGTATCCATACGCTCTGCAAAATTGGTAAGGAACACACCCATAGCTTGCTTACCCATAGCAGACTGATATGTGTTACGTGGAGACTGGTTGTGATCGGGGAAGGGAATGATACTGGCGCAGATGCCCAAGATCATACTGGGATGAATCTCACAATGTGTCCATGTGTGCGCTGTGTGGGGGTTGATCGGCGCCTTGACACGCTTTGCGCTGAACTCGTCCTTAGGCTCCTCATAACCTAGCTGCATCTGCCTACTCATGTCTAGATCCTCGGGAGTCATGACAATCATGACTGTCTCTTCTTCCTCAGCATCCAGGTACTCGACGGTACCACCAAACAGCAGACCCTCCCATCCGAATCGGTCCTCCATGGGCAGCGCATGATCGTCTTCCAACTTCTCGATATGCTCCTTCTGGAGTACCAGCTGTCCTCTTCTCTCACTTCGCGGGTCATTATCAATGACGAACAACGGCCTACACACACGTCCCGCATCCGTAAAGATCTTGAACTCTCTATCACGAATATCCCTGATAATGGAGACTTCATGATTAACAACACCCTGCCTTCTGACGTCCTGGACAACCTTGTGCAACATAAGCGGGTCACGGTGCGTTCCGACCCAGACACCATTGACGAACACCTTTGTCGCATTCGGTGATCTCTGTGGCTCATACTCCTCAAGCAATTCCATATCGTTCGATGACAAAAAGTCCACGAGCGGGTATCCGGGTGTTCCGATAGTGATATATGACATAAGTGACAAGTTCTTGACGAGACCACATGCCTGACCCTCGGGCGTTTCGGCAGGGCACACAAGTCCCCAATGGGTGTTGTGGAGCTGGCGGGGCTTTGCGATCTTACCGTCACGTCCGATAGGCGTGTTGGTTCGTCGCAAATGGGACAGTGTGGACGCAAAAGTATATCTGTTAAGCACCTGCGACACACCGGCCTTTGAGCTGGCGGCCTTCTTTTGCTCACCCCAGTTACCGGTGGCGAGCGAGTATTTGAGTCCGTTGGTGATTGTGTTGCTCTTGACTGCTAGCGTGAGATTGAAGTCCTTGCCTGTCTCGACACACTTCTCCAAGTACTTGTAGACATCCTTCGTAAGCTTCTTCCACAGGGTCCTGAACAGACCAGCAAGTAGCGGTCCCGCAAGATCGAGTCTCTTCTTCCCAAAGTGATCTCTGTCGTCGACCTCTCTTCGCTCCAAGGCACATTGCAACATCCTGTGCACCATGTATCCCAAGAAGAACGCCTTCCTTGTCTCACTCCCCTCGCTCTGTGAGATATGCGGGAGAAGCTCCTTCTGCATAATATCTCTAGCGTAACGGATACGCTTCTCCTTGTTAATACCCTGGGAGCTACCACGCTTTCCGATAAAGTCAAGCGCGACCTCTCGGTCCTGGATGACGAAAGCCTCTTCGATACATGGCTTCATCATCTCGAGCATCTGCGTGTCATTTCTGTCGTAGCAGACGTGGTTGAGGATATCCTCGTCGGACACAACCCCGAGGGCTCTGAACACAATGACAATGGGGATGTCACTCTTGATGTACGGGAGTGTACTCTTAATGGTCGCATTATAACCACCTCGGGCTTCTCCCTTTGAGTAAAGCTTGATCTGCATACTGGAGATCAACCGGGAACCCTTCTCCACCGCGGACCTAATCTCGGCCACATACGGCGTTGGTGATGGCAGCGCCTTCTTGAAAACCTGGACGATATTCGCCGCTGACCGCTCCTGCGCAATCAACACCTTTTCGGATCCGTTAATAACGAAGTATCCACCCTGGTCGTAGGGGCACTCGTTCAGCGAATACAGATCCTCCTCTGCAAAGTCCTTCAAGATGCAGTAATGACTCTTCAGCATTACCGGCATCTTTCCAATAAAAACCTTTGTCGCCTCCATATCCTCATCCTCAACCTCCCACTCATATCTGACCCGCTCCTTCACCGCCGTGCCGCCCTCCTCCTCGTCCTCCTCATCGCTCCCGACCTCCACCTCCCGCGCCACCATAACCTTCTTCTTCAGCTCGCAGTACATGGGCGCGCTGTACGTCAGATTGCGCAGCCGCGCCTCCTGCGGCAGCATGGGCTGCGTGCTGCCATCACCTTCGGTCATGGTCGGCCGCGACAGGAAGCACGGCCCGAAATTGATCTCGTAGCGGCGGAGCACGATGCCGTCGTCGCTCTGGGGCGTGTTTTGGTCGAGCGTCAGAACGCTGTCCTCTTCGATCATCTCGACCATGGTGGTGCCGACGAACTCATCGAACGAGTCGAGCTGCTGCGAGACGAGCCCCTTCTGGTCGAAGAAGGCGGAGATGACTACGGCGGGAGGGTCAATTTCATGGCTGCAGTGGGGAAGAGGGAGGGGGAGGGGGGGAGATGGAGAGAGTGTGTACCTTGCCAGCAGTCTTCCGCAGCAATGTCGTCATTGTAATCCGCGTCAGCCATGATGGTGAGGCCGCTACTCTACGGGGGAGAGGAGAGGGTCCGGTGGTGAGTTTCGTGAGTTCGTTCCGTGGATTGAGGGGCGAATCTCGCGTGTCTAGTATAGAATTGAAGGTAGCAGGTATTCTGCTACAAAGGCGTGTAGGAGGGGGAGGCACGGCGGAACAGGAAGAGCAAGAAAAGCAAGCTAGAAAAGAGCAGAGCAGGCTTTGGGGATACGTGGGGCTGTATCCTCGGGCTGTCTCTGATGGGGGAGGGGAGTGTGTGGAAGTGAGAGAAGAGAGCCAGATAGAGCTTTCCTTTCCCTTCTGGGGGTTGCGGCTACGCTTTGTCTTGAGGCTTGGCCAAGCCAACCATCCGTGCCAAGACGGGGTTGCTTTTGTCAGCAGCAGCCGGCGGACGGAACGACGCGATGGCAACTGCTGATCTCTGGCCGCCAGTGTGGGAAACGCGTGGATGGAGCGAGAAGGGGCATGATGGATTGCTTCTAGATGGGAGGTTCTGCTACAGGCCCAATTGCGGGATGGGGCGTCGCGCGTGAAAAAGATCACAATAGAGTTGAAGATATGATATTTTTCGCGATAGATACTCTAGGTAACCTATTCAAACTCCCCAGACAATATAAAAAAAAAGAATCATTGCTATGAATTACACCACAAAACCCAGCAGCTTACATGTTGTTCGATTCCCACGCAAATCGCCACCGACAACAACTCCCAAGCAGAAGTAGAGATTGGAGGAAAAACTAATACTATATGGCCTCATCATGCTTACTCAACTCAACTCACATAACAAATAAAAAAACACATATGGAAGAAAAAAAGCCAGGTTTTCTTTTCTTTCTTCGTCTTGCTCTTGCTACCTTCCCCGTTTCATCTCAACCTATAAAAAAAAATGTTCCTGCGGGAGCTAGGTGAATTATGCGGTCTTAAAGAGGAGGACAGCGAGGTTGCCGACATAGAAGTATATAAAGTGCTTAGTCTCTTTACGTATCCAATCCATTAGCAGCCACCCATACACTCTCGAATTCTCGAATTGAGGGAGGGGGATATATACCGTGGGTGACAAAGCTTCCAAAATTCCTGCCGACAATGCAGTGCCATGTGTTGCCGTGCTTTTGGTCAAACTGCGTGTAGTTTGTAAGCTCCTGTCTACAGTGAGAGGGGAGGTGGCTAGGGGGGTAACTAACCTCCTTCTTGATGTACTGGGCAATGTCCTTCTCGACGTTGTTTGTGAGGACGGCTGCCTTGGCTATAGTACGGTGTTATATTAGCAGCTGGAGGCAATAGTAGTGGGGAGGCCCCCCGGGGGGGGGGGGGGGGAGGTGACGGGGGCGTGAGGGAGGAGATAGTAATACCAATTGAGAGAGCTTCGGCCTCCATCTCTTCCGTCTACATGTCCGTCTACAATGTTAGAGCTGTGCCAGTGTCACCTTGGAGCGTCCGTTGCTTTCTCGTACCATATCTACGCTCTTGACTTGTGCTGTTGGACAGTCAGTTTAAACCGTGTAGCCAAAGTGAGTTTTGGGGGGGGGGGGGGGGGGGGGAGGATCTTACTCTTCTGAGCTGCGGGCTCGTTGCTTGAGGCTAGAGTCGACATTGCTGGTGGGTTATGGACGAGTGATTGATAGGTTGGTTGTGAGGATATAGAGAGGACTGGGTGGTAGTCGTAGTGGTAGCAGTTAAACGAGAGAGACGAGTGATGATAACAAAGAGAGGATAATGTGTGGGGGGTGGGGAGGGATGTGGAGAGATGAAGAAGGGGGCCTTTGTTTCCTTAGCAGTAACAGCGGTAAGTGCTAGTAGCAGTAGGGGGAGAAGAGTAGAAGAGGGAGAGGAAGGGAAGCGATCGAAGAGGCCTCTGCAATCTAGGTAGTAGTTGTTGAGATTAAAGCCAGAGAGAGGCCCCGACACCCACGCAGCCCTCTCCCCCCCTAGTAGCACCATGTTATATGCAGCACATCACTGTTCCGTTCTTTCTTTTCTTCGGGGCCAATTAATCCAGGCCCTCTGCTCTACTGATGGGGATTATATTATTTACTCTGCTCTCGGTGTTGAATTCGCCATATCACCTCTCTCTCTCGCCCTCTCTGCTCTCTGGTCTGCCCGCTCACTCGCTCCCCCTGAGATTCTCGCAAGTTCCTTTGTTAACAGGCCATGCATGCGCAGACGAGGGATTGGCCATGGGGAATTACGTAACCCGGTGCTTATCATGCAGCCTCACTCTAAAAAAAAAATCCATGCTTGAGGAAAACCACAAAAAAAAAGTATTCGCATCCAACCACCAACCACTGCGTTCATTCATTGATCGACCAGCCAGCCAGCCAGCCCAGGTTCCAAACTAAACCACCACCACAAAAATTTCATCCAAACCACCATTAAAGGCCCCAAATCTCAGCACATCACAGACAGACAGACAGACCCATTCCCAATTGACCCTCTTCAAAACCACCACCACCCTCTCTCCCTCCCCCCCCCCCCCCCCCAAATCTGCCCGGAAATGTAAGCTTCCTTCCCCACGATCCCTCCCTCTCCCACCCGTTCTGCGGCAGCAGCAAGCAACTCACACACACACAACAACAGGTCAACACGTATCTTTGTCCGCGGCCTCCCCCCCACCTTCACCGAGTCCGACTTCCGCGCCCACTTCTCCGCGCAGTCGCCCGACGCAATAACAGACACCAAGCTGATCCCGTCCCGCCGCATTGGGTATGTGGGCTACAAGACGAACGCCGAGGCCGAGCGCGCCGTAAAATACTTTAACAAGACCTTTATCCGCATGTCTCGCATCTGGGTTGAGCTCGCGCGCCCTGTACGCCACCTCCACCTCCCTCTCCCACCCACCTTCCTTCCCCCACTAACACTAATTGTGCAACAATAATAGGTCGCAGACGCAGAGCTCCCGAGAGCGTGGAGTAAGCATACCCCCGGGTCTACAGCGTACAAGCGTAAACATGAAGCACAGGAGGCCGCCGCCGCTGCTAAGACGGACGGCGCAAAGCGGAAGAGAGGCGAAGAGACGGCGCCGGCGCCGGAGGACCCAAAGCTGAAGGAGTTCTTGGAGGCAATGGCGCCAGCATCCAAGTCCAAGACGTGGGCGAATGAGGATCTGACGACATTTGGACAGGGCGCGGCGGCGCCGGCAATGGATACTGTTGCGGTGGTAGAGGCGGGAGAGAGCGACGATGAATATGAGAGTATTCCGGTCAAGAAGAAGGAGAAGAAGGAGCCGAAGGAAAAGGCGCCGGAGAGCAGGCCGCAGGAGGATGTGGAGATGGGTGGTGCTGGGGAAACGAAGGAGACTGAGGCGGTAGAGGCGGAACCGGCAGCACCAGTGTCGGATGCGGACTGGTTGAGGTCCAAGACGAGCCGATTGTTGGATCTGACGGACGATGTGGATGCGGAGATCGCGAGAGTGTCGCTAAACGATACTACAACTACCCAGGCGCCCCCACTAAGAGCTCCGGCCGCACAGAGCGAATCCGAGGAATGGAAAGGCATTGACGAGGAAATGACTGAACCCGCTAAAGCCGAAGAATCAGAGGAAGAGGAGAAAGGCACAACCGAGGAAGAAGCCGCCTTTGAGACGATATCCAAGAGCGGGCGACTATTCCTACGGAATTTATCATATTCGGTTACCGAAGATGATCTTCGGGAACATTTCAAAGAGCACGGCGATTTGGAAGAGGTAAGATTTCCACTTTTGGGGCGGTTGCGGTCAATGATTGATCTACGACCAATGATCGCCAAATCATTTTTCCCAGCAGCTAACAACCATCAGGTGCATCTCCCAATTGATAACAAAACCAACGCCTCCAAAGGCTTTGCCTACGTCCAATACACAAATCCTATCGACGCCGTCGAAGCCTTCAAGCACCTTGACCGCAAGATCTTCCAAGGCCGCCTCCTACACATCCTCCCCTCAGCCCCGAAGCGTGAGAACCGCCTCGACGAATACGCCCTCTCCAAGCTCCCTCTCAAAAAGCAACGCGAGCTTAAGAAGAAAGCCGGTGCCGCAACATCTCAGTTCAACTGGAACAGCATGTACATGAGCGCCGACGCCGTCATGTCCTCCGTCGCCGACCGCCTCGGCGTGCCCAAAGCCGAGCTCCTCGACCCCACCTCCTCCGACGCCGCCGTGCGCCAGGCCCACGCCGAAACCCACGTCATCCAGGAGACCAAGGCCTACTTCCGCGCTCAGGGCATCGACCTCAACACATTCAACAAGAAGGACCGCGATGACAAAGTCATCCTCATCAAGAACTTCCCCTACGGCACCAAGATCGACGAGCTCCGCAAAATGCTCTCCGAGTTCGGCCAGCTCGGCCGCGTCCTCATGCCCCCCTCCGGCACCATCGCAATCGCAGAATTCCTTGCCGCCCCCGCCGCCCGCGTCGCATTCGCAGGCCTCGCCTACCGCCGCTTCAAAGACAGCGTCCTCTTCCTCGAGAAGGCTCCCCGCGGCCTCTTCACCGCCTCTTTCGACCCCACGCAATCCAACCCCAACGCCACGCAGCTCGCCGCCGCAGCCGCAATCTCCTCCGCCGCCAAGGACGCAAAACTATCCGCCGGCGACCTCCTCAGCACCGAAGACGCATCCGCCGACACCTCAACCCTCTTCGTCCGCAACCTCAACTTCTCAACAACTAGCGCCCTCCTCGCAGACACGTTCCGCCCCATCGACGGCTTCATGTCCGCGCGCGTCAAGACCAAGACGGACCCCAAGAAGCCCGGCCAGGTTCTCTCAATGGGCTTCGGCTTCGTCGAGTTCCGCACCAAAGCCGCGGCCGAGGCCGCCCTCTCCGCAATGGACGGCTTCGTCCTCGAGGGCCACAAGCTGCTCATCAAAGCCTCGCACAAGGGCCTCGACGCCGCCGCCGAGCGCAAGAAGGCCGACACGGCAAAGAAGGACGCCAGCAAGCGCACAAAGATCATCATCAAGAACCTGCCCTTCGAGGCCAGCAAGAAGGACATCCGCGCGCTATTTGGCCACTACGGGACGCTACGCACCGTGCGCGTGCCAAAGAAGTTTGGTGGCGCGACGAGGGGTTTTGCGTTTGCGGAGTTTGTGACGAGTCGGGAGGCGGAGGGCGCGATGGAGGCGCTGAAGGATACGCATTTGTTGGGCAGGAGGCTGGTGCTGGAGTATGCGGCGCAGGAGGCGGCGGATGCGGAGGAGGAGATTGAGAGGATGGGGGAGAAGGTGGCGAGGCAGACGGGCGCGGTGGCGCTGCATAAGTTGAGGGCGGATAGGAAGAGGAAGGTGGAGATTGCTGGGGATGGGGGCGTGGAGGAGGAGATGTAGTGCGTTTGAGGGTTTGGTTTGTGTTTATCTTGTATATAGCAAAAGTTTTATGGGATAGGGGGTTCATAATAGTAATGATTTTTCCCGCGCTTCTTGGCTTGTTTTGGGCTTTGAGCCCAGTTGTAGAATAACTTAGATATCACAGAAAAGAGAGGCTTCGGACCATATTTCATGCTAATATATACACATTCTTTGGAATCTTAAGATGAGATGTGCTCCTTTTATGAGCAAAGGTACAGAATACCCACCCAAGTCCTATGCCAATACAAAGCGCCCCTGTTGTTGGAATAACTAACGATATAGCAAGCACTCTCGCAAGGTCAATCATATTCACCCATTAAAGCCGTACAAGAGCCGATCAGGGCTTTATCCTGTTATGGAGAACATCTATATATCAGTCCAGCAGTCTCCAAGGTCGAGTGAGAGCTCATGATGAAGCCCACCTGTGTCCACGATCAATCACAACAACGAAGGGTAACTATAGATGGGTTAGAGATTTGTACATCCAAACATTTCTACTAAAGCACAGGAACATAATGAGTGTTGGTGGTGATAGCACGTAAATCTTGGCAGAGAGAGGGAGCGAGTGATATTTTGTGAATCTGGAATATGTGCCGCCGGTATATTCAATCTGTAGGAAGACCTCTATAGTGAATGATCCATGATACATAGAGAGTTTTTTTGTTCATTTTTTGTATGAATCCTTTGAACGTGGATTTATATCCTTTTCATTTTTTCTTTTATGTTGCGTGCGGAGGGAGGGAGGACCGGTCAGGGTTAGGTGGGGATATGGGTGTAATTTACCAAACCTTAGTACCAAGCCCGTATCAAAACTTTAACTTTCAAGCTTATGTGGGTCGACTGTAATGCCCTTTCGTCTTTAGAGAGGTCGATTTGTCACGTAGACATGCAAGCACCTAAAGACCTGACCTCGTACCCCCCGTTTTGCGATTTGCGATTATCGTGCCCAGAACTCTGCTGTGACTCCCAAAACGATTGGGTTTGGGAAAGAACCCACTGAAAAATCTAATGCCTAGAGCTGTGATTCCTCGTAGATGGATCGAACTCACCATTCGATGATAGGTACACACGTCCTGCCACGATCATCACCATTAGGAAGCCAGAGGGAAGCCGTTGCATGCGCCCAAGCCCTCACGGTTCCACTTGAGTCTGTACAGGAGCTTACGTGGGGAAAGACTCTTTATCGCCTGGCTATATACCATGAGATCGAATACCAGAAATGTATACGTAAGGTTTAGATACTAGCCTAAGTAGAGTTATGAGTATTGTGATCCAGCAGGATCCGGACCAGAAGGACAGGAAGGACGAATGACTTTTTCCCATCTAGATACAGGTCCATGAGGCCTATGTACACAAACCTCCCCACCAGATTACACAGGAGAGGTTTTAGTTATTGTGACGAGAGGGCTTCCTGCCCAGTGCTGTGGCGGTGATTGAGCTCGTGCTTTGAAAGTGTCTCTATGTTGGCTTTGCTCTGTAATTTGTTCTAGCCAATGTCTCATGAGAATTCTCTAACAATCCTACCGGGATAGCTCACAGGGAGTGGTGGTGGAATAATGGACTAGCAATAGGTGGTCAGATAAACAAACCAAGTACTAGCCGACGAAGGGAAGAGCCAGCAAGCTGGATCCATCTCGAAGTGCCTCCTCTGTGGCAAAAATAACTTTTCCAGGTGGCTACATGTATCCTTAGAGAAAACTTCGATTAAGAGCAGTCAACTCCATCCATTTTTCCAACAACCAGATGCCGTCCAGCTCATCGTTAGTAAAGTATCCGTCTCGCGATCGTCACAAAGTACGCCCTAGCTTGCTCCTCTTGAAGGATCCGATGTAGGATTCTGAGAAGAATATTAAAGTAGCCAGTTAATTCGATAACCAAATGTCGTCTTGTTCAGTGTGCACAGAAATGTGCACTTAATCTTACCCGAAACTCGACCTGCATCCACTTCTTCACTATGATCTCGGCCCCAAAACAAACCAGATTTACATACCGCGACAAGTGCACTTCCATTAACGTTCTTTCACAATTACAATTATCCTAAAAACAAAAGACAACACAAAAAAATACGGTCTAGATGGTCCGCTCCATGCGTGTGTACGTAAGAATAGTCCTCCTTCTCCTTCCCTCCAAATATCAACGCCCCCAACCGTATGCCTCCTATCTCTACAAGGTCTTTGCACACTCATTAAACTTGCTATCTTTGCAGGCTGTATCAGTGGTCCCACATCCCGTCGTCGTACCACTGCGTGCATAAAACCCATCAGCATATATCCAACTAGAAGAAAGGGGAAAGAGAGAGAAGAATAAACATACATGCACTTCTTGCAGTTCGCCGCAAACTTTGTCGAGTCGTTGCTGTCAATCCTGTAGAACGCGATCCCCTGCGGCGTGTCGTAGGACACGGTCAAACAGCTCGTATACTATCAATTATATCAGCGAGTGCTTCACCCCAGGGACAGAAGAGGAAGGCATACGCTCAAGGCCTGTGCACTATCGGCCGGTGCTGGTACTGGTGCTGGAGCAGCATTGATGAGCGCGGCGAGAGAGAGGAGGAGTATGGTCGTGAGCTGCATTTTTGATGAGTGTTTTGGGGGGGTGTGGTTGTGGGGTGGTTTTTATTCACAAACTGACAGCTTAGCAGACAAATTGATAGACAGAGTGACAAACAGGCAGCATATATATATATGTGTGCTCGAGCTCTTAGCTAGGAGACTAATAGGAGATATCGATATCAACACCACAGTATCTACATACATATTGCCCGATTGTGCGATGTCTTGAATGTCGCGCGGTCGGTATGCAGGACCACGTATAGCGCGTACGCCTAAACCCTTCAGCCCCGTATCGGAATGGGGCTATCGCGGGCTTTTGGCAAATATTGTTTTCGCTCAAGTGAGTCGAAAAAAATTGGTAGAGCAATCATTGGCTATGAGTTTTGTATGCATTCTTTTCTGGGCTGAGGTAGGTAAGTAGGCACAGGGATATTTGCGGGGGGGAAGCGAGTACGAGCACCTGTTTTGGCCTTACGTGCGGTATAAATAGAGCGAGATAGCTACATGTACCCAAGCTAGTGACTAATATATATTTGCGTGCAGCGCAGGAGAGCGAGATCTACTCTACCCAGCCTAGCTAGGCCTGGGCTATTCACTAAATAGTAGAATCGAGTAAAAAAAAGTCGACCCTATTTCCCAAAGACGAGGATACACTACCATGTCGATCATCCAGCTTGCATGATATCCAAACCCAAGGCTGAAAAGCTGCCCAAAACAAGATCTTACCTTATCATCATGTGCACCACCCAATAACCCAGCACCGCACAACCGATCCCACTCAGATATATATTTACAACTTCCAGCTCCACTCTATTCCACGTTTCTATTCTTCCAATTGGAACGTCGCCGTGTGCTTTTAGTTAGGGCTGCCTATATCCAGATCCGATCCCTGTAGTTGCTTGCTCTAGTTACACCCAGAGGAATGCTGACATGCCAGCTGGCCGCCGACCGACCCGGGTAAGGAAGGGTAAGGGTAAGTAGCGTAGCAAGCTAGGGTAAGGGTACGTCATTCCTGCCTGCCTGGAATCGAGGTCATCAGAGTAAGGCTCGAGAGGGTTGGTCATGGGCTCTTGGCACGGGCGGTGAGTGATCGCTTGTGAAGTAGTCGTTGGGCGGGCTTGTGGTTTCACGTGATAGGCTGTGGGCGTGCTGGAACCCTAACCCATTGGTTTGTGGGTTGATCTAGCTCTTAAACCACGGACCCGAGTATTCGGGGTAGGCGAATAGCAGCGGGCAGTATATGCAGGTTTCTAGTCGTCAATGGTCGCGTTAATTTCTACTAAAACTAGGTATCTGGGCGCAGGTGGCAACCGAAGGTAGGTAGTAGAATATTCTGGAGGGTTAGGGGTGGATGGGCGTAAGGGGGTAGTATATATTAAAGGGTGCGACCGCCCACTTTTGTGGTAACCTTCTTTACCGATAAATTTTACAGCAACCGTAACAATAGGTATGTAGGTACTCTGGCGTATATACGCCAGCTTTTGCTACTTTGTGCACAACATCCCTGCAAATTATATAATCGGATTATATAAGCGATTATATAATCGATTACATAATACAGTGTTTTTGAAAATGCATTTTTCGAGATAAAAATAAGGTCAGACAAGTTGTAATTATATACCTTTTGCCTGTCCCGAGTACTTTAGGACTGCATGTAGTGTATACACCTAACCCTACATCGGCTGGCTCAAGTGAAAAACGAACCGAAACCTATCACCATGCCTTAGTGTAATGAACACTAGCCTATTATTCAAGTAATTAAGTAAAACAACCTCCCATAAGGTGGTAGATTCGTTTCCCACCTTGGACTTTGGGGGATAGTGAATTGATCACTCATCATCTCTCTCTCTCTCGAGTGAAAATTTATTTTATGTGCATGCCCCATCCGGCTGCATCTCCCGGCTACATGTTAATTGTTTTGCATATATCTCCCATCTACCAGAATTACACCCCCAGCTAGGCCACGTTTAGGACCGACCCTCAAGGTCATCCATCCACCAGCGAATACGGGCTAGATCATGATTCATGGTTTGAAGCGAATCTAAACAGAACCTTTGGATTAGAATTAGAGTATACCCACCGGTATAAGGGCTGGCACACTTGACTCTTGGGGAATGGCCAGGAGTCATAAACTTGTAAACTTGTAAATACGATGTAAGCTTATAAATACAGTGTTAGCTTATAAATACATGTACAGTGTAAGCTTATAAATACAGTGTAAACTTTGAAACCGGGAATCGTGAACTGTATGTAAAGAAAATTTCGAAACTCGGTATTTCTTTTTTTTTTTTTGTTTAATTCATTAATTTCGAAACTCGGTACGTAGGTAGGTGTAGGTACTGGGGGTGCCCACCTACCTCGCGGCCGCGAGTTTATATATACTTTGGATTATGGGTATTCAATAATTGTGGAAGGCCTTCAATGGGGGGTGCTGTACTTCGGTGATAATGGATTCACTTTTTTGTAACAGACACTTGGTTAACCCTTACCTACCATAGTCTCTATCTTCTTTTTCTCTAAGGCTCAAAAAGCTATATTATATCACGTCCGACTTAATCCTGTTCGCCTCCTTCCGCAAATAGGATTTGTGACGCATTGGGTTAATTCATTCTACTCCTCCTTCTGCTGGTAGGTGTGGGCGGTGTGAACAATGCTGAGGTATATGCTTGACGGCCCGAACTCTTTGGATCTTGTGGTATATAAGACCTTTGCCGGTGATTTGATCGATTGGTTTTCTGTACTGGTGAATATAGATTTGGAGATTAGGGTATTGGTATTGGGTGTATATAGTTTGGGAACAGCAATGGGGGAGGGGGGTTCAACGATTCAAGTGCCGTATTTCACAGGATCAGTGCAGATATGATGGTGATATCAATCAAGCTGATAATGCCCACTGCTTTGGAGTGGGGGTTAAAGCATAAGCCACAAGCCAGCTACAATACTTGTAGGCAGTAACTACCTTTGGGGGCCGAAACATCCAGTGTATTCATATGCCTCTCTACAAACATCACGGAAAGCCTACAAATACCCATATTCTACATGTACCCAACCACTAATCTACTATAACTTCGCCTTCTCTCCTACCACCCCCACACTCTCCCCCTCCGGCAGTCCCAGAAACGCAAACATATAATGGAACCTATCGCTACCAAAAAACACACTCCTCTCCCCCTTCGAATTCGTCACCACAAACCACGGCGCGCCAAACGCCCCGCACTCTAGCGCCTCCTTTGTATTATCCTGCAGTCCCTTCTTCCACCTGGGATCCTCCGCCGCCTGCAGCACCTTTTCCAGCTCGCCCGCGGCGGGGAATAGCGGCGCCCAGACAGTGGAGAGTAGCGTGGGCTGGGAGATGTCGGTGTCGTTTTCCCAGAGTGCTACCCAGGCGAGGCGGAAGGCTTCGTGGTAGACGGTAGGGTGGTGCGCTTTGATGTAGACGAGGCCGCGCTGGGGCTGTTGTGGGGGCTAGGTTAGCTTAGGGTTCAAGGTGAGAGGTTGGAGGGGAAAAAAATAAAAGAGGGGGGGGGGGGGGGGGTACGCGGAGGGTATTAGTGGGGAAGACGCTGGGGCGCTTGATGAGGTTTGGGAGGCCGAAGTAGCGCTTTGCATGCTGGAGATCGACGTTGGAGTAGGCGGCTTTGGCGGGGACCATCCATGGCGGCTGGTTCCCGCTGCCGGCGTTGATGCCGCCGAGGAAGATGGGAATGAAGTCTAGTTCGATGTTGTGCGCGGTGAGAGTGGCCTGGTGCTTGAGGAGGTGGGTAAAGGCGAAGTAGGAGTATGGAGATACTGGGAAGAAGCGTTAGTAGGTGAGGTAGGTAGGTATGTAGGTGAGGGGAGGGGGGGGTACCGCAGTCCAAGTAGCAGGTGATCTTTGGCGACATAGTTGTGCAGATGGTGTAATGAATTGAGGACCTGAGGTTGTGGTTAAGAGGTTATATGGGAATACCTAGAAGGACATGTACATAGCTAATTGTTGCTTCGTGAGCTTTGGAACTTAGAGCTCGGTTAGTCTGGCCGGGATTAGTAAAGCTGAGGTGCAGCCGAGGCTTAAGTGGACCCTGCAGATCTGCAGCACATGAGTAGAGTACCACCACTGAGCCCGTGATTACTATTGTAAATAGTATTGGAACGAACACCTGGAGCCGAGAGAGAGCTCTGGGAATCTTCTGCTCTGCACCGTATCTCCGGCAGGAGTCTTCAGAACTCCACTGTAACAGCATGACCAGAATATTATTGCGCTCTTACCAACCCCCCAGAAATTCCAAAGCTGAAGACTAACATATATCCACAGGGAGATATCATAATGCTTTAGGAAGCGGTTCTTATTGTTCCATAGTTATAAATAAGGGCGACGTTTCACCACGATATTGAATTGGTGAGAGTAGGAAGAAGATACATTGATATTTCTATAGCTAGTTAGTAATAAATGGTCGTGAGTAATAAATAGTAGCTTAGTAGTAACAAACAGTAGCCACTAACAAATAGTAGCAAGTAGAAATAGTAGATAGTAATGAATAATTAGTAGCTAGTAGTTTGTAGTAGCAGTACCTCACGACGCCATGGCAGTATTCTTTATCCGCCCAAGAACTCAATACCGTCCGAATACCAATCTTATGGGGTATGGTTAAGGCCCCAATGCGGCGGTCCCTCACCACAGACTATCACTCGGTCCCAATCAATATCTCACAAGCCTTAGCTCATGTGCTATTACTGATCCAGAGCCGAACCGAGGCCCCGTAGATCTGTGTAACCTCACACTCCAGCTACATAATATCTCGGCCAAAGAATCATTCCTATCCACATCAACCTCGACCTCAAGCTCAATTGCCCCAGAGCTTGTTAAATTACCATCATGGCCCAACCAACCCCCAAAGTCGCCCTTGTCATCGGCGCCTCCCGCGGCATCGGTCGCCAGGTCGCAATTGACCTCAGCAAAGCTGGCTACACGGGTGTGCACTACCCTGCTCGCAAATGAGGTGTCCTGATCATTGACACTCGTGATAATAAAAGTTGTTGTATCGGCCAAGAGTACGTCTGATGATGATGGGACAAAGCCATTCCCGCCGGACCCGAACTCGAGAGATGTGCGTGACTCCGCCAATCTACTCTTCATCTTCAATTCGTAGTCAGTCCGTAGCTAATAGGCCCGAGGGATATATTAGTCCACGATCACGACGGTCGCGCGCGAGATCACAGAGCTCCATGGCGGGAAGGCTCTCGCTATCCCTGTGGACGTGCAGCATATCGAGAGCATCGAGGCGCTCGTCTCCACAACACTCTCTGTGCCTACCTCTCCTGCATCTACCGTTCAACCCACATTAACACACACTAGAAGCTCGGCCGCATCGACACCGTAATTTATAATTCCGGCGCCATCTGGTGGGGCCCCATCTCTACCACGCCCTTGAAGCGGTTCCAGCTGCTGCAACGCATCAACCCCGAGGGCCTCTACAAGCTCATACAAACGCTCCTGCCCGTATTCGAGTCGCAAGGATGGCGCGCACGCGTTATTGTCGTATCCCCGCCGATATATTCTCGCTTCTTCCGCGGGAAGACGGCGTACGCGATCGGAAAAGTGGGCATGAGCGTGCTGACGAAGGGGCTGGCGATGGAGTGGGAGGCGCAGGGGAGGACCGAGATGGCCATCACGAGTATTTGGCCAGCGGCTGCGATCAGGAGTGGGGCGACTGAGGGGGTTGAGTTACGGGACTTGAGGAGCCCGGTATGTTGTTTCTTTTCTGCTTCATGGGAGAGGGGGTGAAGGGTGCTAATTTGATGTGTGTGCTGGAGACGATATTCTCGGATGCGATGCTGGCAATGCTGGAGGCGCCGACGAAGGTAGTCAACGGGCTATTAGACACGGATGAAGACTTTCTGAGGCGTCACAAGGGCGTGACTGACTTCTCGGGATATGCGCTGGTGCCAGGGAGCACGCCGAGGAGGATCATGCCGGCGGAGTTTCCAGATCTGACAGTAAAGGAGCAAGACGATGAAGGGGATAAGAGAGATAGTGTGAAGTTGAGGGCGAAGCTTTGAGGTTTGGTTGTTGAGCTAGTACCTACATAGGGTGTCACTCGATGTTATTTATTGCTATATCCTATCCATAAAATAAAGCTAGTTGATAGTAACTGTGATATCGACTAAAGATTTGGTTTTATCGGGAATGGTCTTGGAGTAGAAGGGAACAGAAGAACAGAATCTATCGTGTATACGAACTGATGGATTGAAGCAATTGCAAAGCAAGAGTAGGAGAAGGTCTCTCTTATATGTACATGTAGTTACAGTCAATTAATGAATTATCAATCAATCAATTATATGTAGTTACAGTCAGTGAACAACTTGCTCTCTGGGACGGTACACGTATGCAAGCCCCCCCAGCCTTCCAGTCTGGCTTCTTTTTCAGGCGGACAGAGGGATGCTTTCCCCACCTCGCCCACATCACCACTCGTACCAACATACCGCATCATGAGATTCGAAGTTGCCAATGATATTAGATCCTCGTAATATACAAAACAATAATATCAAATAACGACACAACCTCAAAATGCTGGATTGCCCCCAAAATTTGTACAAGTTCCCCCTCCCACCACGCAATCAATCCCTTTCAAAAAAACGCCATTAACCATATGCTTACTCCAAAATAAAGATATATGTGAAGAAACAAACTTGATCAGGACCCACAAGGAAAAAAAGAAAAAGAAAAAATCACGAACCGGAAATGAGAGATAAAAAAAGGTAGCATCCGTCCCAAATAAAAAAGGGCATCTCGTACAAAAAAAGAAAGAAGAAGACATGATGAAACAATTGAAAAGAAGGGAAAAAGATAGAAAATGTAAGACTTATACATCCACACTCCTTGCCACCCTCTTTCTCGGGCTTGTCCTCAGTCCCTGCTGCCCTTCGCGGTCCGCAGTACTCTTTCTCTTCCTCTTTGGCACGCTCGGCGAGGCCTCCACCGGTACAGGCACCGGCTCGGCTACATTTCCTTGACCATCACGGGGATATTTATCACGCTATATAACAAAAATACACACGCACACATTAGTAGTCTACGTTTACCTCTTCCCATCAAGGGAGGAGAAGAAGGAAATCAAAGAACTCACATTCCGCAGCGACTTTCTTCTCGCCCGGCTCAGCTTCGCCCCTCCTGCTCCTTCCTTCTCCTCCTCCGCTCCCTCCTCTGCTGAACCGTCACGCATGGCAACAACTTGCACTGCGTTGGGGATCTCTTGGTAGTGGACGGGTTCGGGAGCGCTGAGCTCAGCGAGCATGTTCTCAGTTTCGGCAGGTTTTTTATGCCGTGAGGAGCGGCGCCGGAGATCAGACTTCTTGGAGGCTTCTTCGAAGGTGTCTTCGAGCATAGTGGCTTCGACCGTTGTATCAGCTTCAGTAGCCTTCTTTCTTCCTCGGACGCTCCGCTTTGGTACGGGCTCGGGCGCGGGTTCGGGCGCTTCTGATTCGTCGCGGATGGCTTTGCTCAACAGTATATCCAGATCTTCGACTTCGGGCTCGGGCTCGGGCTCCTTTCTGTTCCTCGAAGCTCTTGGTCGCAGCTTCAATTTTGGAGCCGAGTCTTCAACCATGATTGACTCAAGGGCTGATATCTCTGTTGTCTCTCCTACCATCGTGACTTCTTCCGCAACGGTTCTCCTAGTCTGCCTTCTGCTTCTACTTTTGGGGGCATCCTGGCCGCTGGTTGAGTCCTCGGCATCGGTCTGCGCTTTCTCTGCCTCTGCAGCTAGACTCGTGCTCCTGGTCCTTCTATTGGTGGTGTTCTTTTTAATTTCGAGGACGCGAGCGGGGGTAGCCTGCAATTCCTCCTGCACAAGTTGGCGGGCACTGGCATCTAACTCGGGAGTGACTCGTGTAGCCTTTTTTCGTGGACTCTTCCTGGACGGCGTCTTGGACACTGCTGGGGTCTTGGACAGTACCGGTGTTTTGGACAGTACCGGTGTTTTGGACAGTACCGGCGTCTTGGATAATACCGGTGCCTTAGACAATGCTGGTGTCTTGGATTTGGCTGTCGACTTAGACACAGCAGGAAGAGGAGGAACCTCCTCTTCAGGGAGAGTGGCTTCCTCCTTTCGTGACTTTCTTCGTCCCTTCTTGGCTGGTACCTCGGCGATTTCCTCAGGCTCGTCAAGGGCTGTAAGAGTAGACCCTCTCCTCCTAGTTGTAGGCTTGGGAACCATTGAGGGGGACTTTGTGGCAATTTCTCTGTCTTCAAAGAGCTGACGGAAGGGGATGTCCTTTGCATTCGAGGACTTACGCTTGCTGGCTGAGGTAGGCTGGGGTTCGGGCGTGAGCGTAGGCGTAGGCGTGGATCTTGATCTACGTTTAGACCGGTTCTTTGAAGACTTGATGGGGGATTGGACTACGACCACCTCTTGTGTGGCCTCCTCGTCGATGAACTCCTCAATTTGTGAGGTTTGCTGATAGATCCCCGTTTCTTCCTGGTCTTCTGTTTGTTCGACCTCTAGTTCCTCTTGTTCCTCATGCCCCTCATGCCCCTCATGCCCCTCATGCCCCTCACGCCCCTCATGCCCCTCACGCCCCTCATGCCCCTCATGCCCCTCATGCGCCTCTTGCTCTATTTCCTCAACTGCGGGCTCTGGTTCATGCTCCGCTTCTTCGTCCACTTCCTCGTCCATTTCCTTTTCAGCCTCCACTTCTGCTTCTTCCTCTTCAGCCTGCACCTCTTCCTCCACTTCCTCGGCCACTGGTTCCATCTGTTGCTCCTCCTCCTCGTCTTCTTCATCTTCCTCCTGTACCATTGACAGTACAGCCCTCATTCCCTCGTTCATCTCTTCCTCTTCTTCATACTCTTCTTCGTCCATGCCTCTTTCCTTGAAGACTTCCATGACCGATCTCCTTGGGCTGCCAACCTTCTTTGGGCTATTCTTTAATATGTCCTCTGACTGTACCAGCGCCTTCTCTCGTTGCTCCCCGCCAACTCCTTGGGTGAAGCCGCGGCTCAGTGTCCTATTCCACTCATCGACTAAAGCGATAGCTTTCTTCCACTCTGTTTCAAGCATCTCGTTCTTGGCTACCAATCTCGTAATCTCGGCTTCCTTCTCGGCCAGGTCCTCGAGTGGAACGTAGTTGGGCTGATTGAGCATCTCCTTAAGGCTAAACAGAACCTGGTCCAACTCTGTCGTGAACTTGTCAAAGTCAGCCGGCAGGGCCACCACCGGCCGCTCCTCATCCTGGTCCTCCTCTTGAGCAAAATGATCATCATCTGGTAGGCCCTGGATCGCTTTGAGCGTAGAGAGGGTAGTTCGGACGAGGGCAATAAGATTATCGTTTTCGTCCGCCAAATTCTGACTCAGGTTAGTAAGGAAGTCCGCCGTCTCCTGTGCAATATTGGACGTCTCCTCTTCCGCCCGGGAAGAGGCATCGAGGTTGGCAGGATTGATAATTGTGCAGCTGGCAAGTTGGGCGCGTTGTCCCCGTGGCCGAGTGTCCGTGAGTCGTTCCTTCAGCTTCGTGATCTGGACATCACGTTTTCGGATGTCGTTTGCGCATTGCGTACGCACCTGCCCTAGGACTGTCTTTATTCGGGTTGCCTCATCGCGGAGTGTCCGTTGCGCAGCCTCCGATGTTCTGAGCGTATGGTCGAACGAACGGGATGCTGACTCGAGTAGTCCGTTTCGCCGTGCTAGGTCTGCATTTTTTGCCTTCAGAGATTCCTGTAAATTTTATCCACCCGTTAGCTCCAGCCACGCTTTACCCGAGAAAAAAAAAAGAAGGTAGAAAAACAGATGAGAAAAAAAGGGTTAACCGTACAATAACTTCTGCCTGCTTCGTCTCCTGAGCTCTTAGCGACCTCAGTGTCATCGCCAACGACTCCCGCTCCTCCTCCTCCACATCTCGCCGAGCAATGAGCTCATGGATGATGTTGATGATCTTTGCGGGAGTGGTGTCATCCTCGGACGGCTTGTGGAATGGGATTGATTTTCCGCCTCGAAGAAGCCCACGTGACGCTAGCTGGTTATTGATGAGTTTTGCGGCCTGTTTGAGATCGCGGGGATCCATTGCGTGCGGTGAGTAACTCTCGTGGGAGGCCTATTGTGAGCGCGATGGTGTTGGAAGTCGTGAGAGGTGCAAAACAAATACAGGGGTTGTACAACGGGTGCGCGTTGCTGTGGCAGCGGGTTTGGTGGGTTAGTAAGCACCGCGAGTGATGGAATGTGAATGTCCCAAGAGAGATTGGAATGCGAATGTGGGTTGAGATGGTGGAATTTGATTAGGTATTCTAGTAAGCTATGAAATAAATGGGAGTTGGTGGTGTGGAGGGCCATAAAGAATGGTTGGAGGATCTGAAACAGACTGCAGACGTGAGAACCTCCTGTTGGGTGGGGACAGAAAAACTACATGTACTCTATGTAGTACGTGCTAGAACCAAGCGATGTATACCGCAATGTCCTAACAGCTACAGTAGCTAAAGCTACTAGTTTGGAAGGAACAAAACCCCTCGGACCGCTCGTGGATGTTCCCTCAATATAATAATCACAGAATATCACTCGGTATAGTTCCCTGTGTGCGCTTCCTTGTTCCCACCAGTCTAGAGCCTTCCTGGTAAACCTCCACCTAGAGAAGCTCGACTATGAGAATGATATGCCTACGGATGGCAATATCAAAACCCCGAGAGCCAATCCTTCCCACCGACTCTAAGCGCTCACTAGAGCCGCGCACTGATCATATCCTCTTAGCAACCATACACGGATCCATACATGTGGTTTAGGCCCAACTCGAGGGCAGCTAGTACTCCTGCCAGCTATGTCGACGTCGATATCTCCCACGCACCCCCCCGCGGGGAGCGAAACACCTTCGAAATCTATCCTAGGTAACCCCAGCCATGAGCCTTTGGTGACAGACCCGTGTACGATCATACACGCAATATGTGGCTCCGCTACCTGTATACTCGCTATAGCCGTTCAACCCCCATACTCTGAACGTTGTATGTTATCATGATCAAGGCGTCAAGTTCAGTTTAATATTTCAATAACAAAAAGGCTGATCTTCCATAGCGGGGCAAGCGCAGGCTAAATCAACTTTATATATCAAGCATAGTTAATTAAACCTCAAAACCCTAGCTGGAGACAAGTCTCGACACGATACAGCACTAGCCAAAAGCTTTCGCTCTACAGGGTGTACTACAATCACGATCATCAAAACATCACACACATTTATCAAGTCACAATCAAGTCGCGATGCAGCTAGCTATCCTTTCATACAAAAGTTTATTAGGTATTAAAATATTAAACTAATCCACCACCACGACCACCATCCACCATCCACCACCACATCACACATCTATTTAAGCTGAAGGATTCTTGATCTCGGGAACTGTAGCAGGGTTCTTGATAGTACTGACGGATGGGGTCTCGGCGGTACCGGCAACATCGTTGGCATTGACTCCCTTGGGGACTTCGACCTTGGGGTCGGCCTTAGGGGCTTCGGCCTTGGGGACCTCGGCCTTGGGGGCCTCGACAGTCGTGGGGACACCGCTGACGGTATCTCTGGCATCGAGACCGCCTTCTGCTTTGCACATCGCGAACTCATTCTCCAAATCCTGGAACTCCGGACTACTCTCTGGCACGCTGTACCAGGCGGAATTCTTACCAAAGGATTCTCTAAACAGATGTTAGTAATAAGTAACTATTGAAACTATTGCAAGTGGAGATAACGTACAAGCAGCTGTTGCATTTATTGATGAAAGCCTCATGCTGGTTGGTAGGATCAGGCGTGGCGAAAGATCCCTCCTCGACTTGCTTGTGGATGTCGGCACAGTTTTTGTACTGGAAAATGATTGTTATTTAACCTTCTGTTTGATTTTTCATTGAACGGATATTATAAATATACTCACGTTAAACTCGGGAGCAGCGAAGTCCTTGGTAGTAACAGGTTGAGCGGCAGCATGTTCAGCGGCAGTACCAGTGGCATCGTTATGAACAGCCTCAGTAGAAGGAACGTCCCCGATAGGAGCAGCGCTGACCATAGCCAAGAGGGCGGCGGAAAGAATGATGTTCTTGAACTGCATTTTGAAGGAGTGTGTTGTTTGAAAGGAACTGTTTAAAAAAGAGGGTAATTGATCTGGTACTTTGCTTCTTGAGACTGAAGGAAGTTGATGAAGATGAGAATTGTCAGTTGTGGGCGACACTGGTGGTATTTATCCACTCGATTCTTCTCACAATCTTGCCCCCTATGAAGTCGATCTCGCCCATTTACAATCTTCTCAAGGAAAGACCTCCGTTTGTACGAGATTCCCTAAAGCAATTCCCGGTTCGGAAATCAACGCCTGAATCATAACCCGTCCCGGCGGTCATTGCCGACTGCTACATCACCACAAACATTTGCTACGCCCCGTGGTGTAGAATATTTCCTGTTCCGGACCCGAGTAACCCTAGCTATCCCCAAATGCAACTCGTCTTATGAAGCTTGATCCCAGTATGATCTGAGCTCTAGCTTGCCGAAGCTCTTTTCGAATCGAGCACCGGGTGGACCCGCAACAACTCTATTTTCTTTCTCTCCTCAGGCTTGGCCCGTACCTTTTTTTTTTAGCGGAAGGCCTCTCGCCGTCGCCATCCTTTAGCAATAGGGGGCGTTTATCATAAGGGGGGAGGTTAGAGTAACGAGTGAATGTCTTGCCCCGCGATCGTCAGGAACACCACGTTTGGCAAGCTCCACCAAATGTTCTGTGGTGTCGTTGACAAGCTCAGACACGCATAGCCGGGATGTCCCAGATCGGCTAGTGCCTTGCGGATCTACATCACACACAAAGCGCTAGCGTTGATGGTCTAACCTCTCATCTCCGACCCGTGCCAAAAGAACTTGTTTTGTTCTAGATGTTGCTTATCCCTTCGCTTTTCACCCCAGGTTTTCTTTTGATGCGAGTCGACTATCGATAGAAACGGCATGTGCAAGAGAGAAGCTTTGTTGCTTTTCTTTCGTTCACTCACCAGAACAAGGAGGGTGACTAAGATTCTAACAGATTCTAACACTAGTCCTTCGAAATCAAGGGACTCTACAGTAGGTACGAAGGTTGGTTACAGCAGGCTCTGTAGCGGTGAGTTGAATGGAATATTCCGGATGAAAGTTGTACGAAACTCTGTTTTGACAATTAGCGATAAATACACAAACGTCATCCTCGTATCGCTGCAATATTGAGCAATTATTTCACAAACTGGTAATTAGCAATTCGAATCGCGGTAGGATCCATCATGCCCTGTGCTGTTTATGGCCCTGTACGGTTGGAACCGTTGTAGGGCACAACCAGGGACTGTAACACTGAATATCGAGTGAGATTCTATGCAGTCCGTACAACTCGAGCCTGAATCCGTGGAATCAACTACAGTAAGAGTATACCAACTCTGAGCGAGTCAATATATCAGAACTGCCACGGCCCGGTGATTGATATATAGCGATAGAGAGCGCGATAAACCATGGTAGAATTCTAAAAAGCAATTCTAAAGTCGCGCGATCGAAGAATAAGTGAGGATAGGAGGCTGAAGTTATCGTGAGTACGTTACCCCTGGACAGTGTTCTCGTTCGAAAATTATCTCCCTAAACTTAATATCTGATTCACAGCAAATTAAACAGATGGTTCTCCAAATGGTAGTAGTCAGACAATTAACAGTCGCACTATGAATCTCTTCGGATGAATCCCATAGTATTCTGTTAGACCCAAAATTATTATTATTATTATTACAAAAATATTTAGTCTCATGATGTCCCCAGGGCTGGCGTCACGCTTCACACCCAGCAAACATCTTTCGGTAGCACTCCTTCGAGCTCTCTGGTATATTCGTAATTCTCCCATGCCTCCCAGCCGTGTTCTCGGGTTTATCACAGTACTCCATAAAGCCCTGGTTGCTACATTCAAGTCAGTCCCAACATCAGTGGTAAGGAAGAAAAAAGACCAAGACTTACAAGCAACTTTGGCATTTCGCCAACAACTCTCCTTCCGCCCAGCTTGCCCGTGCAATGTCCGTTAATCTCTGCTCCAAAGTGATGCAGGTATCAAACTGTTTGTTCCCAACGCACCAATTAGCGCTGCGTCTTCATGCCCAGAGATGTAAGTACCACTAGGGGAAAGGGTAGTTACATCAAGGGTCAGGGGCCCAGCAAACGTGGTGACCGGTACCGCGTTAGCATTTGCGACGAGAGCAGCGTTGGTACAAGCAATAGCCATAACAAAAGCGACAACAGAATATGTGATCTGCATTTTCGTTCTTTTAGAGGAAGTCTAGTCGTTATGTTTGTGGAGCGCGAGGGAAGAAAAAAGCTTGGTAGCGCAACGCTCGCACACGTACGTATCGGCACTGGGTGTTCATTTAAGTAATTTTCAGTGCGAATCGATAAGATGCACGATAACCTCGATAGGGGGCCATGTGGGGAAAAAGAAGACCTTAGAAAGTAGGGGAGGCTCGTGACTTGTGCATTCTACATACCAGACTGTGGTTTCGAGAAGGCATAGGGGGTGGGTGTGTCAACTTCAGAGGAACCTTTTTTGTGTGGGAATTAGAGAAAATCCCACCATTAGGCTAGGCGCTAGTACCACTATGGGAGTAGATCTCCCAATTTCTATAGATTGATTGGTTTACACACCTACATCTTGCCCTTGCTGAACGTACGGGGAGGTGTCTATTGGGTGCTTTATGCGCGGTTGTCGCCTACATGGGGTGAGAACCAGATCATGAAGAATCACTCAGCACTTTGAGCTGTACCCAGGCGCAATGCTTAAGTGTCTTGCCGACGGAACGGTGCATGCATAGATAGAACAGACCTTAAACCACTTGACATTTCATCTCTTCCAATAAACCCGACCTCCACAAACTACCATCCACCAACGACGGCATACCTGTTCTGCTACTAAGTGGCTACACACATATATTTTGATATGGGATAATAAAGACTGTTGATAATAGGAATTTAATTCCCTCGGAGCGCGTGAATCGCGGATCCACTCCCTGTTCCACTGCTGCACAACATGCACCTCAGCTTCCCCCTGCGTGATGAGGTTCATCTCGAAATACTCGTCAAAGGCGTCAGAAAATAACGAGTGAATGTATTCACCTGCTCAAGTGGCTCCAAGAGCCAACCCACCGGTTGTCTGTATCCTTCGCGTTGAGGTCAAGTGGGCTACCCTGGCTACATGTAGTGGGAACAGACTTTCTCTTATCCATTATCTTGTCACGCCCAAATCTGGTGTGGCTTTTGGCCCCCACTGAAAATTTTGGTACATATGGCTCGAGAAGCTATGGTGGGTAGGTGTGTAAACTTCGGCGTTTGCAGCCAATCAATCTATAGAAGTTGGGAGATCTACTCACATAATGGTACTAGCGCCTAGCCTAACGGTGGAATTTTCTCTAATTCCCATACAAAAAAGGTTCCTCTGAAGTTGACACACCTACCCCCTATGCCTTCTCGCGCCATAGGTACTCTGAAGTATTGACACATTATATAATTATGCAAGGGGTAGCCGCTACCATGACATTGTGTAGTAAGCTGTGCAACACTGGTATTACCGCATGTGGAAGATGGCCATCAACATTCAAATCACTTGCAATCACTCGGAAATTCTCATGGATGTTAAAATGTCTGCTTTATAAAGCTACACATAATAATATATTAAACATTAAACCGCTCCGCCATATATATCATATATCTCATTTAAGCAGTGCTTCCCTCCTCGACCGACATACCGGTCCTGTGGCCCGCCTCATCTTCGATGGGGGCAATAACTGGCTCCCACTTGAACGCCTCATCAGTGAGAGGGTCTGATGGCTTGCACTCCTTGTAGCTCTTCTCGACACACTCCCTATCTGCGGTGTTCATTCCTTCAACCGGGAAACCCTGAGTGTTCGGGCAGCCATGCCAAGCTTTGGCACTGTGACGTTGTTAGTAATGCCACGAGGGAAGATGAGGTAGTGGTAGAAGGGCACTTACAGGCAGTGGTCGCAATCAGAGACAGCCTGAGAAACAGGGGCAGGAATATCTCTGTAGTTCGAGTGACCATCTCTCACTGACTTGTATCCGTAGTTCACATCATAGCAGTCAAACTTCTGAAGACAGGTCTCGGCCTATTGGGACAATTAGATCTTTTATTGTTGTTCTTCTCTTCACTAAAGGAGGAAACTTACAGAGAAAACTTCGGGAGCGACATAGTTGGTGGTAGGTAGGATCTCACCGCACTTGGTCAGGTCGGTGGTGACAGGGCCTCCAAAGGCATTTGTGTCGGAGAAGGTCCCGTCAGAGTTGGTCTGGGCGTTGGCGACAGCGGCCGCGGCGATAGTGAGGAGGAGAGCGGAGATCTGCATCTTGAATATTGTTTGGGGGATTGAAGAAGTGGTAGTTGTTGAGTTGAGTATGAGGCTTCTTGATTGATATTCGTGAAGATGATGATGAGGATGAGAGTCAAAATCGAGGGGTATAGAGGCAGTATTTATGGATCGAATCTCAAGGCAGAGCCGTGAGAATCTCCAAGATTTGTTGCAATCCCTAACTAGATACTCTATCTCTCTATTCCCTTAATATCTCCATGATTCGAACTCTGTCTCTAATTCCAACCTGCATAACTACTCTAGATCGATAGTCGAGAACCGACTTGGCCGAAAAGCGCCGGGCAAACATTTACCAAAACAGAATCGGGGCTTTTTTGAAGCTCCGCGACCATGACGCCTACGGAACGATGCTCTGTTCGGCCGGAGGACCCTAACTGTTGGATTTGGCTTTCCTGAATCATATAAGGTTGCTGTCCTACATCCGGATCGTCAGGGGTACAAAAGGCCTAGCGGCAACAACCGAGACATCGGGATTGGAGCTGGGGGTGGCTGGGATTCTCGGATCTGCACTAACCACGATTAGCGCCCTATTGGAGCATCCGCGCTGGGGCGACTCAGGGGACGGCATTCTACTGGATAGGAGATGTGACAGTATTCGACTTAGTACGCCGGAGCCGGAGCCATGCTGCCAGCGTGAGCTTGAATCCAGCTGAATTCCGCGTGGCATTCTGGGCTGGAGTTACACAGGGATCGGAAAACACGACACATGCCTTGCGGTTGATTGATACGTGCATAAGCCATAATAACAACAACAAAATAATATTCATCTCCGACCCGTGCGATCACTCATTTTCGATATGAACCGAAAAAAACAATCATCATGATTCATGATTCATGAAAGCGTCTACGTAGGAGGCTTGTACCCTGCACAGGCAAGTAATTATTGCGTACTTAATCGCCGACTTAGACACTGGAATGCAGCTTTTATGTATGTATGCACATCAGCAAAGAATGGTGGAGCGTGAGCTCTCATTCCATAGCCAAGAGAGCAGAATTCGCCATATCTTAACTTCCGGCTTGAGATGAATCAATTAAATAAAAAACATATTACCATGATCGGGTTTCGGGAATTATCCGGTAGGAACATAATGCAGATGACGATGTCGACGAAACAGTTGACACGAGGGAGCTGTCAGAACAGAAAATATCTCAACACTTACGTTACCATACATTGCACCTCTGGCACCGGTGCAGACGGCCGGGTGCGTGATATTGACTGACCTCGTCAACCCCGGTCCTGAACTGACTCAAAGCCGAACAGGCCCAGAGAGCCGAAGCCCTAATAAATACTCATACCACGAGGATCTCAACATGGATGAAATAATCCACCGTGACTGGTGTTGGTCGGATCCGAGTGAGAGGTTGTGCTTGTCAGCTCGTCACGCGCTTCACTCGTAATCTCTTGGCATCACGCCACAGTGGGAGTATAACTTATGTCTGAGAGGTAGCGCACACGGCGCGTATCTGATCCACCCACCCATCCATCCATGCAGGTACGGAGCAAAGCTTAATTAAGGTTAAGAGGTGGATTCCGGAGAAGACACACGCATTGGAGATCAATATGTTAAAGAGATTAACTCCATCTCATCCAATCTTATCATGCACTACCTGTTCTGTTCATTGTGTCTTTCGAAGTTGCGGCATGTTTTTGTAGTTCGATCTGTGTTTAGACGAATGCGAAAATTGGAAAGATAATCCATAGATTAATACTTAGAAAGCTATATGTACATGGGCCTGGAGTAGTTGGTCAGTCGCTACTAAGTACGTAGCTCCGCGATCCGAGTTGTATCTTTAAACAATAATTTCTAGCTAAAATTACCAACACCATTATTGACTCTCTACAAGAGAGGCTGACATTGACATTGTCATTCACAGGGTTAAGGATTCCAGCACATCTTGGTGCCAGCACCGCAAGTATCAATTTCTGGCCGTTCAATACAATAGCAAGTGACATACTCAGCGTGCACACTACTCATAACACCGCCTGGTCCTCGAAGACTCTGGGCTTGGATTCAAGGATGCGAGTACTCTAATTTCTAGGGTGGGCGAGCCTCATATAACCCGATGAATAGTACTTTATGTTCTTTCTTTATATATAAACCAGAAAACAACAGAAGAGTAAGTTTTGCGTATGTACACATGTATTTCTATTCTATACCACTTCCTTATAATGAAGTCGAAAGCTCATTTATCCACACGTGATGAACTCCCTGAACCAACTCACAGAATAACTAATTAGCTACATACGAATGATATTCCGTGAACAAGCAGTGCATCTCAACAATAAAAACCCAACTGGCTAACCAAACCTCTATCCACTTCTCCAATAACAACCACCTCAACACCCCACGCAGTTAATCCAACCATCCAATCATCTACAAGCAAACCTTTACCCCACGTCAACAACGTGGCACAAGAGGGTTAGGGTTCTGCTATCCCTCCCCCCAACGTCGACCCAACCAACTAAACCAGCGCTCTACTCAGCAGTAATCAAATAAAAAAAAGCCATCCAGCAGCCAGCAAAAGTACGCCTTCCAAAACGCTCAGCTGGGCCAAGCAAAAATAAATGGCTCTGCCCCATTGCCGCCTCACAGGCCTCCGCAACCTATCCCGCGGCCGCCGCAGCTTCACCACCACGCCGTCGCGGCTGGCCACGCAGGTGAAGTCGGTGCAGCAGCTGCCGTTCCCGAAAATTAAAAGTAAATGGGACGAGGAGCCGGTGAGCATGTATCGGCGGGGCGGGTTCCACCCGACGCGGCTCGGCGATAAAATTGGCGACCGGTATCTGGTGGTGAGGAAGTTGGGGTGGGACGTGTATTATACGGTGTGGCTTGCGAAGGATTTGAGGTGCGTACTTTACAGCTACATGTAATGAGTGAGTGGGCGAGTGAGAGAGCGAGTGAGTGGAGTGGGGGCGTGACTTGAAATGATAATTGTGCTGGTATTTTCCTGTATCAAGCAAGTTGCAACGCAAGGTGTCCCTGTAAAGCCAAACCACCCTTGTTTAGCTCAATGATGTGCCACAGGGGAGGGGAAGGGGGAGGGGGGGGAGGGAGTAGCGATAGCTTCCTGGTGCAGGAAATGCTGTATAGCAATAATAAATAACCTCGTAGCTAACAAAGATCTTCCAGCACCGATCGTCATGTCGCCCTAAAGATCATCGAGGATTCTTGCTACAGCGGCAAGCCAGAGGTGCTCGAGCTCTCCATCCTCAAACATATCAAGACTGCGGACCCGAGCCATCCCGGTCATAGCCGCATCCTGCACATGCTGGATAACTTTGAGCATCGTGGGCCAAACGGAAATCATGTATGCATGGCCTTTGAGCCAATGGGACATGATGCTCTTGTTCTCTCGAATAAGCTGGAAGACTACCAGTTGCCAGTGGGAGCTGTGCAGGAGCTGGCAAGGCAATTGTTGCAAGCGCTGGATTATTTGCACACAAGGTGTGGGGTTATTCATACCAGTATGTCTGCATTGCGCCCCCCTTTGTGTCTGCTAGCTGGTCTAACTAGTTACTGGCGGTAGACCTGAAGCCTCGCAACATCCTTATGGATATCAATGATACAGAGAAAGTCATCCGGGATTACTTGTTAGCCACACAAGCCCGCGGCATTCAAGTTCAGTCCAGAGACAGTCATCTGGTCAGGTCAGAGTACATCCCCACGGAGCTCCCAGAGTATCCCAACCAATTCCGGTTCAAACTCACAGGTTTCATCGTCTGTCAGTGAAGCCCCCTAGCTAAACTTTACATTTATACCAAGCTTGTGAGCTGACCTTTCTCTTATAAGCCTGCTGGGTGGATAAGCACCTCGTAGAATGGATACAACCTGCAGCACTCCGAGCGCCAGAAGTCATCTTGGGTGCCGATTGGGGCCCAAGTGTGGATTTATGGAATGCCGCATGTATTGTATGGCTCTCCTCGTCGATGAAAAGTGAGGCCTATGCATTAATTAACCGCTAAACATAGTTCTATGAACTGGTGACAGGAGATATACTCTTTGGCGGTGTAGCATTGAACGTAAATGAGCAGCAGCTGGACACCCCAGACGCAAAGGAGCACCATATAGCACAGATGATTGCTCTCTTCGGGCCCTTGCCTGAAGATCTCGTGAGGGAGGGGAGAAACCGGCTCGATTACCTGGGCCCTGATGGTACGTTCATCCTCCTTGTGGTCGTCGTTGGCTCTAATCCAGTAGCCTGCTAATCGAAACTCTCTCAGGAAAAATGGCGACATCACGCGTCATCATGCCCCGGAGTTTGGCAGGGAAGATCAAGGAGTATCGGCCAGATATGACGGACGAGGAGGTACAAACTTTTGAGTCTTTCCTGCTGAAGATGCTGAAATATAGGCCGAGGGATAGAAAGACTGCGGGGGAAATGCTGAGGGATCCGTGGGTGCAAGTCCCGTGGGAATAGATGATACGATATATTAGACGTATTAGTAGTATGTTTAGTTAATTTGATACATGATATCTCTGTAGAATTAAGCAGTGCCATCAGCATCTACAGCAATATTGAAGGGAAGTAGGTATACTGTGGCCAACGTCGTCTATCGGACGGCAGTACAGCTCCTCCAGCCGCGGTGCCAAGTCGTGTCGAGTCTTTGCGCAGTCGAACCTCACTATGGGAATGCAGATGTAATATATCCCTTAAACTGTTGATGCTGGCCCTTTTTTGTGGGAGTCAATAGGCCACAGTAAATTCATTGATGGGGTGGAATAAATGATAGCAAAACCTTACTTTTAATCCCCATACAAAAAAGGCCGGACCCCAACGACACCACCACGGAGCACCTCGCCTCTTCCGCCTCTAAGAGTTAGCACATCCTCGCGTGCATAGACATACCATCCCACTAGGCCAATGACATATTCTAGGCTCATGAAATATCACTCACTCTGCGCTGTTGAAAGTAGGATAATGTTGTTAATTCATTTTGAAAGTAGGATGAGTCTTAAAGCTCGATGTCTAAAGCCAACACAAGCTATCTTATAGGAGCCCGGATAGGACACCATTTCTCTTCACAGCGGGCCCTTCACTATTCGACACCGTCCCCTTGCTGCCCTGAACGACACGTATCCAACAATGGTAATGCTACGCCCGGCCCTATTCTCGAAATATAGAAGTCATAATCGGCCCATACACAAAGGAGAACAAAAAAATAGTCTCCCGCTGGCTCGAAGATCAAGAACTCAAGTCGAGGTCTGGGTGTGGTGCTAGGCAAGTATACGACAAATGTTATATCTAGAATCATGAAGTATCACTCTCTTTACCATGTCATTAACGTAGGGGATTCGACTTTAGATGGCCTCCTCGAGCGGCTATCACATTAAATCTCCCGGTACAGCACATGGCTCTGTGAGTGTTTATTCTTTTCATTATTGCCTGCCTGTATACTAAATGAGGAGGGCAGAGTGGATCTACATACGCCGTAATATATGGAGACCAATTACACTTGACGCGACGAAATCATGGCCATGGGGTATCAATTTTATCCATTTATCTCTCCCACCCCCACGATCCACCAGACAGCCACCACCCACACGCCATATCACAACTCAAAACAGGGCAACAACAAGCACAAACATTCAGCATCATAAGCGGACAAAACAAGAAGAAAAAGAGCAAAAGAAAGAACACACACACGCGCACAACAGCAACTTACCGGTAAGCACATATCATGAAAATGAAAAACACCTATAGAACAAATATACAAATACATTTTTGGCTACCTTCTCCCGCCCCGATTATACCCTCCCTGGGCCTCCCTCATGCTATCCTTCTGGCTGGGCAGCGGCGCTCTAACCCTCCCACCGCCGCCACCACTTACGCCTCCGCCACCACCGCCGCTGTTACTGTTATCCTCCATATGCTCCATGCCCATTCCCATATTCATATTCATGCCCATTCCCGCGTTCGCCATCATCCCCGCTATCATCCTCGGGTCCATTGGCGGCGGTGGTGGCCTCGGCACACCGTCCCCTCCCAACCCTGGGATTCCCGGCATTGGCGCGCCCCCCAACACCGGTAATCCAAAGTTCGGCGGTGGCGGTGGGATTAGTCCTGGTGGCAACGTCCCCATTGGTGGCATCGGAATCGGCGGCGCAACCCCCTGCGCATTCGGCGGCGGCGGCGGCGGGGGCATGCCAAAGAATCCCGCCAGGGTCGTGAGGTCTCCTAGCCCGGGTAGGCCTCCCGGCATCGACATTGGCATTGGCGGGAACCCCGGGATATTCGGAGCCTGTCCAGGCAGCGGCATCTTCTGGTCGACGAGAGCGTCTGCCTCGTCCTGCTCTTCCTCCTCTTCCTCCTGTCTGTGGCGGCGGCGGTTGCGGTCGTAGGTTCCCATCGCTGCGGCCGCTTCGTCGCCAATGTGGTGGCGGTCCTTGAAGCCGTCGATTTCGCCAGGTCGGGGGCGGGTCCAGAAGCGGGTGATGCGGTCGTTAGAGCCGCTGCAGAGGATGTGGCCGAGCGGGTGGTACTCCATGCTCCAGATTGCGTACTCGTGCGCGTACGGGATTGAGGCGGCGGGCTGGATGATGGTGGAGGAGATGTCGGTGGGCGCTTCGTCAAGGAGGTAGTGGTTGATGGCGCCGTCGCTGCCGCCCGTGGAGATCAGGCCGGGGTGGATGGGGTGCCAAGCAAGGGTCGAGATGTCTTTTTCGTGCCCGCGCAGCACACAGAAGTCTTTCATGGCGCGGAGATCGAAGATGCGGCAGGTCTGGTCGCGCGCGCAGGTGGCGAGGAGCTCGCCGCGTGGCTGGAAGAGAGATTTGGAGATTGTGTTTTTGTGGCCGTGGAGCGTCGTTAGGCAGCGCGCGGTGCGGGGGTCCCAGAGTTTCACTAAGTGATCTTTGGAACCGGAGACGATAAGGCCCTTTGTAGGGTGCCAGTCTACGCTCTTGACGTCCCAGCCGTGGCCGGTGAGGGTGCGCTCCTCAACACCTTCGTTGAAGTTCCAGATCTTGAGGGTGCTGTCGTCGGATGCGGTGACGAACTTTGCATCGGTGGGGGAGAAACTGAGATCACGGATGGGCTCTCCGTGGGCCTGTAGGATCTTGACGTTGTTGAAGTTGGGCTGCCAGTATTTGACGATACCGTCCTGATCCCCAGAGAGGAGCCAGTCGCCAGAGTGCGAGTACTGGCAGACACGGATAGCGCAGTCGTGGGCCTGCATGATGGTCTCGAAATTGAAGCCCATTCCGTTCCAGAGGGTGAACTCACCGCTGGAAGACCCAGTGAGGAGTCGGCGGCCTTCGGGCGTCCACTATTGTTTACTCCATTAGTGACAATTACGGCGAGATCTGTCTGTGAGGTGTTCCTACTTTGACCACGTTGATGGGGTGCTTGATTTTGTTCAGCGATGCGTGTATGTGTTTTGTCGGCAGCGAGGTTGCTGGATTGTCAGCGTACGCGGCAGGTGGTAATAGCTATAGATATATATCGAATCGCGCAGTCCATTAGCAAGATGTAATTCTCTTCTATGTTTTCTTTGCCATATGACTGCGAGTGCGATGATAAATAACACTCACATCAATCACGAAGCCCGGCGCGGGCCGCAGATAGTCACGCGTCTGGCCTCTCCAGTTCATGCGGCGCTTTGACATCCACTTTGCCACCGACGTCCCGTAGTCCGTGACCGGTCCTGTTTACACGTTAATTAGCCTCCCCTCTGTCCCCTCTGTCCACTCTGCGCGACGAGCAGGCGGGTGGGGTACACACGTCTATGCAGCGGTCTTCCCCGATTGTAGGGACCGTCTCTATCACCGCCAGCGCCGCCGCCGGGACCGCCAGGGGGGCCTTTGTCGTAACGGTCATGACCCCCCCCTCCTCCTCCTCCGCCGCCTCCTCCACCTCCACCTCCACCGTAAGCTCCACCGTCTCTATCCCTGTCCTCGTAGCGGGCCATTGGTGTTATCGGAGCAACGCAAGTCGCCTGCACGCGCTTTGTAGAGTATAGATCTAGCTAGGCGCCCAGTGATCAAATTGAAGCTCCGTGTCGTGCTTTTCCTTCTGTTGAAGGTGCGCTGCGCTAGTCGTCGTCGTTCGTTCGTTGTTCAGTCCAGACAAAGCTCACGCGAGTCTCTTTACCTGAGGGGGTGTTATCTGCGTGGTAGGGTAGGGCTGAATCGAAATATCACCATCACCAGGGAAAGTTGGTTTGGTTTGAACCAGGGATTGTGGATTTCTTGGGGCGGGTTTCCGGGGTTTCTTTCTAGTTCTGGGGTATGTTGCAGTTGCATGGAGGTGAGGGTTGGGGCCGGATTATTGTTTTTCCTGACGCTGTTCTTGGCGGGGCGGCGTCATGGAAAAGCACTCGGTAGGTTGAACCGCTGGGCGTGTGTGTGTGTGAGTGTGTGATTTCTTCCTCGAGAGTGGGAATATCCACAATAGGAATGTTATGAACCGAATATCTGAACTTTCGCCGCAGAAGTATTCGTTAAACCACGACAGAAACAGAAAGCTCAGCTCGTCTTGGTCCACTTTCTGATCCGACTTTTTCCACGTTAAAAAGCTCAAACAAAACTTCAGTTCCCATTTCATCTTGGTCTTGGTCCGCGCCTTGGGGGTCGTTATTCAACGGCAAGGCTCGGAATGACAACACAGCTATGTAGCGACCAAGTCCAACCAACCCGGCGAAGGTTCCTGGCCATGGCTTAGGGGCACACACTCACGCCTAATGATGGACACGAAACGAGACGTTTTTCAGGCTGTGGGCGATCGAGGTCTCGCTATCTGAGGTCTGGAGGGTCTATTGCGCTGAATGTCCGGATGCAGGAAGGTAAGCGTGATGAGTGATGATTATAGGATTAAGTTATAGGTTCTTGAAACGAACACATGCTTAACCGAGTCTAACCACATAGCCCTTGCACCGTATTTTGACGCCTATTCCGCTAACCTGGCTCACAACGTCCCGGAAGTCCCGTGAGGACTAAATCCCGGGACCTGACGAGACCCAGATTCCACAGGACGAGATGTCACGAGACGAATTGTTAAAAATCTCGAGATAATCCCGGGACCTTTGGTAACATTCGAAAAGGGTTGCCGGGGGTGGTATGAGGGTAAGGGACTTCTATCTTCTATGTAAATACATCGATCTGTTAAAGAAATAATCAGCACTTTAATTTCTCAATATATACTAGGAGCGGGTCTAGCATACCTAATATATATCAAGAGAAGTGTGGGAAGCGAGTCACTAGTGGTCCTAGAGGATATTTGCTATCAATATACATGTAATTACATGTATTCTTCAAGTCCCGGGACCTCGGGACTTTGTCAATACCTTGGCGAAATCCTGGGACTTCATAATACCTAAAGCCACGGGACGAAACAAGAAGAGACCAGGCCCATATCACGTACTATTATGTACGAGGCATACGTTTAGCAACTTCGATAGCAGACATGGGTTTCTCTGCACCCAGGAGAAAATAAAACCAAAACCTAATCCGGCAGCAAAAACTCGAGCGAATTGGTGCACGATGGCGGTGTGTACTTCTCCGCCCGACCTGGGATTCGAACCCAGACCGTCTCCTGCTACTCTCACACGGTTGTAGAGGCCAAGTTTACTGTTTTAAGCCCATCCCACTGGAGAGGGGGCTTGACTCGATTGATATAATGTAATCCGGTATTCTACATCTTATCAAAATACCAGATAACCATGCCGCAAGGAAGTACATAACGTGGTCATGCACGCTCGCACACGCACCTACACGTCCGTTTCCAACCCTAACCTTTTCGCCAGCGGTACAAGCCAAGGACAACTACATGTACATTTCACCGCTCCAACCCTCCAGCCCTAAGCACTCTCATCGGCCGAATCACCAACCCACTCTTGGCACACCAATGTTTAAAAGGCCGCCGTCCTCCACACCTCTGCTTCTTTCTTCATACTTACCTAGCGACGATCTCTGGTGCTCAAGGTTACCAGAGATCCAGAACGCAAACCCCCCATTGCACATCGCGGGGGCGAGCTTCTGTCAGAAAGTCTTCGGACTTTCTGGGCCGTTTAATTTTTGATTTCTCTTCGTTTTGGTTTGGGACCTTTGGGTCCGAGGCCATCATGAAGAGAATGAGAAGATCTTTGTGGGCTTGTGGGCACTGGGGGAATTGTGGGTATCTGGGGTATTTTGGGCAGCTGAGGGCTTTCGAGCTCTTCGTTGTTGTGGTCTTGGGCTTTTGCCTGAGGTCACGACGAAGAGACTCTTTTGGGTATCTGGGGGCACTGCAGGTATCCGGGGGGCCTTCGAGCTCTTGGCTTGGGTTTTCCCCATGTTCCGATGAAGAGACTCGTGTGGGCATCTGGGGGCACCGGGGGCTTTCGAGCTCTTCGTCTTGCCTGAGATTTCGTCCCATGTCACGACGAAGAGACTCGCGGAGGCATTTGGGGGGCGCTGTGGGCATTTAGGAGTTTTTCCGCTCTTCTTTTCGGTCGGGGACTTTTGTCCGAGACCGAGAAGAAGGGAGTCTTGTGGGCACTGTGGGCAATTGGGCTTTCGGGCTCTTCATTTTGGTCTGGGACTTTTGTCCGAGGCCACGATGAAGAGCATAGCTTCTGTGAGCAACTGTGGGCATCTGGGGATATGCGGGGCATTTGTGCTTTTCATTTTGGTCTGGGACCTTGGTCCGAGGCCACCAAGGTCCCAGACCAAAATGAAAAGTCTCATAAGATTTTCGTGGGCTTGTGGGTACTGGAATCTATGGGGTGGATTTGTGGGTGCTGGGTGGCTGTGGGCTTTCGTCCTATGTATCGATGAAGAGGCCAATGGCCGATAGAGGCATCTGTTGAAACTGTGGGCACACGTGGGCTTTTGAGCCATAGTCTTATCTGGCCTTTGGCTTCTGTGGGCTTTTGGCTCCTGAGGGGTTTGGAACTTGTGGGCTCCTCAGCTCCTGCATACGAGCTTCTGCCAGGAGGTCCTTGGGTCTCCTGGGCCGCTTCATTTTGATTTGGAGCTTTCGTCCGAGGTCACAACGAACAGATTTGGGCTTGCAGAGTCTGTGTGAAACCGTGGAATCCTTTTAGTTTTTGGCTTCCGTGGGCTAAAGAACTACATATATATACTGATCAATTAGGGCTGAGGCAAGGGGTCGCCCATGGGGACACGCCGTGAGAAAGACAGTTGGGCCTAGCTCGAGGGCCCTCTAGGGCCAACAAGCCACCATAGAGCCTTTGTATGTAGAGATATATAGATCTACTAGCTAGCCATTGTAGAATTACACCCCGTTGACGGCGTCGCACTCCGGCTCATTTCCCCCTCTAAAGTCCAGGCCGCTGTTGTTTGCGTAGTTGTTTCCTTCTCCCTCTTTGGATCCAAGAATAACTCTGAGAGAATGGGACCAATCACCAGTAATCACTCGTCCCATGTACACATGAGCAGTGGGCATTGTAGTCCCCGTGATTAGAGTTGCCGATTCCCTCGGGACTGGGAAGGATACAGTTGGCCCTTGTCTTCTTAGTGCCAGGACGTAGAGTGAGTGACTTTAGGCTCTATATGTTGGGCGCTTGCTCGCCGGTCTTCCATTGGGTTCTCGGAATGGGTGCAATTGTGGCTACATATGTAGCTATATGTAGTACTGTGTAGGTATTGATTTTGATACTACGTATTGATTTTGATACTACGGGGTTTAAAAACGGGGGAGGGGTATAGTGGTGAGAGGGTATGTAAAAATGAATCATGGATGATCACTCGCACGTTCAGCACATCTATATTCAAACCGCTAATCCTCCAGTATGTGAAAAATTAAATCTTTGCTCTACATGATAAAAAAAAACTATTTATAAACAAGCAATGGAAAAACACTGGATATATACTTCTCTACTCCACCACCACACCTGGTGGCACATGTATTCTTACAAGCCCTCTTCAGCTAACATATCTGTGCCCGCACCAGCCAGTCAGTAACCAATAGCCCATCGCACAACACAACGCTAGGAGCACTTCTTGGATCCTCACCAGCGATATCGCAATAAAACGCAATCGCATTAAACCTGCCCACCACCCCCTTCGTCAGCACCTCCCTCCCCCGGCCACCAAACAGAACCGGACAACTCACGTCGCCTTATTCCCCGTCACCATCCACCAAAATCTATTCGTCCAATTAATAATCCCCAGATGTGTCGGCCCTACCAGCGTACCCTTATACGTGCCCCACTGCGCCGACTTCACCGACACCAGCCCTACACAATTAACACCACAATCAGCACCCCACTACACTAACCCCCCCACCCCCCCACCCCCCAACCCCCAATCCACATACCGTCATTCGGGCCCTCCTTCTCCTCGATAATGCGATGGCTCTGCCGAAACACCGACATGATCCCCGGCTTCGCCATCGCCCCGTACGAGAAGTACCTTACGTTAGGATCGTCGAGTATCAGCTTGTTAAACTTCTCCATGTAGTGCGTCGTGAGCTGTGCGAATGCGCCTGTTTCCAGGCCGAGGGACTCGACGGCAGCGTACACGCTTGGGAGGCGCTCTTCTGGTGGTGGGTTAGTGCGGTGTAGTTGAGAGAGAGCGGGGGCAGGGGCAGGGGCGGGGGAGGTACTCCCGATGAGGTCGAGCATGTAGTCGGCGAACGAGGAGCCGCGGTGCGGCGTAGCGACGGTGGTGAGGGAGAGGACCTGCGGTGGGTTAGTAGAGGTGGAAAGGGGGAGGAGGGGAGAAGGGGAGGCGTGCTTTGAAGTTTGTGGGTTTGAGCTCGCTGATCATGTAGCGGGCGTCAATGCCTCTGTGGGGAGGAAGTGCGTTAGCATATGTGGCACCGACCCACCATCGCCGCTGAAAGTCCAGAAGAAGCTGCAGCAAAAAAAAAGGAAGATATAACTAGTACCCCTAAAGCACGCAGGACACCCGATTCTCAGCCAAAAAAAAGGAAAGTAAAAACCACGAAGAGACCCGGGCTCATACCATACTATGTCTACAAATCCGTCAGCTACATAAACCCACAACGCCCAATCTCCAGCGCACGAGGCGTAGAAATTACCCAATTAGATTAACGCTCCTCCCCTTCAGCTCCTGCTCAATCTCCGCAGCCAACGCCTTCGCCCTCACCTCTATGGACCCCGACGCCGGCACAGTGGTCGTGATAACCTCGACCCCGTTCGCCGTAAGCACCTCCGTGATGCCGCGCCAATACGCAATACCAGGCAGCATCTGCCCCGCAAGACGGAGCTCTTTGAAGCCCAGTAGTCCATGGCACTAATCGAGCATTGCCGGCCAGTGTCAGTATATCAGCGCTGGGTTTATTTGCATGTGACATACAAGCACAATCGGATTCTTCGGTTTCCCTAAGCTCCCATATCAGCTCTACCCTTAAAAGCTTAATCTAAGCTAGAAACCTACTGTAATTCTCCCTGATGGTCGAAAACTCGTCTGATAATGTTCGCCCAAGCTCCTTTAACCGGGGGTCTTCGGTGAGCTTTTTTTCGGGGTGTGTTGGGGCTGTGCTGTGGTTTCTGAGGCGGTAGAGATTCGGGCCAGCTGGGCGCAGGCGTAGACGGAGTATTGTTGTTTTCATTTTCATTTTCCGTTTGTTTATGGGGTTTGGTTGCAATTGCTCAATCACAGGGAGGATTTCCAAGAGCCGTGCCTGGATTGATATGCGCTACTACGTCATAGTGTAGCTAGGATGTGGAGTGGGTTAGGGTTTGGGAATAGAGCTTGGGTGGAAGCTTTAAGGAGGAGCCGGAGGCCGAGCCTCGCCGCCAGCTGGATCCATGGAACAAGCTCAAGATGGCAAGAATAAGACCGCAACAACTAGCATGAGCCCCTAGACACTCAATTGATTGACTTGGTCAGAAAGGAGTTTTGATATATGCCTTTAATTAGGCGGCATGTTTGGAGGAAAAAAAAGGTTCTGGTATTGCTGGTATTTACGGTAAAAATCATTTAATTTTTCAGTATAAAAGATTAACAATAAAGAGACCTCATATCAATGATTAAAAGCAGCTTGAGTATTAATACCCTTCACGCGAGGAAAATTAGTTTATCCAAATCCCAATGGGTATTTTCATATACATTTTCTTAACCGCAAAAATTATTATTACCAACAACCCCCGTCCTAAATATTCCCCACAACACAAAATAAAAAAACAAATCCACCCCCCCCAAAGCCATTTCCATCCTGTACTCCAATCCTCGAGGCTCGAGCTCCCCCAGTCAGTTGACGTTAGAACCCAGCAGTTACCCTACCTCACCGCCAATCCCGCCAAGCCAAGCCAAAGCCAAAGCCTCCAACGCCAGCTTGCCTCAAACACCCATCACGTATCCTCACCCAGCTCGCATTCAATTCCCACCCACCAAACCTCCACCTCCACGCCCACAACCCCCAAGCACCACAACCACCACGCGAACAACCTCCCCCCACCGCAAACATGTTCTTCGGACTAATGCCCCTCATCAAATGTACGCCCCCCTCTATCCCCTCCACCTCCCCCACCACCCCTTCCCTCCACCGAAAGCTAACCACCACCGCCACAGTCTCAATCCTACTAGTCAACGCCATCGCCATCCTATCCGAAGACCGTTTCCTCGCCCGAAGTAACATCACCCCCCTTCCTCCCCAGCGAGCTAGGAGCTAATTGGAACAGTTGGATGGGCCGGCTCCTCCGCCTACGCGAACCCAGCGTCGCCGGACCCGCACAGCTTCGGCATGCAGATGCCGCAGGACAGCCAGAGCATCAAGTTCAAGCTCATCAACCTGATCAGCTCCACGCGGACGCTGATGCGGAGTAAGTTTGCGCCCCTGCTGTCCGAGTTCGTTGGGGCGAGAGGGAAAGTTTGGGTGTGTGGGATAGGAGGGCTAATGGAGATGGGTGGGGACAGTACCGTTGATTGGGATCAACACGCTATTAATCATCTACGAGATGCTGTTTGGCTAGCTAGCCCCCCCCCCCCCCCCCCCCCCGGAAAACGGCGGAGCTTCTGGGGGATTTACGGGGGAAGAGGCGCGCGCGGGGAGGAAATGTTGCTTCGCGATGTGTGGTGTGGCCATCTAGATCTCCTCTTCGTGGTTACTTCTTCGCTGCATGCGGTTATTGTGGGGTGGAACATTGGCGTTTTTGGGGGGGCCGGTCGTACTACCAATTACAAGTAGACTTGACTAGTACATATTCTTCCTTTTTTTTTTTTTTTTCTTTTAGGACAATAGACAACAAAAAAAAACGATACCTTAATAAGAACGAATCTTTGCGGTGTGTTCCTGGTTTGATCTGAGCCTAGGGAGTGTTCCTGTTGTAGAATCGTTTTCTGGCAGAAGCTAGCTGCAGGATGTCCAGTCACCAGCCATCACTCGGCGTGTTGTACCTACCGGAGTGGAGTACTAGCTAGTGGCTGCTGCTGCGTCGGATGCGTGAATCGGGTGACCAAGTAATCAATAAATCAATAAACACTGCTCAGCGAGTATGGGGGGATTGTTATTGTTATTATTATTATTAATCAATACTAGCTAGCATTTGAGTGCCCAATTCCCAATTCCCGATTTGAATATTGGCGTAATGATAGAGTAGCAACAAACGATACAACCAACTACTGTTCGAACCACAACCAGAACTAGAACTACATATAGAATACAGCAATCGTCCGCGCACTGTACATGTGTGCACGCGGAGATTCATATACACGATATTAGGCCACGCTATGTACCATCCAACCACCCAGCCCGAGAAAGAAAGCCAGAAAGCCAGGGAAAAAAAAAAGGAAGAAAAAGCGAAAAACACCAAACTCCCCATCCAACCCGCACCCGCACCCACACCCCCCCACCCCCACCATTACCAACACCGCAATACAGAAAAGTCAACACGACATTAGTATCATCATCCCTTCCCCCCTTCGCCCAGCCCATCACACCAACATCCTCCTCCTCCACGGCGTCTCCCCCCTCCTCCCCGGCGTCTCCCCCCTCCTCCCGGGCGTCTCCATCCCCCCCCACCTCCTCTCCGGCGTCGTCTCCACCCTATCCACCCTATACTCCAACCGCTCCGCAATCGGCGGCGCCGCCGCCGCCAACACCGGCGCCGGATGCCCCACCGCCCGCGCTCTATACAACCCCAGCGCAAAATTCGGCACAAAGAGCGCACAGCAGCCCACGACCACCGCGAAAGCCTACTTTCCCATTAGCCCACCTCACCCCTCACCACCGCCACACCAACAAGAAGGAGAAACATACCATGGTGCGATAACTCACCGGCTCCACCAAGCTCTCCACAATCTCCGCAAACGTCTGCGCGCTCAGCTTCGCCTTGCCGACCTGCGTGTGGTCGCGGTTCATGCAGCGCTCCCAGTCGGCGCACGCCCTCTGCAGGGCCGGCACGCGGATGCCGGGCGCGCAGCGGTTGACGAGGAACTGGTGCGCGCACGTGTTTGCGGCGGCGACCAGGTCGGCGCTGTGCTGCGAGAGCTTCTCGGCGACGTCGCGGCGCACGGTGATGTAGGCGCTGAGCAGCGCGTAGAGGAAGAGCAGCACGAGGGAGGTGTTGAAGAAGAGCTGCACGTACTGCGAGATGATGAGGGGGACGTCGCGGTGGTTGTCGGCCCAGCGGGCGGTGGCGGGGCGGCGCGGGGCGGCGGCGGTGGTGGTGTCGTCGGAGTCCCAGTCGAGGTCGAGGAGGGGGAGGCGCGGCGTGTGCTTGGTGGAGGTGGAGCGCGTGCGGCGCTTCAGCTTTGTGATTGCGCCGTCGTGGTAGCGGCCGCGCGGAGGGTCGTGGTGGCCGCCGCCGCGGAAGGTGAGCTTGGGCGTGGTGGCGGGGGTGAAGAGGTCCGGGTCGGTGAAGTCGGACATGTCGAGGGCGGAGCTGCGCGGGGTTGTGGTGGAGACCTTGCGGAACTGCGGGGGTGGCGGCGGGGGCGTGGTGGGGTAGGACGACTTGGGGAAGAGGAAGCGCTCGGAGTTGGGGGGCGCGAGGGCGGGCGGGTTGGGGGTGGGCGAGCGGAGGTCGGAGTGCGTGCCTGAGGGGGGCCAATTGGTTAGTTGGTGGGATTGGGTGGATTGGATTGGGGGGGGGGGGGAGTACGTTTGAGTGCTGTGAAGCGTGTGAAGGGTGAGTTGGGGTCGGCGGGGACACGGGGGTGGTCGTATTGGAAGTCCATGGGGGCTTCGGTGCCTCTGTGGGCCATGGTGTTTGGATCTCTAGGCTTTTTGGCTGTGTGGCTGTGGTGTGTGTAGCTGTGAGCGAGTGTCTGTCTCGTGTGTCTGTCTCCGCCGTGGTGTGTAAGAGAAAGATGGTGTCTGTTTCTCTGTGGGTGTGTATCGCTGTGTGTGTCTCTCTGTGTGTGTCTCTGTGTGTGTCTCTGTGTGTGTGTCTCTGTGTGTGTGTTTAGATCTGCAGTTGAGGATGTCTGTCGTGAGTGAGCTACGAAGGGTGGTTGTTGTTGTTGTTGTTGTTGTTGTTGCGGGGAATGCGAGGAAGTGTCTTCTTTGTCGCCATGAGACACAGACACAGACATGCCTGCTGTGTGGAGAGCGGAGTGTGTCCCTGGCTGTGTGCCTGTGCCTACTGTGTGGAGAGCAGAGTGTGTCCCTGGCTGCTGCCTGTGCCTGGCTGCTGCCCTGAGTGTTCCGTTCCTGGCTGTCTGCCCAGTTAAGCTACGTTACACACAAGCCCAATTGCCCTGCTGCAGTGACCCTGTCTGCTGCCTGCTGTCTGCTGCCTGCTGTCTGCTGCTGTCTGTCTGCTTGTCGCTCGTCGCTCGTCGCTCTCCGCCCTGCCACAAGGCCAACGTAGCACAGCACAGCCAAGTAATCGCCATGGACCGACGCGTGCAACAACCACGCCGCCCATCTCTTCTCTGCCCGAACTCTACATCCACACGGCACATATCTACATACATACATACACCACAACCACAACCACAACTAGACTCTCCTCGAGCTATCTCTCCACCTCCAGACAATAATACAGAAACCCCACAGATTAACCCAACAGCTAGCTCCACCATGGACACCCACATCACCGCCACAAACCTCTCCCGCCTGCTCACCCGCCTCGACTCCAAGCTCCTCACCACAAGCACCACCCCCCCCACCACCCTCGAGCGCACAAAGATAGCCTCTGTACCCCCCCCCTCCCCTTCCCCCCCTCCTCTTCCCCCCCTCCTCCTCCACACCCCACTAACACCCCCCTCAACTAGAACCTCGAGTACGCCCGCCAGCTCCTCCTCGCCCTCGAAAAGTCCGCCCCCACAATCCGCAACCACGCCCAGCGCCAAACCCTCCTCTCCAAGCTCGGCGAGCAAAAAGCGCTCATCCGCCGCCTCAACGAGACGGTGCAGCTCCTCGTGCACGACGACACCCCCCCCTCCTCCTCCTCCTCCTCCTCCTCCTCCTCCTCCTCCGACGCGGACGCCGCCGACGCTAAAGACGAGCCGCCAGCCTACTCCGAGCAGTCCCCCGACATCATCCCCCCCGCAACCGAAAAGGAAGGGCTGCGCAACCGCTTCCCCAGCCAAAAAGAGCAGCGCGCGGCCCTACTCGGCGAAAAGGACGAAGAGCCAGCCGACCCCGAGAAGGCGCTCGACGCACACCGCGCGGAGCAGGAGGCGCTGACAACCGACATGCTGACGCTCGCGCAGCAGCTCAAGGCCAACAGCATCCGCTTCGGGCAGGCGCTGCAGAAGGAGAAGGGCCTGCTGGACCTGGCGGCCGAGGGGCTGGACAAGAACCTGCTCGGCATCGAGCGCACGGGGCGCCGCATGGGCGCGCTGCGGCGGGACGAGAATGTCGGCTGGCTGTGGGGGATCCTCTACCCGATTGTTATTGCGGCGTTGATGTTTGTGGTGTTGCTGGTGTTGTTGGTGGCGCCGAAGTTGCGGTGGTGGTAGTGTGCGGGGGGAGTTTTTTGGGGGGGAGGGGGTGTTTGAGATGGGGTGTTTGGGATGGGATTGTTTTTTTTTTTATGTGGGTTGGGCGGTTGGGTGGGTGGGGGTTTATACTATAGTCTTTCCTTTTTTTTATATTTTCATTTGTTGGCAAAAAAACGTACCGCCAGCTTACAGTGGGCGCACAAACCACTAGCTAGGCGGGCATAACTAGATTACAAAAGTAAAATAAATACATACTCGTAATACATAAACCAAGTCCGAGCTGTGGACTAGCTAAAGATAATCATTACCCACGTCCTGCTAGTGGTGGATGGATCTCAATCTAACAACTTAGTGATCCCTATTTGCCTCCTCACCCCTATAGCTAAGGGGCGAGGGGAGGGTGGTGGGGTTTTAGTATCATTCACACCGCACCCCACCACACCCCCACAACTCCCCATTCAGTTACCCTGTGACACAAAAATGTTGCGGTGGTTATCATTGACCGCACATCCGACACCAGCTACATGCAGGCAAGGTTGGGGTAAATGGTGTAGTTTATATCATTGACCTTGCCACATTGACCCCCTACACACCGAGAGATACATGTAGATACTTGGAGAGATTGTTTTTGAGCAATAATACAACCATTATCACCGCTTCCCCCCGCCCCGTATACGCTGGGGGTCGGGGGTTCTAATTAGACATAGACAGGACAGTCGGACAATAAATACCACAATAGAAACAGTTGAAAGAGAAGAGAAAAGAAAGAAAGATAGTAAACAGAAAATAAAAAGAAATAGAGGTTTTAAAAAATAAAATTACCAACAAAAGAAAAACTAAAAGAGAAAACTAAAACCCCCAAAGCCCCCCCGCTCCCCCGCTGCCCAACTACCACCAGCAGCAGCACGAGTGAGGCCAGCTCCCCCCCCCGCCCCCCCCCCCCCCCCGGCCCCCCAAAAAAGCCACTACCTAACATCATCCGGCAACGCACCATAATACTCACCCTGCTGCTCATACCTCCTCCTCGGCCCATCCACGGGCCCAATATCCTCCGCCAACGCATCCTCATACGTCGGCGGCGGCGGGTCGTCCGCCCCTCCTGCACCCTCCCCACCCGCACTGCTACGCGGCCGCGACACCGGCAGCTGCGCCGGCGGCGCCATCGGCCCCTCCCCCGAGAACGAGTGCGGCCGCTTCGGAAAGTCCGGCACCACCGGCGAGGACATGGGCGTGTTCTTCTCCGAGTGGCTGACGGGATACGTGCCTGTCGTGGGGACGGTGAGCGACGTTGCGGACTTGCCTGTCAGCGCTTTGCGGGGCGGGGGCATAAACGGCGGTCTGGTTGAGTCGAGGAGCTTCTGCGGCGGGGCGATGCCGGAGTAGACTTCTATCGGCATCGTAAGCGGTATCATCTGTCGCCGCACCATAACATTAGCTTTCCTTTCCCTTCCCTTCTCTCCTGACGGGTGTGGTAGTTACCTCAATCGGCCCCAGAAAGCCATGCGACAGCCCCATGACTACCTCGAGCTGATACGTCCTCCATATATTACACGTCCTGAACGCCGGCGGCACCGTATCCGGCAGGCTCGCACCCATCCACAGATGCGGGTCAGCCTCGAGCTCCACATTCACCGGACTATACTCCGCTCCCAGCGGGGTCCTCAGATCTCCCAGACTCAGCACCGGAATGACGCCATGATCCGTCCTGCGCAGCTCATGCGCCGTGATCTCCGTATACGCATGGAGCACAATCTGCAGGCTCCTGATAAACACCGGCTGGCGGTACGGCTGCAGCTTCGTGAGTATGATGCGTAGCGGGAGCGGGGTGTTGGGGACCAGGATGGGCGGCGCGGGGAGGCGCACTTCGATCGAGAAGTGGACGTGGTGGGTTTCGTGGGGGTCGAGCGGGGATGTGGGGGCGGTGACTGTGGGGCGGAAGGCGGCGAGGAGGCCGCCTCGCTTCTTCGATGGGGAGGGGGTGGTGAGCGAGGGGGTGTAGATCATTTGGTGTTGGCGCTTGGCGTAGGTTTCTTTTGTGGAGGGGAGGGCGCGCGGGGGCTCGAGGGGGAGGAAGACGAATGGGTCGTGCTGTGGGTGGCAGTCAGTATTTCCATGCATACCACCTCCAAGAACAAGCACCGGGAGAAACGCATACCGCACGCATATTCATCCTATAAAACTGCGGCCTACATCCACCAATCAGCCCTCACACTCCTCCCCCCCCCAAAAAACCATCTTATGCAGAGAATCTCTCACCTATTAACCGTGACCTTCAAAAAATACCTAATCCACGCCAAATCGCCTGGTATACCCGACAAGCTCGGCGGCAGCGTCCCCATCACATGCCTGGTGGGCTTCTTCGCAAAGTCGATATTCCCCTTCTCAAAGCTAATCTTCTGCAGGAGTCCACTCCCCGCGCCGGTAGCCTGGACCTCCGTGCAGTTCGAGTTGATGGGGATGCGGATGCGGAACGGGTACTCGTACTGACCGGCCTTGAGGGTGTATCCCGTGTGCGAGGCCGACGTATTTTCGCGGATCTCTGCGGAGGGGAAGACGGTCTCCACCAGGTACAGGAGCTATACCATTTCACCATTCCATCAGTAGCTGCTTGAAGTGGAGTGTGGAGAGGAGGGAGGGGAGGGGGGACATACTCGGTGGATCTCTATTTCAGCGCGCTTCGAGTCACGGCCGTCTTCGTTTCTGGGCGGGATGAGGCGGGTGCGGGAGATGCCCTCCATCTTAACGGTAATGGAGGAGATTGTTTCTTCGGTATTTATGTTCATGATGACCTAGCCCAGCCAACCAACCAAATCAGCCCCAGCTCGCAGCTACCCCAGAAAGCCAAAGAAACAGAGGGAAAACAGAGGTACATACCCTCCCAGTGACATAGTCCAAGCACGTAAACGTGCTCCCACGGTTATCGAGCTCGATCCTGACCGACGACATGGCTGGTTCGTGAGGTGAGGTGGGTTGTGGCAGCTAGTGGTCCAATTCCAGCCCAGAGCTTATCGACAGTGTGTGACTGTTTTGGTGGGGTGTGAAATAGAGTTTATTTCTATTGTCTGGCCTGCTTGGACGGTTTTCTGTTCTTTCCTTTGATTCCCAGTGCAGTGTTGCAGTACCCCCCTCTCCTCTTGTATGTTGCAGAGAGGACAGAGCCAATTCGTAGTTTCAGCCTTGGGGCAAGCAAAGCAAGCAACCTTTGGCGCGGCGGTCTTCTGATGGTGGGGCGCGGCGGTGACACCATCGAAACACACAAAAACGGATGATGCAACATCGCTAGCTAGGATTCTACATATTGCACCCACAGTCTAAGGTAGAACACTACCGACCTTTCCCAAGCATCTCTCATATTAAAGAAGCTCACATTTCGAATTTCTATTTACAACAGAGCAGCAGAAACCATGATACGCCCGAGTGCTCCGACCAGGTCCTGGCTAATATCCCCCCCACCAGCACAGCCCCGCCAGCTATCTCCCCAATCGGCACAGACAGTCTTGGCACACTCTCCGACCAATCGGGGGTAAGCGAGTGATTCTACGTGATCCGTCCAAGTCTCCGCGCGATGCACAACATGCACAAACAACCGGTGGAAAAGGGCTTGTGGAGAGCTGCACAGATGAATGTGACATTGGAGGAGAGGAGAGGATACGTAAGCTCCTCCTCCTGTACCCAATTGTGTAAAGCATCTAGCTGTCAAGCCACGATGTTCATCCATCATCCGGCCAGATGATGGATGGAGAAGGCCTCGCTATATATAGATTTAGACAACAGGGGTATCACCAAGCGAAAGAGCAGGAGAATTCGCCGGTGCCTGTCAGAACTCTAAACTGCCACTGCAGCAGGGGAGGGGGAAGCTTGTTCTATGTAAGGCGAGAGGGAGGAGGGTGAGGATTGTACGCAGAAACACAGCTACAGACTACCGCACTGCGAAAATGCTTACCTGTACGCATAGGTAACGAGGCTCATCCCGCCCAACTCCTCCACGTCTGCGGCTCAGAACAAAGCCGTCCAGTGCAGTCCAGGCCAAGCTTCCCACCGCTAATCCCACATTCCCCAAATACACACCCTCACTCTCGGTATCCAATTTCCCGGCCGTTGTTGTTGCTGTTGGGTAGCAATGCCCACCCACTCACGCCCATCCCTCTCCGGCCTCCGAATCCCGAAACCAAAATAAGCTTCTTCGCATCTAAGCCTCACCCCCCGTACCCATCACCAGCTGAAAGGACTCGCGTCCCCCCCTCTCCGCCGCAGTGATATATAATCACCATCACCCCCCTCTTCCCGCGCGGTCGCTTATTTTGTAGTTCGTCCGGGATAGCCGAAGGCCAGGGTTAGGGTTTGTGTTTTAGGTGTGTGAGAGAAACAAGGCGCGGGAAATGATCGCAGATCACATTCTGAGGTTGGATCCATAGAGGCTGATGTTTGGTTTGTCGGATATGCTCTCACTCTTGGTGACAGTGGGCGGCTTTTTATTCGCCATGGTCGCGTGTTTGGGACGGTGGTTCCGGATCGATGCTCCTCTATGAGTTCCCTCAACGTGGCGCATCCCTTGCAATTGGGATATATGAGAACTAATCACGGATCACGTTGGCGGCCGTGAGCTTCCGAGTAATAATTACTATCTAAATTAATAGTGTTAGGGGTCTATGACCAAGCTTTGCATATAAGCCTTGTAGTAAAATGGTAAGAGAACGACGTTGTACGCCTCCGTAATTGATGTGATGACAAGAGGGAAGTTTAGCATATGTGGCTTCTAGCCGCTCGAGCTTACTTACCCGCACCGAGATTTCTTGAAAGGGCATTCGAAGCTGGCAGACAAGACGCACAGTTTCTCTCCCCACCTTGCCCCCCCCCCCCCCCCCCAAACCAACCCCAGCAGATATATAGGCCAATGATGACATATATAGAGTTATCTTACCAAGTCTCGTAGAAGCCGATAGCCCCAATATATCCCCAAATACCTCACGCCATTTTCCACAGCCTTCAAAAACCATTTTACCGCTCCACAAAGAAGTGAGTAGTCGCGGTGTAGGAAGGAAGACCCAATAGGTAATTGGATGGATGGTTCTATGACGAAGGAGGATGAAAGCCGATCTACTTATACATATAACGATGACACATCTAGTTAGGCTAGACTGTGGACATAGTTACTAAGACCACCTTACACATAGCCCTCAGTACTACATGTAGTATGTAGCTGGGAATTTTCAAAAAGAACATCTTACCTCGATCTTCTTTACACGCCCGCCAGCCTAGCCACAAGTAAGCAGCGTAGCACAGAGTCTGTGAGATCTCATAATGTACATGTGGTTATAGGCGCTCCGAAGATAATCCATCAATCACCGTGTATGGAGACACTGGCAATTGAACAAGAGACGCTAGGACAGAACCAGCCATCAGCTTCCTGTCAAAAGGAAAAATAAAAATAAAAAAACCCGACATTCGCGTAGGTAAAGAAGAACCAAATATATCAATGCTACATTTACGTAAACCTACACGTCTCACTCCCCGACCTTTTCCCGCAGACCAACCCCATATCCAACACGTATTGGCACCGAGTGACACCCCATGACCCACTCTCCCTTCTCCCACAAAGATCCCTATCGATCAAACCCCAAACGCCAACTTTGGCATCCCTCACCCGTCAGCCAAAACTCTCCTTAGCACTCCTCCTTGGCACCATCTCACCACTCTATAAAAGCCACCCCTCCACTGCTCTTCTTCCCTTCCTTTCTCTCTCTCCATCATGCAACACACCACTCCCCGCCCCTCCACTAGGAGGCCAGAGCCTGGGAGTGGGGGAACGTTGTGCCCCTCTTGGACCTTTTGGTCCGGGAGGGGCTTGCAAGAAATTCTTGTCCCCTCCTGGACCTCTGGGTCCAGGGGGGACTTGTGGATACTTTTCGGGGGCGGGGGCAGGTCTGCCTCGGGTTGGGGTTGGGTTGGGCCGTGTCGGGGCCGGATCTTTGTGGCCCCTCCTTCACTGGAAAGGTGAAGGAGGGGTGTTTAGATGGTTCCTCCCGCCGGTCCCCGTGGCCCTCCGCCCTCCCTGGCTGCCCCCCTCTGCCGGCCGTCCGGGCCCGGGTCCTGTGCCCCCCCCCCCAAACTTCTGCCGGCCGCCCTCCCCTCCCCTGTCCCTGCCCCGGTCTCCGCCCCCCCCTCGCTGTCCGCCCCCCCTCGCTGTCCGCCCTCCCCCCGGTTCCCCTCCCTCCGCGGGAGGGGTTTTTTTTCTCTGTGGGTCTCCCCGGGTGTAACACCCGCGGGAGACCCTTTCTTTTCAATTTTTTCTGCGGGTCTCCCTTGGGCGTAAGGCCCAAGGGAGACCCTTTTTATTTTGGCCATTTTTTGGCCGTCCCCGCCCCCCTCCACCCCCTCTTTGACCCTGGGCGATGCCGAGGGTCCGATAGGGATTTCGGAGGGGAGCGGGGACGGTTTGTTTCTGTGGGTCTCTCTTGGGCTTTGTGCCTGAGGGGGACCCTTTTTTTTTTTTTGTTCGTTCTGTCCCGCTGTGCTGCGCTGCGGGTACGGGGAGTTTTTTTTTTCTTTTCTTTTTTATATATCTGCCTCTCTTGGATCTTGGGCCGAATGCCCAAGATCCAAGAGAGGCTTTTTTTTGGCTCTTTTTTTCCACCGGATTCTCTCCTGGACTCTGGGCGATGCCGAGGACCCAAGAGAGATTTTGGAGGGGTTTTCTTTGTCTTCTCTTTTCCCGCCTCTCTTGGATCTTGGGCAAAACGCCCAAGATCCAAGAGAGGCTTTTTTTTGGTCCCTTCTTTTCCTGGATTCCCTCTTAGACTCTGGGCGACGCCGAGGGCTTAAGAGGGATCGATGTCTCTTTTTTAGGCTCTTCGCAGGCGTTTGGCCTCCAATCTACCGACACCCTCCTCTAGCGCCCAACCTCTCAGTACAGAGGACGCTGCCGTTGTAGGTATATCGCCGAGTGATATTCCGTGATCGGCGCCAGATATGGTAGTTGGCCCGCTGGCTGGCTGGTAAGGGGGGTTGGAAGTTGCAACAGCCTCAAAAAGTAGTAGTAGTAGTAGTAGTAGTAGTAGTAGTAGTAGTAGTAGTAGTAGTAGTAGTAGTATAAAATTGCTACCGTGGGGCTGCGGTATTGAGTCAAGAATACTGGTTAAACCAGGATCGTAAGTAAAATACCATATCGATACCATATCAATACCATATTCTTACAGCATCACTAGCGTATTGACTAGAATGCGGTAGTGAATTTCTACCCCTTTCCGGTACTGTACAATAAACCAGGGCAAGCTACATCTAGTAATCGTGTAGCGAGCTGTCTTACGGCGCTACCTACAGCTAACCCCCCCAGCCCCCCGTTAACTATGTCCTCTAAGGCCACGGTATTGATGTCTCCCAACATATATACCTCATAGAGAGCACCACCAGAACCCACCAGATCCCATAATACCGACCCAACGCCGCAGCTAGCTAAGAACTAGCCGACGCAATACCTATCCCGACCGTCCCCTCCCGGCCATCGCAATCCGACCAACCATCACTATATCATACACGCATTCGGGACTCTCCAGCGAGGACCACATCCACCGCATCACAGCTATCACTCGGCTGGGCACAACTACTCAATTAGGTTAGCCACGTACATGTTTCATCTTGCGAAAAGCTCGGACGAGACTGCGGGGTTGACAGCCACGCACGTTGCCGTGTAGGCAGCTAGTTGACAAAGCCACATCATGGTCCGGGCGGGCGGGCGGACTAAATAATCAAAGCGAAAAAACGAAGGATTGGAAAAAAAAAATCAGGACTACATAGATTATTTACATTTTCCACGTACGTACCCAACTTTACCACAGGCACAGACGAAGAAGTAGTGCAAGGAGATAAAACAAAAAAGGGGGAAAGAAAAAAAGAAAAGACAAGTGAAAGAAAAAAAAAGAAAAAAACACATTCCCACATAATTACTCGTCACAATACACATCTCACATCGGAATTCGGTTCTTTCATCGTCATCGCCTAACCCGAACCCCCAGTACTTTACCGTCAATAAAAAAAATTCCACAAAGCAATTCTGACTACCTAATCCTAGTTTCAACTAGGGCCCGAAAAAAAAAAATGGGACGAGTAGGGACCGAAAGGAAATTGAAGAGAGAAACTCTTTAACAGCTATAATTTTTCTTTCGCTGTAGATACCTGAACAATGTGATTGAGGTAAATATGTTGAGGAAAGCAACCTTGCCATAATACAACAAAACAGAGAAAACGGAAACGTTGATCAGATACAAAGAATTGAGGAAGGAGGAAAGGAGGATGTTGTAATAACGAAAAACCCATGTGCCAAGAAAACAAAAAATGCCGTACACCCCCACGATTCCTGAAGTATGGACTAAGAGTAATAAGTCCCCAGAACTCTTAACCTTTCAGGTAATCGTTACTAAGATTAACAAACGCCCCAGGACCCCCATCCTCACTAATTTCATTGATCAAGACTGTAGATTGTTGAACAAGTCTTTCCAATGCGGCTGCTGGAGATTTACCGAGTGAGACTAGAAACAATTAGCGTCGTGTCTCTGTTTAAGTAGTAGAAATATTTACACACCTAGAATAGCTGAATTGAGTTCCTCCGCAACCGATATACGGCCCTTTTCGTCCAACAAATGCGCAAGGACAGAGTTCTTTGGATCTGTATACGCCAATAGGCTGAATGCTTCCTCCAACGCCTTTCTGATTTCTGGTCTGGTATCCGTCTGGAAATCAAGTCTCAATTGTCGACCATACTCAACTGCGGCGTCGAGAGCACTTTTCACTTGTCCACCTGTACCAGGCCCTACACTCCCATACTCGTCCTCAACATCCATTTTCTCCCATTCCGCCGCGGAATTTGCCGAATCATCGATCTCCATGTCCTGCGCAAAAACATCAACCATCGTTTCGTCGTGTCCATTGCGCATTGGGGGTTCATGTACAGTTTCTGCAAACTGTCTGATCATCTCCACCAATTTTCGGCAGCGTAGTCGGAAGTAGATTTGTTCGTTGTTTTTGAAGACGCTTGGGTAATATTGTTTGGTGAATTTGAGCGCATGATCCACATCACCATCAAGGATCGCGCTGCGAATCCCTATATAGTCACGTGATTGGTTAATGCAACTGATGTGGATAATACTGATTCAATTTTCATGGACGTACTTTGGCGGTTGATCGCATCTCCATCTTCTTTCAGCTCCAAAGTTTTCGTGTTTTCTTCCCGCCCACTCACAAGTGCTCGTGCTTCGTTCTGAACATCAGCTGAGAATGCTCTAGCGGTGTCGACATATCCGTCATGTGCTAGATATTGCGCTACCAGAGCTTGAATTAATGCCGCTTCATCCATTACTGGGCAAAGTCCAACCGTTGGGTAGCTGTTAATCTCGTTATATACCATGGCTTTCTCTTCCTAGTTGTTTATAAACGTTAGTATTCGATCGATAAAATATCGAACCTCCTAGTATGAAAATAATCAAGATATGGCCTTGGAGCCCTACGTTCATATAACCATCAATATCAAAAACGAACCTCTCCTGCCCAAAGTTGACTCTAATGTGCTCCCCGGGTCGTTTCATTCCTACGGCCGGATATAGTTTTGTGCTCTTGATGTCCCGGAAAGCAGTTTTTAGGAAAAGGCCGTTCTTAGTGAAGAACGCAGTTCCGGTCCGAAAGTTCACGCCACACCCAATAACGTCATTTGTTGAGAATTGAGGACCATACTGCTTTCCAGTTCCTTGACAACAGAATGAGTTCCCGTCGTCGCCATGGTACCCCCATGACTCCGGTTCCCAGCCCGGTAATCGATTAAGAGGAACCTTTTTAGTGCAGAACCCAACACCGATCAATCTGTCCAACAACTCAGTCTCCGGAGCATACCAATGATTCGAGAATAGCTCACCCTTCCTTCCCTTTAGAGACAACCGTGATCTCATAATAGAATATACCACATTGAGGCGGCATAAACTGATCTGCCCGGACAGCAGCTGCATCGTTGTCACTCACTTTTTGTGGACCTGATAGCAGAAGCAAAGAAGAAAAGGCGTTAGTATTCACTTCCTTCCGGAGCTACATTTATTCAATAATATCATTTCCTAGCGGCGGACGAACCAACAAACTTCACCTCCAACCCATCATTCAACAAATCTATCCCAGGGCACTTGTCGCTCTCATTCCAGCGAGTCGGTAATGTTGTCAGGGCCTCCTCGTCTCCAGGGACGTTCTCAATGATATCGTATGCTAGCCCCCGATGTGTTTGTGGTAGCTTTCCGGATATGGTCAAAGATGGAGGTGGCGTAGGAATCGGATTAAACACGGCAGTTGAGGATGCTAGTCGTTCAGCGTAACTTGACTCCGCAAGATAGCTAGGAACCGTAATAGGCTGTCGAATACTGTGTTGCTGCGGGCCTGAAGTGTAACCGTTCGAGCCTGTAAAGTTAAGATTTGATAGATACCGAGGATGTACCCCGGTCCCGTTGTGAGTGATCCCGTCGGAATAGAGGCGAGGTTGAGCTTGACCAGCAACGACCGAGGCGTAGGAACCGCTAGGTGCCACAACAGGCCTTCTGATAGATGACGAACCAGACATCGTGGTAGCAGCCTGACTGGAGGCTGCTGGGATCGAGTTTGTCATGGACTGGTTCTAAAAACCCAGGTCGGAAGAAGAATTGCTAACTCGTAGGGTGCCACTGTTTGGGGGGAGGGAATCGAATTTGATCGAGTTTCAATAACGACTGGTTACGCGAAACGGAGCGGGTAGACAGTTTGAGACGTGTGGGTTGGCTCGCTCAAACAGGTAATCCAATTTTGATGCCGGCTGGCACTTTTCACTATTTCCTTTCTTGCACAGTGAGCGAGAGGGGAAACGAAAGAGGGTACAATGAGTAGATGGCGGGGAACGAGAATAGAGCGAGGAGGCAACAGGTAAAGGATGGGAGGGTAAGATGGCCACGAAAGAGTCACAGTAGGATACTGTATATCGTGGGAGTAGGATGAACCCAAGCTAAGGACAGCAAGACGAGTAGAGGTAAAGATCAGAGCAGGAGCGAGCGAGTTGAGTGGGTACGTTAGTGAAGTGATAGGTAAAGGCAAAGGAAGAGCTGTAACTATCTTGAGGCTCTCTGTTGCCCACCTGCCTGACAATCTGTCTAGGAGTTCCCCGTATTTTTCTTCTCCGTGGATCTTGAGAAGTTCCCTTTTTCTTTTTCTCGTTCTCTCCAGTCGTTACTCTCACTTTCTCTTGCTCAAACTCTCTTCTTGGCCTATCTCTCGCAGCTTCTGCTCAGCAGGCGCAGAATGATGTCGTGTAGAGTTACGATGAATGTATGTATGCAACGTAAGGCCGAGAGCAAGCGATCAAGTGCTCAAAGCAAATGCAAGCACGTAACTCAACACAACCCTTGTAACATGTACCCAGAACTGGCGTGAGGGGAAATGTTCAAGCGACCTTGTCTTAAGTGGTGATGGGATGATGGGGCTGGGGAACTGCGTGGCGCCTGCTGTAGTACTTCTGAGACGCTTCCACCTGTGGCTCTCATCTACATACAATGCGAGCAAGCTTATTCATTGACAGTGCAACTTGGCATGTCGCTGACAATGAATGGCGCTTCCAATACTCCATAAGCTAATCCCTATATGGCGGCTTTGTACCACATGATGTCGCCCTATGCTCATTCTTAAGATCTGCTCTGCCCTCTGCTCGAGTCTCGTGCGCCAGTTGGCCAGAGAGAACTTTTTCCCCCTCGCCCTATCCAGGTACCTGTTGGGTTGTATTGTGCTCTGCTGTCGTTACTCTACATTTAATAACTACGTGCACCTACTACCAATCTACCTTATGATTCCGGGATTTCCCTCCAACCCCGGTGCGGATGTCGACTTCTCTTGATGCCTGCGTGCCTACCTGTCCGCTTCTTGTTACTAGGATGGAAGCAATAAAAAAAAATATCAAATTCATGGATCCCAATTGAAAAAAAAATGACGGACAGATTCGTGCATGCATCTCAAATGAAAATCGCTCTACAGGAGCTAATGAAACAGCCGTGAGAGTAGTAACAGTGGGATGGAGTGTAGCCTTCGGAGGGGCCAGGATAAAAAGAACATACACGAAGCTGGAATTGTGGAGCGAGTGTGTAGCCGTACCCAAGACGTGGATAATAAAAGGCAATTTGTTGCACACTTGCCTGAGTCGGCTGTGCCAGGATTTTTCCAGGACAGATGGACAAAGACGCATGTCTGAGGGAGGAGAAGGAATACGATTGTGGAGGGCAACGAACGACGCAAGGTCCAGGAACAAAAAGAAGGTTCGATGAATAGAGAAAGCCAGATATAGAGTTTATTGGAGAGAAAGAAGATCACGATGTTTGACTTTTAATCTACATCTTCTACTCTACAATACGTATGTACTTACTGCTACTGCTCGATTCAAATTCCTACTACGACCGCTGCTAAATGTCTTGCTACTGCTAAATAATGGCTACATACATGTACGTACATAAACTACCATAAGTGTACATGTAGTTACGTACGTATACATCCTATTAAGTGTACTAATACTATCACTACTCGAGAATTACTACTATCATTACTATTGTTGCTAGTGGTGATAAAGTACATATACTTATGCACATGTACCCCATCCTACAAGAGAGGTTATAAGTGGGTTTTACCATTTAAACATTTGCATATATAGATCCGTGACTGATGGACGTTATCGCCTTTCCCCTTTCCTTGAGAGATTTGCATAGAGCACCAGGCAGTATGAAATCTACTATAGCTATGGATATAGTAGGACTACCCAGGGCCCTGTACCCAGAAAATAAACACAGGAACCCCAAGTCAAGACTCCGGTGGTGATAGAATGCGTATTGTCAAATTATCGCCAATTCACCCGTATTTCCCGACACAAAATTGTGCCTAAGACCTCATTTAGAAAGCTATTACCCCCATCGACCCATTTATTTAGCGATCCAGAGTGGATTCCTGGCAATCTTGAAGGTCGTGTCGGGTCTTCTTGGCCGAGACTCAGCAACAACGGGAGCAACGCAAAGCTTCACACACTTCCACACCCAGCCATCCCACTGGCATCCGCCGCACACACCAAACCCAACCCCAACCGACTTCGGCCTTACCCCTAGAGAGTTCCAGTGCTCACGGCTACCACCACCACTAAAAGTAACAAGCACAATAATAAAATGCATTCCCTCTCCCGCTTGCCTCCTGATTTCCCCTTCTCCTCTCCTTCCTCCCACCATCCATCACCATCATCACCATCAACTTCGCAACACTTTCGCAATAATCGCCTTTTGCTTCACCGTGACCGCTTCTCGCCTCACAATCATCACTATTACAACAGCAACCGCACATCACCTGCTCGCTAGCTGTCATTCTTGATTCTCGGCTCCACTCCACCCCCAGTGAAAAACGAAATCGCCCTTGTGCGACAAAATCTATCAAGAATCGAGTGGCCTATCTTTGCTACTCTTTCCCCCTCAAAAACGTCGCCACATTTAATTACCGTACAGATTTTGTTTCTGGTATAATGGCTGGCTCTTCGGATTCTTCGATAAGTTCGTCTCTGCCCTCGCTTCCTCCCTCGCCTGGGGAATCAGCATCAACTTCTTCGTCTGGGGTCGCTCCTCCTCCTCCCCCTCCACCGCCGCCTCCACCTCCTCCAGCAAAACAACGCAAGAAGCCGGGACCAAAACCAAAGCCAAAGGTTCCTCAGTCGCTGATTATCAAACTTCGGCTTGGCTCTGACCATCTCAAAAACTTTCCACATACGGCGAATGCACTTACGAAATCTCCGCAAGATTTGACCCCGGGGACTGCTCCAGTATCTCCACCGCAGCAGGTAGATGCTATGTCGCCCATGAATTCAGACTTGAACGCGACACCAGTACCTCCTTCTTTGGACAGGCCTAAGGGCACCCCTGGCCCAAAACCGGGCTCAAAACGTGGAAGGCAACCAGGTGCCCAGCCAAGTAAGCCAGGAAGAAAGAGGACTAAACTGTAAGTTTATATTTTTTCGGTCCGTTTTCGCATAAAACCATATACTCATATTATACAGTGATCCCAACGCTTCCCCAGCGACTCATCACTCGAACCACGGTAAACTTGGGCCCAAAGCAAATCAAGGTGCCATCAATGCAGGTCTCCGCGCTTTAGACCGTACAGGAAGGCCATGTAAACGTTGGGAGAAGTCTACTTTTCGTTTGAAATCCTTTACAGGTGTCCAGTGGTCTGTCCCTACTTGGGGTGCCCCCTTGGTTGATTCGTCGGCCCCTCCAACACCTCCTCCTGGAACTACACCTGAGGTCGCCTCAGCAGCACCGTCGGTTACTTCTGAGACCCCAGAGATCAGAATTCATCCCGATATGATGAACATAGACCCTCCCAATCATTTTGAGCAGCCATATGTATCCGAGAGGCTCGCGGTATAATAACAAAAAAAAAGTTAGTAACTTGCGTTTCGTTTCTAGTTACTTTGTTACTAATATTACAGTGTCCAGAACCGTACAAGCGTCTCCAATCAGGATCATCATCAATAATAGCCGATAATCAAACTTCATTCGCTTGTCGCTCCGATTATTTCTTGAACTGAGTTCGACGTGTCTCTTTCCTATCTCTTCCGGCAAGCAGCATCTTGTTGCCTTTGAGTACTAATACTTATTCCTCTTCTGTATAGATTGGTCACTGTACAAATTTCCTTACTTCTGATCACTGCCCTTTAGGCATATTTTTCTTTTGTCATTATTTCCTTTTACCAAAAAGCTGTGGACTTTCTATTTGGATTCTTATTTTTTTTGGTTCTGTTTTGGGGGCGGGGCTTTGGTTAGATTTTTTTTTCCCTCATTTTTCCCATTTTCTTAGGTGTTAGTCACTGGAAGGACTATCAATTAGGACGGGGGTCCGGTTTGGTGTGGGCGGGGCTGTACGTAACCATACGGTATTTCTCGGTACCTTATTTTTCAAGTTCTTTGCTTTCATAATTGTTATCAGGTTTGGTACTTGGTGGGATACTATTGGTTAATCTGAGAGAGGGGATACATATATTTCTCGGTTTCCGGTGTCTTGGGGGGGAGGGGGGTTCTGGAAGGAAACTCACATGTGGTGATATGCTCGCGGGGCATGACTACATGAAACGCATGGTATTTGTTGGCATTTTACGCATATGGGGCAGGCTGTGTTCATTTCTGGTGGATAGTAAATTCTGCTAGTGTTGCCATATCGATAAAGCAGTTCTCAACGAAGAGATATCACATGACACACCCAGACTCAAGTAACCTATAAAAACCAAGTAATTCATTAATTCGTCCCCTACACGTGTTTCATGACTACTCCATTACTCCAATGATTCCAGTTCCCAACTCCACGCTATCACCATTCAGAAAATCTGGGTATCCGCTGAGTCTTGAATCCCTGCAACTCTAAACAACGAGCTAGCCAGCCCATTAGACCCAACAATGACCTACGAGAACAGAAAAAAACAAGCCTAAAAACTGAACGCAATTGCCGCGGCCATATTCCAACTAACTAAAAGGGAAGATCTAGTCTTCGGCTTCCTGGTGGCGGAGCATGAGGAGACGTTTGTATTCTTTGGGATCCTTATCCCAAAGTTCCGCAGCCTGTCCGTTGAGGGGCGATTTGCTACTTATTGTTAGTTACTATTTTCCTGAGTGGCTCAGTGAAGGTATTTACTTGTTCGGTTCTCCAAGTAAAGATTGCAGTGACAGCAAAATCGACTGTACATTGTAAACTGCGCTCCATTTGTCTTTCAAGATATCCAAACAGATCCTCCCCGCCATGTCAACATTAGGATGGAACATGGGCGTAGTGAACAACACCGTTGGAGGAGACATGGGGTAGTTTGACGGGAACTCTAGAGAGAGCTTGAAGGTGAGCCCATCGTAAGGTGTCTCTGCTGGACCATGGATGGTTCCAGTCCACGATAGAAGATTGCCATTTTGTGGGAACGCAGAGATTCCAGGAGTGGAGTTCGTCTGCTACTGCGTTAGAGATTGTAATTCCCAAAAATAGGCGGGGAAGGGAGTTACCATCAGCTGCATTAGTTCCTGCTGAAGACGCTTAGACACTGATTGCCCAGCGTTGATACCAGACGGACCGGCGCTTTTGGCATTGGGGGCAGTGGGGGCTGAAGAGCTGTTTTCGGCGTCGTTATCCATAGTGACAGTTTTGGTATTTGTTTTCGAAGGATTTGTGGGTTTTCTTGAAGTGGGTTAGAAATGAGCGGGAATGGTGAAAGAGCAGAGGAAAGCGGCTGTGGAGGAGGTTGAGAGCGAGAGAACGGCTTTGCTAAAAATGATAAACAGTTAGACGTGGTGGTTGCCCTGCCAACCAACACACACATGTAACCGACTAGCGCCAACAACCCTTGTGGCTTAGCGTTACCTCTGCTGTCGAGTGATTGTGCATGACACGATATCACGATGAGATTGATTGATTGATTGATTGATTGATTATTTCAACAAAGTATCAATGTATCAAAGTACGTGACATGATATAAAATCTAGAGTGTGTTTGTATTCACCTTGAGTAACCTCGCTATTTGTGTTCAAACAGTCACAACGTTAATAACTACCACATCGCTAAAAAGATCGATCCATTGAATAGTACACAGGCCCGGCCGGGATTGCGCCTGCTGTCGATATCCAAAACTATTCGTAAACTAGCCTGTGACTTATCTGAAACACTATAGAAAAGGACTAGCCACTTTTCAACATAGTTCGTAGGACGAGAGGTTTTGTTAATTAAAGAAAGGAATGATTGGAGTGAGCAAAGAGCTAATATATACGGTGATCAACAACCCCAAAGAGCACTGATTCTATCTTAAGTTACATATTTACCCACCTGGTAATTGAGCTCGGAAATCTGGGCTCTAGGTCGAGTACATGTATTAATAACCAATCTGAGAGACAGTTACAAGTACTCCTACACCATCAACAACGTTTACAAGCCGCCCAATTTCAGAGCATATATGCAGACACGTATAAGCTTAAAACCACGGATATTTTCGGGGAGTGGCAACCTCAAACTGGCCAGCATAAGCTACATTACCTCCATATAGCTGTATATCCATAGCGGACCGTTATAAAGCAGTGTATTATGTACAGACTTTTACGGAATCTTATTCTCAGGAGAGCCACTGAATCTGTTCTTGACGGTGTTCAAAAGTTCCCGACACAAAGGTTAAATCACGCGATATCACTCGATAGTTGTTTGTTGTTTGTAGGTACAGGAATATTGTGAAGGCAAAATCGATCTAACTCGAATTCATTGTACGAGAATTGTTTGCATATTAATTGACTACTATACAATAGACGGACCTTGTATTCCCGCATGATTCTTATGTAGCATAAGGGGTACAGGAAACTTCCACCATAAGCACCTCGCAACATTTGGGAAATCGGCTCAATCCCAGCCACGAACTATAGCACCAAGCATAACTCCCAGTCTCCGAAGCCCAAAATCAATACCCTTTGCTCGTGGTTGATTGCTTCATTCATTCATGAAGCCTTTGCTCAACGCTTAGCGAAATACATCGTGTTTCCCTAACTACAACTTCCCCGACAACTTTCCCTGAGGCATGGATAATGGATAGACATTATAATAGAGATGTGTTAGACAAACTTTGTTTGGTACTAACTACACATCGCTAATACAAATACTTGGCTGGCGAGGTACACATTACCGATATAATTGAAGAGCTTGGCTGGCGAATTGATTCATTCTCGTCCCTTTAGCTATACACATTCCCCGATCCGTTTCCAAACTCTGTGGAGTATTCGCTTGGAGTTTCAGTTAAAGCTTATACCATCTATACCTACCACTTCGTCAAAGTAGGCCAGCATAAACTGATTGCGTTAAATTCTGAGGCCGTGTGTTTAAAGCTATACAAGGGAGTATGCTCGAGAAACGTCGTATTCAAGGAATAAAGACGTATGTACCGTCTGCTGAAGTTCCGACAAAACATAAATGTGATAGATTAGACATAGGTCAAATTTCGACATGAAAAAGCCTACTTGACGGGGGAGACCCGTTGGGTAAGCTAAATATGGAGTTAAGTAACATTTTGATTTTCTGTCATAGGCTATCACTCGCTTAAATTGTAACCTCGGACGGGACTTCCACCTGTAACACATCCGCACCACCAATAATATCCTTTTTCCCCGGCATCATCCCCCTTCTCATCAGCTCCGCGCACTGCATAGCAACTGGATCCATCTGCATTGTCGCCACCGCAACAACGGCTTCTCCAAGCGTGTAGTATGCAGCAAAGGAATATTTATCCTGATTTCCCTTCACAACTACGTCGTCAAATCCGTTCGGTGTGGCGCCACAATAGCGGAGCTGTGCACCGAGTGCAGACCAGAAAACGGGTATGAAGTGAACCGGCTTCTCAGATGTAGCAATGTGAAGTGCAGCTTGGCGTCCGGCGTTTTGCGCGACATTCCAGTGTTCTACGCGGACAGTTGTAGAGGAGTCGGATCCGGGGCCATGGTAAGGATAAGTTGCAATATCGCCTTCATGGCTATATTAGCATTGTTTATTCACTCTGGGACGATTGCTTGCCTACCAACAGCGTAGGCATCCTCAACACCCTTAATCTTGAAATACTCATCGACGAGGACACTTCCATCCTCCTCAAGCTTCACGCCACTGTTCTTTAGATACTCGGTTGCCGGCGCAACACCAATCCCCAAAATGACAAGATCGGCTTCAATCTTCTCGCCGCCCTTGAGGGCAATATACCCCACTTTACTAGAGTCTGATGATGAGGGAACTGCGGACTCGACACTGGCAGACATCTTGAATTTGACACCTGCTTCTTCGAGTTGACGCTGGAAAATTTTTCCAAGCTGCGCGCCCATTACACGTTCTAATGGGTATTCCTCCATGCCTATGACAGTCAGGTCGTGACCTTTTCCTACGAGACACTTGGATACTTCCATCCCTATGAAATTATTAATACTTGTTGAGACCTAGTTTGAACTCTCGCTCCCCCAGGTCCAAAAATGGGGTTACTTGCCAATAAAACCTGTTCCCACAACAACAACTTTCCGCCCTTTGTTCTCGCCAACAGCTTTATTGATAGCTTCTACATCACTCAATCCTCGCAAGGAAAATATGTTACCCAATTCTTTGAAGCCATCCATAGGCAAGTTCTTTGGTGTTCCTCCAGTCGCAAACAGAACTTTACCATAGCTCCACTCTCCACCATCTTTCGTGTGAAGTTTATGTGCCTTAAAGTCCACGCTGGCTACTTCAACACCAAGGTGAAAGTCGACTCCAGCCTCACTAAAGTGGGCCTGATCTCTCCATTCAACCTTCTTTGCATCTGAAATCAATGCCTTGCTAAGTTTCGTCCTATCGATTGGTAAATAAGCCTCTTTCGAAAGAACAGTAATGCGGCCCTTAAAGCCCTTTTCACGAAGACTTTCAATCGCCCCGATCGCGCCAGATCCGCCACCAACTATCAAGACACTTTCGGAGCCAGCAGTAGTCACTGGTTTACAGGCGATATCTGGCTTACGACGACCAGCCTTTATGAGGGCTTCAGTACCGGTGATATATACTGAGCCGTTCTTGACAGAAACAGGGAATGAGGCAAGGTGGTCGAGAGCTGGAGCATTTTCGATATCGCCTGTAGACGTATTGAAGCAGGCACCATGCCAGGGACAGGTTATACGGCCATCGCCGGCTATAACGCCTTTGATTAATGGAGCGCCATAATCTAAACTCGGTTAGTCTTGTAAGTGAGGATACGGAGGTGGTGAACCTACGGGTACACTTGGGGCCCAGAGCTCGTAGCTGGTTATTGACCTTAAGAAGCACAACCTTGGCTCCTTCGATCCCCTCAACCTCTGCCTCTTTCTTTTGGCCGTTCTTGAGTTCCTCGTTATCAACTTTAAGGCGATATTCCTGGACTGTAGCCATTGTTCTTGTTAAAATTGGGCCTTTTACAGAAATGGGTGAAGCAGCAATAGCGAGGCGACGTCCGAAGATTGGGAAGTGAGGAATGTTACGTGTGCTGTTCAAGAGCTGGCGTGTAATTTGCATGCGGAGAAGAGGAGTCATGAAAATTGGCTGTTTCTTGAACAAAGGAATGAGGGATTATATACTTACTTGATTCTTTCGAGTGGGGTAAAGATGGCATGATGGAAGAGCGAGTCCATGACGTCACTAAATGTTGGTATTGTTTAGGGTGATAGGTGGTCTACAGTCAGGTCTTGGGCCGGTCCCAATGATAGAGGGTTTCTTACTTGCACGAAGTCAAATAACGTACACTACTCGGTGTCTAAACTAATACTACCCATTCTACTTAACCTTTTCTAAGCTTTCGTAATTCATAATTCCTTGCTAATAAGCAGTACATAGCTGTAGGTAGCACCTAATACTCTACCTGAGTTAGTTGGTCTTTGCTATGACGTGTGACAAAGAGTAGGCTCGTACAGAGGTAACCAATCGGCAAGCTTCCGATTCAAAGCCGATTTTAGTGCGGCTCTTTGTGGGGTACTCCCGCTGCTAGTGTAGACAAGGATTATTACCGAGCGAAATACCCGCACTGAAATCTAGTTGCGCATGCCCCAACTGTATTCAATTTTGTTCGTGCTAAAGAACGTACATGTATGTATCTATGAACCCAAAGGGCTTGAAGAAAGTAGAATCTTACCATAAGGAAACTTTTCACTAAATGCGCACAACTCAATTCTCATATTTACCGAGTGATATTCTGTGATTAACGCCGTTTTCCAGCTTTCATGGTTTACTTTTTCTTTCTGTGACTGTCACAAACCATTCTTGGATAGAGAAATATACGACTGAAGAAGTGTACACATGATGCGTACAGTACTAAAAAGCGGGTGGGTTCAATATCTTATCTGGCAGAATGCCGCAAGACTGGGGTATACTATATATTGCTGTGGTATTGCTACGGTATATACATTATAATGGCTAAGATTCCGATTTGGCGGAGGGTTTATACAGTTCTGTATATTGCTACAGTACTTCCTATTATATATATTAAATCACCCTTTTTAGTACTATATCTAGTACAGGCATGCAATGTAAATGTATAATTAAAATCGAAGTTACAAATTTCCCAGATTATCTTAAGCTTTGCCCCGGGCCTGAATACATTACCAACAATAAGCACCGATCATCGTCCTTTAATATAATGTTTTAAGAGACTAAATAATTTAAGTTAAAGGTCACGTGTTTCTAATTGTGTAGTATATACACGTATTCTTTTCTTACCCTGCGTAAGGTTTCTAAATCTAAAACCTCAACACCTCCCATGGTCAGCAAACACTATATCACATGCGACTCAGTGCTGAACCGCTAGATACGCCATATATACATGTACGTATAAAAACCTTGAACCGCTGACTATAATTTGAACCATTAGCCTATGTGCCTACGTACACACCCTAGGCACCGATATCGCGAATTAAGTTGACCGGCCGGGTACGTGTACGGTACTGTACATCTTCTAAACGTCCGCGCTTTGGATTTAACACGATCTCTGGTGTCTAGACAATGCTATCGATAAAGATGAACTCATTATCCTAGCGCTGCTGCTGGTCTTTGTGACATCCACAAACACTTTTAAACCCAGGGCATGCGCAGTAGCTGATAAAATAACGTGACCTGCTTGCTCATGCAAAGACTGTACAAAGTGCAATTAGGTGACAAATCTCGGTTTCATTCATACCGGCTAACAAGCTGGAAGGTTATAATCTTGAGTATCTCGGGCTTCTTTAGCGGCGATGTAGTACTCTAGAAGGGACGTTAGGGAGATGTGGAACGGTCAAGCAGTTGTGCGAGTTGTTGGTGAACCAACGGCAGCAATTTGGCCTCTATGCAAAGATCCATATAGAACCGGGCGGACAATTCATGGCCATGGCAAATACTTACACCCTGGTTTCACCTGTCGGACTGCAGGCAGACAGATGCAGCACCTAATAACAAATAAAGTAGCCTCATCTCCAGTAGATACAAGGTAGGTAGGATCTAGATTATGATCCTCGAGTGTCTTACTGCAAGTAACCAAGTCACAAGTCATATTCCTACGAAATGTCGTCTCCCACTGGCACCTTTATATTTATTTGAACACCCACGAGCACAGTGTAGCGTTCAAGGTTCTGAGAGTAAAAGAACATTACTTCACGAAGATTGCGACCCCACTAACTTATACCTTCCTTGGTTTTATATTATAGTTAGATCATTTCCTCTAGATCTCACTCGGTCGGATACCGACTAAACCCAGCAACCCGTCTGGACCCCAGGAAATAGTTAAGCCTACAGTAACCTCTTCCAGGTAACGGCTATATACATATGTACGCGTTCAGCTACGGCTGACTCGATTTTTTACGGCCACCGGTTGCTCTCCCGAGCGGAGATGTTACCGGGGGAAAGAAAAGAAAAGTGCGATCTGATATCTGATATTTAGAAGTAGGTAAATCTGCTCTAGATTCACAAGGCCGCCAAACCGATATACAGCAAGAGTGCCATGTGCGTTCATCACCAGGTGCCGCACGCTCGGTTGATGTTGTTTCGGGTACACCCGCACGCCTTGAGAGCTACATACTGATTCTTGCAGAATCGCAAAGAGTCACAGATTAATTTGAAAGACCAGTTGCGCTGTCTAATGGGGGGAAAGAAGTGCGTTGGGCCTGATGGAGATCTGAAACATGACTCACGAATATAAAGTATCTGGTCCAGAGCTTAAATCATATGTCATAGATATGTCCGATATTATGTGTCTCTAACTGATGTCTATAACCCTAGTGGTGCGTATAGATAAATGATTTTGAGGCCTAATAATTCTATAGACATGCAATTGCAATTAATAGGCGCCCTTAAATCAATGATGAAGATTCCACGATTCCTGATAGATACACTGGCATGATTGGTACGGAATTCGGATAGACAAACTGGCGTGATTGGTACGGAATTCGGATAGACAAACGCCAGATTCAAATATTCTGGGACGCGCTATAGCCGAGAATATACGATGTTTTCTCTCATATTGTAAATGATGCATGGCGTTAAACTCGATCATGCAGCGCAGAACATCGATACGAGATGGAAATTGGTCCCAAAACGCCCATGTATGCGGGTAGATACTCGTGCATACATCCTCTTAAACTTAATGCAGGCAATGATTCGAGAACTTCTTTTGGATCCTTGTGACGTTTGGAATAAACGCCTCCACCTTCCGATCCTGCAAAACTTTGATAATTTGTCTGTTCTCGGTTTCTGGAGACGGGGCTACCGGACAAGGATGTAACCAATGCTGAGATATATGCACCCCCGCACCCCCGCACCAGCATTGAACAGAGAATCGAAAATCGTTGGTAAGCAGGAGGCAGTAATGTAATTCTGAATTCGGGAGAAACGGGGCCCGGTGGCGTTGTAGTCAATTTCTCGGCGCGGCGCTAGATAGAGCTCCTTTAAAAAAGAGTTTTGTTGCCTCTAAAGCTTGGGTTGTATTCTAGTGCTAGCTAGAACACCAGCCCCGGATCCATTTGAATTGGGTACTCCGGTTTTCACCAAAGTTCCACGATCACCAGTTCTCACTCCACCAGCAGTCCCCAACCGTCGTTCATCCTTCGAGCAGCAATCTTGGAAAGTGTAAGAACACGATACCGGGACCGTCAAGGACTCCCGTGAGACTCCGGTCGGCAAGCTGCGTGCATACACCACACACACAGAGAGACAAACTCGGGAGTTGATGTTTAGACAGCTTGAGATGCAACCGCTACGTTTCTGGCAGAAGAAGCAGCAGCAAGGGAATGAAGCTGTGAAGCTGCGACCGCCTATACTTCTGAAGTTCAGAAGCAGCAAGACTTTTATTATATGTGCAGTTGCTATGGCGATTTTCACTGTTCGTTTTTCCTTTCTTTTTTGCCTTTGATCACTTTAATTTCGGCCATTGAGCAACTGTTAATATGTAAATACTCTTATAGGATATTTTCCTTTACGGATTGGTAACATTACCTCGACCATAATGAGGCTCGCACAATGTCCAAGTCGAAAACTAATTGCGCTCCGTAACGTCATTAGGTTGTCCCTGTATTTCCTTTTGCTCTTGAATCGCGGGCAAATATTCATCCTGATGGTACAGTATATCAAGCGTTATATAGCAATGCCTAATAATGTTCGCTAATATTTGCATCCAGACGTGCAAACATGGGTTTCGGTTCTCTTGGCCGTCTATGGCGGGGGTCTTCTTGTCGCTTCTCGTAAGTAATTTAACTAAACTCCCCAAAACTGTCCAATTCTTACTATCATTTACCTCAAGCCATCTGTGGTTATTTGGCCGACCGCACAACAACACGGCGTGGACCTCTCCTTTGTGGTTTGGCAGCTCTTGCCGCTTCGACTATAATGCTATGTATTGGTAAAAGTATTGTCCTATTTATTCTCGGTCGATTGTTCCAGGGGATTTCTGCGGCAGTTGTGTGGGTGGTTGGGTTGGCTTTGCTGGTAGATACAGTTGGGAAGGACGAGATCGCAAGAAGTATGGGAATTGTAAGCGTTGCGTTGAGTGCTGCGACTTTCTTGGCGCCATTATTAGGCGGTGTAGTGTATGATCGGTAAGTTATTCATGGGGTGAATTGAATGGATGAATGCTGATATGTATATGGTAATTTCTTTTATAGAGGTGGATATTATGCTGGTATACCACCCCTTTGAAATTACTAATAAGAAACATGCTAACATTCGATCACAATTCAGTTTTCGCAATGGCATTCGTACTTGTAATTCCGACCCGTGTGGCTAAAAGATTACTATTGGCTCTAACGATTGTTCTTAGATCGGTGTCGACATTCTCTGGCGCCTCGTCCTCATTGAGAAAAAAGTAGCAATGCTTTATGAAGAAACTGTACCACTCGGCGTAAATGAGCAAGCTGAGGTCTCGCAGTCTCCTAACGCGGTCAGCACTGATAAGGAAGAGAAAGAGGCAAAGCCCGATATTCGTGAGTTTACCTGTTAGCTCAACCAAAATGTAGTAGCTGTCAAAACAATCATTGATACTCAACAACAACACAACAGCCAACCATAAGGACACCAGAATAGCAGGTTTCACAACAACGAATAAGAAATCTTCAAAACTACCCGCTGTCATAACGCTCCTCCGTTATCCCCGCCTTCTTGCTGCCCTGTGGGCAGGCATGGCTGAAGCAACTCTTTTGACCTCTCTCGAAGCCTCTTTACCGCTCTATACACATGAGAACTTCCATTTCGGCTCGGTTGGCGCCGGATTGATATTCCTTGCTATCGTAGTCCCTGCTTTATTTGCGCCATTGGTTGGTACGTAAAGGGCCTCCTCTATTCTCAAACATCACTAATGAGCTGTAGGATGGGTGTGTGATAAGTACGGCCATCGATGGATCGTAACCATGGGTTTCGTTCTCTGTTGTCCCTTCTTCGTCTTGCTGAGACTACCGACCGATGATTCAACGGGTAGTATCGTATTGATGTGTGCTCTTCTAGCCCTACTGGGTGCATCCTTCATAATGATAACTCCACCAGTGATGGCTGAGATTACATTCATCCTTCAGGGGCTGGAGGAAAAGAAACCAGGCAGATTTGGAAGTAACGGGGCCTATGCGCAAGGTGTAAGTCACTTAATTCTTTGTAATGTTGATGATATTGCGATATTGGGGTTGATACTAAGTTCAATAGTATGGCTTGTATAACGTGGCCTGGAGCGCTGGAACTTTGGTTGGCCCACTGTGGGGTAAGTCCATGCCATGTTACTGGTAACACACGTATTTAATAGTAACGATTTGCTGATCACCCGTGTGTAACAGCCGGATTTGTAAAAGACGCGGCTGGATGGGGTACTATGACTTGGTCGCTAGGTGTGATGATTGATCCCTACATGATAGTTGGACTACATGTACATACTCTACTTAGAGTACATGTATTTACTAGTGCACAATTACTAACGTTGATCTGATATCACTCATTAGGCCTGCTGAGTTTTGTGACAGCCTTCCCAACTGTCTGTGCACCTTCTCTCCCCCTCTCTCCTCCAGTTAAATACATACCTAATGTAGCTACCTATGAGCTAACACGATCAACCGCACACAGGCCTACTATACCAGCGGGAAGCTCAACTTCCGGACAGATTTTAGGATCGCAAAAAAGAAGCAATCGGCCCAGGCAGACGGTTCTGGTAGTGATTCGCCGGTCAGAATTGATACGGTGTGAGATCTCAGCTCCAAATGTTCCTCGGCCTTAGTATACGAATTGAGATTCCCCGTGCCCTTCGCGTATTCGCTTCGCTGATTCGAGGAGCATATGAAAGCCATCCACCCTGTTGCATGCGCATGCGCAGTACTACAGTCGCAACTCGATATGCCGGAACTCAATACACCGGATCCCTTGCTGTCCCGTACGAGATCCTCTGAGAATATGATTTTTCCTACTGCAAAATCAATTTGCTATCCCGGATTTTTTGCTATCCCGTACGAAATCCTTAGAATCTTGGCAATCCGGCATATCGAGTTGCAACTGTAGTACATGTTTGTATAGAATAAAATATAACGGATTCAGTAGACCCTTTCTGCCAAAAAAAAAGTGATCGTCGAGGAAAATATAGACCGTTAAAAGTACAGAGAAAAGGCCCCAAGCTGCCTCTCTCCCTCTCACTTTTTTTTTTTTTTTTTTTTAGATCTTTTTTTCTGCTGTGGCAGAATTCGAAATCAGTATTGCCAAGTACCTACAATCTCGATCGAAGCCTAGTAGTACTCCAGGAGTCTAACCGTCCTAGGGTTTAGACAAAATATATGTTGTAAGTACGTGTAGTAGACATAAGTGCCGAATGTTTATATGCAGAGTAAACATCGTAAAATGGACGTTACTGAGGTTTCGTGTATATTGTTCTACATGGATGATGCATGGGCGTAGAGCTAGAGTTTTCATACTACATGTAGTAGAGTAGTGGCTCCATGGTATTTGTAGGGCACGAGCCAGGAACCTCCCAGTGATTATTGCGGCTGAAAAGCCATGACGCCATGGAGATCCTCCCGCGCCCTTGACAAGCATATCTAACCCCCTTGGGGGTCAATAGCGAAGATTAGAGTTAAACGAACATCGATCCGAGGGTAGACTCTAGAGCACGAGGTTAAGAGCCTTGAAACCCTAGGCCTGTCTTTTTTACATTCCAATTGGCCCGTAGAGTATGTAAATTGGCATCCTACACATACATGATAAGAACCGAGTCAATTTGGTTCACCTTGTACCAGCCATTTTAAGAAAGGTATGTGTATTGTGGAACGTACATACATAGATTGAATGATGTGTCTAGAAGACACCTTATTGCACACCCACTCGATCTAATTTTCCCTGAAGGGGATTACCGATGTTTCTATCAAACGTCATCAACTCATAAGTCAGACTGCAGAACCGTCACTAGAATAATACCACCACTCTCGAACTCTTCTTCTTCTGTACTCTATGTACAACCATGATCATCACGTCTCACATCCCATTCTAAGGAATGTTAAGAGCTAATTCCCCTCCTCTTCCCTCCTGTCTGTCTCCCCCCTCCCCCGGGATTTGCGGCACTGCGGCCTCGTGTTGTTGTCCATTGCTTGTCGCTTCCACTGCCCTACTTGGCGTTGGTGCCCCTGGGAATCCGATCGGTTGTCAGGGTGTAGCACGGGATTGATGCTGCAACCAGGTACCCTGAGCTACGATCTCTCTCCTCGGGGCTGTGTTTGCCGGCAGGTGCTGACACGGAAGCAACACAGAAGAGCTACATGCAGTCCTGGGCTCCGACTGGATGATAGCACCATGTTCTCTTGTTGTTTATGGGATGACGGTGGGTATGTATGTACTTAGTCTCGTACCCATCCCCTACTTAGCAGCAAGCTGCTCACCAGTTGGAAGTAGACGGGTTGGGGACGAGCCTAGTATGTACTATACATACCGACATACCTATCACCTGTGGTACCGCAAAATCTCAGGAATAACGAATCGAACTGGACTGGAATATTGGCCTTCGGATTGGTCAAATGCTTGTTGAGCCTCAATCCCACAGACCCAAAGCGTAACTTTTGGTCATCTTGACCAATGGGTAAGTGGTATTCCAGCCCAGTCCGATTCGTTATTCCTGAGATTCTGCGGTATTTGGTAGGTATTTCCATGGAGAAGAGTTGTGGCGCCTGTAGCGTCTATTCGTGCTGCATGCATGCCCGTACCTGGTACATAGAGGAGAGCAGGATACCTCTAGAACAGTCTTCCAAGCTGGGATACCTCTCCTGGATTACTACTCTACCGCCCAGCTTATTCGGCGGGGAATACTTCCAGGGCCCAGGATAACGATGCAAGTCTGTAACACGGGTTACTCTGTTGTCTAGCTTCCCAATACTATTGGACGGTATACAAACTTCGAAAGACAATGTGAAGGGTAGCGTTTAACTATTTATACATACATATGGTCCCACCGCCTCCCCTTCACTTTGGTATTTAATTCTTTCGTATAGCACAGCATTTCATTGTTTTGTCGGTGTTTTTCATATCAATATAATTTTTCATTTATTTTTATTTTTACCTATCTACTTATCCTAATTGCCTTCCTAGCTAGACTTCTCCAACTCAACTTTTTCTACCTTGATCCAATCAGTTCGCTCCACCTACGGCTACAATGAATCCCCAGTTTCCGTCCGCTCAATTCCTCTGGATAATATTAAGCACCCTAACCATCATCCCCTTCACCGCCGCGGTTTGCGAATGCGGTTACGTCCTCACGACAACTAACCAGTACTTTACCCACACATTCACCAACAACTTCACTGCCCTCCCCGACACTACTACCGAAACTAATCTCACCCGCTCCCTCCCCGACTGGGAAATCCAAGAATACAAGTTCCCAGCCGATAATAAGACCGGTATACTGGGCCGCCAGAATGCCATGAGCTCTGTATGGGTCAAGGACGGCTTGCTACATTTGCTGCAGAAAGGATATGAGGCCAATGACACTGGGCCGGTGCAGGTTGCGGAGATGCAAAGTATAAACCAAGACTTTTTTCATGGAAGTTTCAGGGCGAGGTATAGGGTTGTGCAGGTAAAAGGAGCGACTGGGGGATCGGTGGCAGGGTTCTTTCTATATTATGTGAGCTATTGTACTACTATCTTGACAGAATTATAGATTTATTAACATGATATGTTACGCAGGATGATGAGAACGAAACCGATATTGAAGTTCTTACTAAAGACGGAGACCGCGCAATTCACTACACAAATCACCCAGGTATGTGCTCTCCACCTTTGGCCTTTGACCTGGATAGTAATTCATACTGACTCTCGTTGCAGCATATGAAGTCGCAACCGACACATTAGTTCCAGGCGCTGCCTTCACACACCAACTCACCCGCCCATGGAATGAGTTCCACGAACACCGCTTCGACTGGTCTGAGGGCCTCTCCGCTTTTTACGTCAACAACGTAAACGTACTCAATATCACAAAGAACGTCCCCACTCACGAAGGAAAATTAATACTCAACGTCTGGGCCAACAATGGCAGTTGGTCCGGCCCCCCATCCTCAAATGATGTATACATGGATGTGGAATATATTATCATGTATTATAATACCACTGACTCGGCGGCCGGCAACGACGAAGCCTTTAATCGGGCCTGTGAGTTCGCAGGCGGCAACGAGCAGCGGGGCACAGTGTGCTATGTGACGGATCAAGCGGGTAACAGTAGCGTGGATTCTGTGATGAGTTTGGATGCACCTGTAGAAGATGCGGCGGTAAGAGTAGGAGGGATTCAGATGACAACATTACTAGGTGTAGTAGCGGCTGTTGTGGTGGTAGTAGGGATCTTGTAGGCGCAGTATTTATATCAAAAGTTTTGCGGGTTTGTATTTTTGCAATTGGGGGTTCGTATTTTTTTTGGGGAGGCTTATTTAGTTGAATTTTTCGTTTGGGTAAATGTTTTTAATGGCTTCTCAGCCTGGCCTGGCCTGGCCCGGGTCTGTTTTCTTTTGTCAATGATCAACTTCTATCCTTAAGAGTTGTCATATGATGTGGTACTGATGTAAGTATAATTTTACTAACTCTTGATCAACGAACTACAATACCTGTATCCATCCTTTCAATTGGATATGGTGTATCTTCTGTGTTCTAGGCTCAGTTTGTTCTAGAGCACAATCTGGTATACATAAATAAATCAATAAACTAACCAGTTGTTGATCTGGTATTAATCGCCAGCTTAGCCGTATGAAACAGTGCCCCGGGCGGCCCCTGACGATCACGCTAGCGTCTCACATGTCAGCGGCCCGTCTTAAATCATTGACATCCACCACCACCACGCCAAATATCACAATGTGAAATAAATAAAATACGACAGCTCACCTGCAGGCGTCCCTCGGTGAGACCTTTTATCTATCAATGAATTTTAGTATGAGGCTCGATCAGTAGAGACGGGTCGTACCCGTTTGGATCACATACGAGATGGTGTTGGGAAAAGAAACGTGTTTGAATAATATTGAGTCATGGGGTATCACTCACTTTGACTTAAGACGGATATTTCCGTTTTAGCGCTAGTGGCGCGAGCCCTGGGGAATTCCCTAGTACTTGTTGTAGGAGAGTTAAACCTGTACTTGAGTGTCTCATGTAAACATTTTCCCGCCGAGATGGTAGAAACTAAATTTTGTGTCGAGGTACACCAAGGTTGGAGTACGTACCTGTGGACGTTTTCGAACGCTAACCACCATGAACGAACATGCAAGGTATCGGCGAGACTATCTTAAGCGTGAAGTGGGATCGACTCCAAAGGTGGATCATGGGTTGATGAACAGAACCCCGAAGATACATGTATTTGTATATGTTCATAAAACTAAGCTAGAAACGGTAGCGTTTCGATCCAAAATTTGGATATGATCTTAATTGGACGTTCAACATGAACAGGTACCGAAGGCCGGGTTACGAATTAATATAATACCCTATGTGCGTACCTGACGAGTGATATCTTATGACATCAAGGTGCGTGATATCGATCCTGCTGGCCATGGCCGGGGCGAGGCGTTCCTCGCGCCACCCAAAATCAAAATTTAAACGATATATAGGCCCATGTGTATATATACCATGGGGCGCATGCAATAGAAGAACATTATAAGAGGAAACTTTAGCCGTCACAGAAAGCGCTCTGAAAATCTACTAACGTACGCGTATATGAGATGACTTGAATCTGGGCTTACTAATATAACCATCCCCACAACAGAAACCTCCTTCGTTTGCTTGCGACGACATCTATTCGGGGGAACTCAGGCTCCACAGGTCTTGCTGCGAAAAAGGCTGACAAAACGTATGGTAAGAAAATGACTGAATTTGAGATTGCTATGCGTCTCCGTCCACCAGCACCGATGGGCAGCGGATGGATCAATCCTTGACTAGGATAACACCTTCGTACTGTGGACCAGGTCACAATTACCAGCAAGCCTTACCAGATAATTTCAGGGCTTCATCAAAGATGGTTCAACCTCTTGAGATCGGAGTTGGCGTGCGCGGGTTTCTGCGGGATGTTATATTATGTATCCGCCGAATTCCCATATCATGATTCATGAAATCATGACTATGTATGTCGATACTGAGTTGTCAATATATATATACTCATCATAAGTCGGCTTCCGGACAGATCTATCGGCAACGTTGATTTGTATGGAGCTGTCGAAACGGGGCTATTGCAATTGGCTTTTTAGCAGACCTCTCGGCCGTGAACAGGATTGTGTTGCTTCCTTGCCGATGACGTGACGGCATTGGATAATATGAGTTCACAGGCAACAACCAACCGTAGACAAGCAAGTACATGTGGAGTATATGCGCGAGTGCAATTGTATGATGCGCCGGCCGGTAAGACACAGCTGTGCAGTCAATTGCCACTGAACGAAAAACAATTCGCGCTTATCGTCACTACAATGACCCCCGCAATAAAGTGTACTTTTGAACGCATAATAATTTTGAGGATCATGTTTATTGTAGGGATACTGGATAAATGGGCCAAGATAACGAGTTATTATAATATTCGAATATGCGCAGTTGATAATGGTTGTCTCTATGTCACATTGCGGACGTCAGAATTCGAGAAGAATTTTCTTTCCCTAATATGAATCTCATCACTCCGACAGGCCGAGTTTGCGGCAAACCTGGATTGAGGGTTCTGACCTTCAATTAGAGTAAACAGCCCCGAATAGTTACGTACAGCTGGATAGATCTATAGAGCCGCCTGCAGATGAAACTTCAGTCTCAAGCCACGCTGATCGCAACTCCAGCAAAAAATGAAGCTGGCAACAAAGGTGGTTGCAATTTCCTTACATGGCCCCTAGTACGTACTTACTCTAGCAATCGGGCTCTTTCGGTGGTGGCCGGTCTTCGCCAGATATATGGAACAAGTATATAAAGTGGAGGGCATCAACACATCCTTCTGATTGTCGTGGTCTTCTTCTCGTCCGGCAATGAAGTATGCTCCGTCGGAATTTCGAATAAGGCCGGTAGGGCCTATCAAATTTTATATAACATAGTATTATTAAGGCCATTCATTTAAGATTGGATAGCGTTCCACAATTGTGTCAGCGCATGTGCCTTGAGAACAGTCCTTACAGGAAAGATCTGCGTAAAATCCCATACGGGACTGATCCCCAGACGGCACTCAGTTGAAAAAGCTGGGCTTTGCTTGATGTATATTAAATTTACATGTAGCAAACCGAAAGTTAAGTGATTTCGGGGCAACCCTAAGCAGAATCTAGAAAGCAAATCTCTTTGCATCTAGTGGGTACTCTAAGAATGAGGCTACATTACATATTTAAGCATAAGCGCTTCCGAGATCAGGTTTTATACATGTACTGATACTGATGAACCAGTCAAACCATGAGATGTTCGGTTGTCAAGTTTTGCTTTTCAAACCCGTTTCCCTGGAATCTGACGAAAATATGCGCACCATTCGTGGTTTCCTCCACTAAGAAACTGCACATCGTGAATCATGATAACAAGATGATAAGAGGACGGAAGGGGTCTCCATCTTCAGATCTTATATCTGTGAAGAACTCGCTCGCTTTATTTCAAGCTTTATCAATAACCCGCCACTAAGATCGAGGATATCCCCACGCGTATGCCGCCCTGATTAATGCCAAACTTAGATAGCGACGAAATCTAACCGGAATTCCAGCTAAGCACGTGGCGGTAGCACCCACTTTTTTTTTTTACCTGGAGACCCTCGCCCCCCAGCGAGTTAGGATTGGTGCATGTATCACTTTGCCAATCTATTTCTGTACGGGTAGTTAATTTGGCGGCGGGCTACCGTGCGCGAAATATCCGCAAAGCGTGCGGCCCGTACCCATAATAAATATACTCAAGAGTACATGTACATGTAGTTACATACATATGTACAGGAACACATCACATCCGGTAATATTATTGATCTTGGCGATGGTTTCTATGTTATTCATGGTTTGCAGATCGGGTCCCCCCTTCCCACCCAATAAGCTGCTGCGGCTGCTTTGCTATGGTGTACGTGTAGCTTTCTATAATCCCCATGAAGGACATATGGAAATGGTCTTTCGAAGTACAAGAGAGCAAAACAATGCATGTAGTACTAGAAGGGTTAAATTATAATGTGGGCTTTTGTAGTTGAAAAACTCCGTAAATTATATAAGGGACATATATATGCCTCGTAACTTATAATTACTTGTAGGTCATACAGTCATTTTGAATAATATAAGTACATGTATTATTAATACTACATGTACAATTAAGATTGTATGCCACATGCAGGGGTTGCAGCGCCTGCCTGGTCTGGTGGAATTGATTCCCTTAAACGTGAATACATGTAGTTTTGAGCACATAGTACATAGACCAACTAAATAGATGAGAAATGTTTTGAGCCTGGCGGGGCGAGCTAATGAGAGTTCGTAAGCGGGTTTCATTTCGATCAATTAGAAATGAGGCAGTTCGTGTCATAGATAATCACTCGGCCTACATCTGCATCTGTGTACTGCCTCAAGGCCAATTATAATAGCAGGTTACAGTTGCAAGAAAATGGGATGGGTTTACCTGTTCTATCATAATCATAAAGATCAAGGATCACAATATTCAAAAAAAAAAAAAGGAAAGAAAAACGTGATATTAATTACTTATTATACTATAACAATGCGATGAATATACTCTACAATTACTTTACCTATCACGACCGCGGTCCCGTCTTGGGCTTCGACTTCTGTCTTGTGAATACCTACGACTAGACCCTCTTTCTCGGTCTCTATCCCTACCACTACGTCGATCGCGGCTTCTACTTCTCTCCGAGTATTTACGTCTATAATGATCTTTGCTCCTATCTCTGTTACGACCCTTGTATCTGTCACCACTCTTGTCGTCTGTTTTTTTTGAGTACTCATGTTTCCGGATATCTTGTTCATCAAAGACAAAACCGGAGCTCCCGCCGCTCCCGCTATGGGTACGATGCCCATGACCACCCTCCTTATACTGCCGTCGTTTCTCCAAGTGGTTGGAACCACCAAAACCACGTGTTTCGGCTGCGTTTCGGCGTTTCGCATTCGTCGCTGTTCGCCAGGTGTCTGATAGCTTCGAGACCTACAAGACAGATGCATTAATACTCGGAATATCAAATCGAAAACAAGAAGATGAGGATTTCCAGGCCTGGATATGTTCAAGAGATAGAGATGGCGGGTTGGGTAAGGGGGACTTACGCTCTGCGAGAAATCAACGTGAATTCTATGATCGTCAATCAATACCCCCTGCATTTTGAAATAGGCCTGTTCACAAGACTTCTGGTCCTCGAACTCAATAAATGCGTATTGCAAGCTGTCGCCCGTTCTTTTGTCGCGAATGACCTCACACGAGAGGATATTACCAAAGCGGCTAAAGATTAGATGCAAATCCTCGTCTATCCCCAGGGGTCTGTTAGTCACCTAGTTAGAGGCATGTAGGATAGATAATAACTCAGGTACCTTGGGTCACGGGATTAAGTTTGCAGACGAACAAAACGTTTTCAGGCGGTTTGACATCCGCAAATGGAAGATCTCCCACCATCTCCAATGTCAACGCCTGTGCTCTAGCTTCCCGCTCTCGCCTTTTCCGTTCTGCCTCTTCTGGATTCTCATCCTCGTTAATATCCTCATCTTCCCCGATCCTGACTGTCGCAAGCTGAGCCTTTGTTGGAACCGGGTCTTCAGTAGGTTCTACAAGTCCTGGAGGATCCTTAAATGGATCTTCTAATATAATAGTATGTCGTATTCTAATATCCTTCAGTGGCCTTCCCTTATCGTCGCAAAATGCATTGTTTATTTTCTCCAGCGCATCGAATCCTTCTACTACCTTCCCAAATATAGCCGCCTTTCCGTCAAGAAAATCCAATTCATCTCCTGTAGTGATAATGAATTGGCTCCCACTCACTCTTTCGTCAGGGTTATTACCAGGTACAGTGGCCATGCTCACGGTACCACGTTCCGTATGCTTTAGTTTAGGGTGAAATTCGGCGGGGAAAAACCGCCTCGATGGCCCATTAAGCAGGCCCCATATTGAAGTACCTCCATCTGAATCGGCTGAGTCGGGCCCAATAGGGTCACCAGTTTGAAACGAAAAATTCTTTTGCACACTGTAAATAGGCGAAAAGTTATAGTATTTCATCTTGCATCTATCACCGAATACCCAGTTTTAGTTCTCAGCTCATGTATGGCATGTTCCCGGGGGGCAATCTGTCGATTGGTCGGCAGCTACAAAGTTGTGGGGTAGAGGCTGCTTACAGCTTCAGGAAATTTTCACACGCCTTCGGGGCCAAATCGATCAAAAGATCTATGACAATATCCCCTGTTTCGCCTAATTCCAGTAAAACTGACATGCTGGCAGGTAAAAATTGGGCTTGTAAAGCGAGAGGTACCGTAGGTATGGTGAAAAGGGAAGAGAGTGAGCTTAACGTGTGTATTACCTGTGTGAAGGAGAGAGTGAAAAGAGTGTGGCCAGCATCTGAGACTCGGAGTCAGGAGCTTGGCTCTTGAGATCATGTGATTTGCTTACTGTTGTAGTATAAATAATACAAAATAGGCTAGCTCATAATTACTATCAACCTACATGTACCACAACATACATCATGCATGTAGCTACAGGTACAAACACTGCTAGACATTGTATTAAAGTCTAAAAATGCACCCCAGAAAAACATGACATCGGTTTCTACAAACATTTTGTCTTTTACCCCATCAAAGAGAGCTCGAAACCTAGATCGACCTACAATATTACGGCCAAAGACTTATGAATAACAAAACTGATGCGGCCACAAAACATTAACGACCAGTACCTAGCTACGTTAAATTCACAGGCAGTGATTATTTATAATTTACGTTTTGTGATTGGGGGAACGTATTAATGGGAGGCTCGAGTAAAGGGTACGATATCGACGGAAAGATCGTGGTTGCAGGCATCCAATCAAGCTAGTGTTCTACATTTATAATTGTTACAGCCCCACATTTTGCGGAGACCGTCTATCCGCGATAAAACAGACCATATCAATCACTCAATCACTCGAACGCGTCTTTCAATTCTTAAACTCGATGTCATGTCAGGTGGTCTATGATCTAGATTAAGAATGATTTGAAGGCGGAATCGACCTCCAAAGACGATAACTAGATCCTTAATAAAATTGTACTTTCTGCCTACATGTAGGTAACATAGCTATTAAATTAAGTCGAAACAAGTGTTTGCCGACGGAATTGAAGAGAGAGTAGTTTTACGAAGTGACTAGTACGTGCATATTTAAGATTGACGCCACATAATCGGAGAAATCTCCAGTTGAATTAAATCGGCCACCAGTGGTAAACAATGCTCAGGCACCCCGGCTCCTTGATGTAACTACATGTACTTAGGGTAAATAATATGATCTATCCGGGTAAGGCGGGTTTAGTTCAGTAATGTCTCTGTTTATAATTATAATTTCCTGCTGATCTAATTAAGCACTACGGAATATTTTTTATGGGGAGGGGGGTTTTACTCGAGATTCTCGACGTTCGAGAAGATGCAACTTTCTTTGTCTATACAGCTGTGACAGACACTGCGTCTTGTTTGGTCGAGCCACAGCTACTCCCATGCTTATAATCATATACGATAGAGCTTTCTGGATATCTGGAGAAATATATGACCTGCCACTGAGCTAGTACGCATCTACCCGCAATTTGTGTATCATGTATGTTTGCTTATATGTGTGGTGGTGGTGGCCATGGAGGCAACGTACTAAACAGTCTACATGTCCAAATTACTACTAATGGCTACATGTACTTGCCTGGTGCGAGTTGCCGAAATAATGCGTTTGCAGGTCATGCGATCGAACCGTTCTTTGTGCCTGATATGTAGGGACAGCTGTCCGTCTTTTCATCTCCTAATATCATGTACTGTGGAGAAATTAGTCGATCCTACATCAATACCTTTCTAGGATCTGGCTTCAAGTTTTGTTATAATTCAACCATCATCCCTACATCGCCTTTAGCTTGTGCGCTTCTCTCACATCCTTACTCTTTCTTACATTCCCTACCTACTTATCTGAAGAACCCGCAGTGCGGGCGTAATCGAGTTCTACTACATCTAACCTTTCCGTCAATTAACTCACATACCCTCACCTCCCGACCCGTCGATACATCGGTCAATCCCCAATTGCCAATGACACGGCATGTGCCCAATCAATTGGGCTATCCCAGCGAGAGCTCAATGGAGCCGTATAGGCATCCGTCTAGGGGTCCTCCAGCCCCTACAGTTCATGAGCGGGCCTATTTAGTTTCTCGCCCAAACCCTCGAATAGATCCACATATACGACCACCACCACGAGCAAACTCTGCTCCACATGTTACCAGTAATGCCGCCAGTAGTCCTCGGCGGCGTATTCCAGTAGCTGTTTGTCTCTCTGATCCCCTCCCGCATTGAAACATCGTGCACATTCATACATGTTTGGAGATTTTCTCTCCTTTGTTTTCAGTAATATAACTGATTTTCCTGATAGTGTGGGCGATGTCGAAAACGGAAGATTCGATGCAGTGGAGATCCTGGAGACAATAGCGGGTGCCTAAACTGCAAGCAAGCTCAAGTTGAACAGGGGAAATGCACGTTTTTAAGAGTACAATGCGAAATGCGAGAGCTCGTCCCGGACCATATGCTCATAATAGATTACGAGCAGGTGTCTTCGGCCCCAGTCGACCTCCACCATCACCCTTACTCCACTTCCTCGTCTGCCTCATCATCAGCTTCTTCCCTGGCCATGGCCAGTGTACAGCATCATAATGCAACACCGTCTCAGATATATAACATGAGTGCTCATGCTCTTAGGGCCGGACATAGTGGCCCCAGTCACCATATGCATAATAGTGCAATGCCTCTTAGGTCTTTGTGTCACCAAGATCCGTTGGGTGGAAACGGTAGCGGCGGGGATAACACCAGTGGATTGCTCCTTTCAGGGAGATATGAGAATCTTGGAGGGGATATGACTGGGGGTTCAATCCACGGATCCAATAGTAATGTGATGACTGTTAGCAACGGGGATATGTATAATGGGACATATGCCCCTTACCTTCATCCTGATATTACGAGTAACATCCACGGCCAACAATGGGCCACCATGTCTGGAGGACGGAGCTCGAGTCTCTATTTAGATCAAGATCAGTCTTCCATGAACTACATTTCACCTAACCAATCCATGGGAAATTTCGGTGTAGTATTTCCAGCCCTCAGTTCCCTTTCTTCTTCTCTTCCCGATGGGGCATCTCCAAGGACTTCCGGGAGTGAAAAGGTCCAGCTTCCACTGCCGATTCGAACACAGGCTTCAGAAGTAATGGCCAATAATGCGGGAAACCTACGGCCTCCATCTACAGGGAACACTCTGGTAAACGATTCGACATCCTCCAACTATGAACGCCAGTCACTTCAGGCATCATATAGAGTATTCCCTAGTAGTTGGACTGGGGATACTTCCTTCTCGGCGGCTTCTCAGTCAGCTGGTATGGCTGGAAATCCTCCTACCGCCACAGGAATGCCCTCGCAGCCAACGCCCGCTTTACCTGTACCGTGTCAGATAAGCACGTATGGCGCCCACAACCCCCCAACATTCCCCCTATCGTCATCAAATAGTTCTTTGCTTCCGTCGTTGTCCCAACACAACCCGCTCATCTCGAGCTCTTCGGTAGATTCATTTCCTCAGGCTTTAGCACACCAGCAAAACCGGAAGAATCGTAGCAATTCCGAGTCGAGCAATAGTTCGAAAAGCATAACGCCAGCAGTAGCAATCCGAACAAATTCTACGCCAAGCTATACGCGATCGAGCGTAGGTGGGTGTCACCAATCCAATGATCAATTTGGGGAGGGCTATACAAATTCAGTCTAACATAGAGGAGTTGCTGTTCAAAGACACGAATTCTCACGGAGGACAATCGGTGCAACAGCATAGAGCTTCAGAATTCAATAAAGTTTACTAAATCTACGAGAACATAGGTTACGAGATGCAGATTCGCCTAAATTGGTTATTTTCTTTACATTTTTTTTTTCTTGCATCTTTATCCCATTATATACATCCAACATGGTCTCTTTCAAGTTTCATTTTTTTTGAGCAAGCTTATTTTCAAATCTCCCGACATGTGTTCGCTGGTTTTACCCCTTTCAATATTCTCTTTATTCCACCCTCGGTAGCCATTCATTGGTTCGTGGATTCGCTATGTTTGAATCATTTTGTGTCCAGTTTCATTTTTCGATCTTAAATTGTACACCCTGAAGGGTGAGATAGGAATGGGTCAAGGTGTTTAGGTTTCGTTGGTTTATGGATGTTTTCAGATTACAATTTTTAGTCACTTTGTGGTAGTGTGGTATCGATATATCGATAAAACTTTGTCGGGTGGAAAACCAGACTATAAAAAGAGGGAGTCGTTTTGAGAACTCAGGGGGATGTATACGGGCAGATTGATAAGGTTTAGTAACGATACAGGGAGCGACGCAAGTCAATTGGGGTAGGGTCTGATGCTTTCACTGTTATCGCTCCAAAGTAACTTTTATTCTCGTTTGGTTCATTTCATTTTTCTTTCTAAGGGTGTTAGGGGCTCGAACTTTCTTCCAAGATTTTTGTCTTAACAGAGGACAGTTATTTTCTCCCTTATTTTGCCTCCTAGTTTTCATTTGCTCTCACTATAGCCTTTATCTGTCCTTTACATGCCCTCATTTTCTTGTTGTCTTAGTATGAGGAGCCAGGAGCAAAAAATGCGAAACATTTTACCAGATATAGACAAAATGTAGGCATCTGGTTTTGGCTTACCAGCCAAGGCACAAATGATACATTCATTAGATTCGGCCTTTTAAGTTGAATTTTCCTGTTGTGCGACTAGTTTCATGATCAGGGTCTCAGAAACGGCGACCGCCTCGCTGATACACACATAACTACATCAAGTTTGACACTTTCTTCTCCCGTTTTCTAGATCTGATTATGCAAAGACGATCAATGTGAATCACTAAAAACCATTTTCGTGTTTGCTGTCTTGATCTGTACCACAGCTGCAGCCGAAAAGCTGCATGTCTTGATTCGGGATCGACTGAATTAAGGCCGAGTGATATTACATGATTTGGCCCTTTGTGTCACTTTCCTGGGTTGTATCTCACCGGTCAAATAATAACATCCGCAATATTAAAGAGAGCTTACCTTAATAACTTTTCAATAATCGATTTATTTTATGCATCGTACGTGTATATATACCAGCTAGCAGCTAGAATCGAGGACCGTTTAACTAAAAATATGTAAAGAGCGGCTGAATGCAGGTATCCCCGCTCAGAACTAAAGGAAAAGTAAGGTTGCTTGCCTTTGGGCGTACGTACTTGAAGATCTATCTTCAGACGGCGGGGAAAGACGGCAAATAATAAGGAGATGAAACCCGATCCTTCGCGAGGCAGTAGTTCCAAACAAACGTCTTTTCTTCTCCGGCGGATAGTAGGGAAGCGATATTGGTGTTGTGCTTTTTGAACCACTTCGCCGTTCTTTGTATTTTCTATTGTGATCTCATTCATCAATTCGTTTTTTAAAACTTAAAGTGCTGCATTAAGTTCTTATTTGGGGGGTTACAGAACTCCAGCTTCCGATACCTTTATCCCGCTACCAACCCCCCCGGGGGTGTTATTGTTTCACAGGCTTGTGTGAGCGCTTGCTCGACTGGGTGAACCAAAATTCGAGTGAATGGTGATTCAACGTACCCTGTTTTATTTGATTATCGACAATGGATGGGTGTTCATAATTCGATCAAGCCGTCCTTTCGTTATCTTAAGCCACAGGAAGTCTGAAGAAATCCCTCTTTCTTGTTTCGAGATTTATTCGCCGCGCCGCACAGCAAATAGACTGAATTAATTGCATATGTAATGAAACGGCACTTTAACGATCGCGAGTTCCACTATTATTAATTCTATTATATGATTTCTATTCACTATATATTCCGAATGGACCGGACCGGGGATAAGTCAAAGATGGATTGGGGGTGGAGACTGGATTGCGTACTCCGAGAGACAAATGTAGTCGATCTCATTAGAAGGCATGGCTGGATATAGCACAAGGTTGAATATGCACGTGTGCAAACCTCTCTTCTCCCCAGTGTTGCGAATTGGATATCATTCAATTGAGAAGACACAACTTGTCGAGTGAGCGTTGGCCGATGATCATATGCATGATCATAAACAATGCCTCTGGGACTTCATTACGTCTTTTCTACCACCCGGCCCCCGACTTGGTTTGCAAGTTAATTTGAAAATATAAATGTCCACTGGACCCCTTAACCTATAATTAATATATCATGTTAAACACAGCGAGTCTGGTATAGATGTTTCTCGCTCGTATATTGGGGAAGCGGACCAGAAGAGAACATTCCTCGACCGGTTTAGAGCGCTGATACATGCCACACGTGTACCGTGTAAAGTTCCCCGCTGCAGTATGTTTCCGTGCGCAGAAGAAAGCAGGGCGGTGGATCGCCCCCTGGACTGTTCCGGATCAGAGACTAAGATGTTTTCGCTACCACACGTAGGTAGGATTTTGAGTCGAACGATTGCATGTTTGAGGGTGGGTGCTGGCGTGATCGTAGTGATAACAGATCCTGCACGGCTTCCGAACAGAAGGCATTGTCGTAGCGCAGCAGCAGCGTGTTCATCCACTGATCTAATGTTGCGTGAACCCGGTCACTGCTGTTACGGTCCATCTCCGACCGGCGGTGTGAGTTACCAATTAATATGCAATATCGATATGTACCCACACAGAGACCAGGTTTATAAAGGAGTACGGGGCACAAATTTGGGAGATCTTTCGGTCATTTATAGCCATTAAGGGAGTGAAAAGATGTTACTGGTAAAAGCGGGGGGGGGGGGGGGGGGCTTTGTGTACAGCGTATATACGTATACGTACCAGGTCACTAAATAGATGATATATATGTGTACTTACCTATCGATATCTGCATCGTCACACATACAGGTCAACGACGTACAAACTTGTACGTGGGTGCAATTTGTTTGAAGCTAACCTTCTACAGCCCTGAAAATTTAATGCTATTGATTACTGCTTGATGACCGATGCCAGAGGAAGGTGTGGGTTTGGCCGGTCTTTTGCCACGGTCTTTAATTGAGGGGTTTAAATTTTTCGGTTGGTTTTACCTGCTGATATGATGACACGCCTAGTAGCGGGTGTGCTGGGTGCTTTCTGTAGACGCTATTCTAATCTTTCCCTTAACAGAATTTCATTTTGTTTTCTGTGGGCTGAAACTCGATTGGATGGTGTTATTAGTGTCGAGTGTAATTTGATATAGATGGTTGATCGATCCGTATCGCACCACGAGTGATCCTCTATGACCCAATTACACAGTTCCATTTTCGACGGTTTAAGTGCCAAAGGTTAGCCCCTGGCAAAGAGACGAATAGGGACCTATATTGAGGTGCAAATATGTCACAGCTACAGGTGCACGTTATCCAATATTCTGTTTGGTTGGGTTGCTGTGGGTCATGGAGTAATATTAGAATCTTGGGTATTGCAAGCGCATTAATCCTTTTATGGTGTTAAAGTATAAAGTGAGACATGATAATGATCAATATATATATGGACGGTAAGAAAATAAAAACAATAATAACAATATATTATCGTTGCCTCAGTGTCCGCTTTATATTAAGGAATGCTCGCGCGCGAGTCCTACATGTGCACACGAGAGCCTTCTTAACGCATCATTGAGTCGCATCTTGTAGATTGTAATGTTTAATATGTACATACGTACGGTTCATTCAGCTCTACGTACCCAATTATCTTAAATAATGTAATCTTCCACAAAGTGCAAATCAAGATAACTTAGGAGTAAGCAGAGGCTTTCATGTAAATTTGACCACCAGCTAACCCTTCAATATATATGGATTAATTCCATCAAGGTTCTAGACTTATGGCGTACCAGGTGCCGGCGCATAATTAAATCTCACGATCAGCGATAGACATGCAATGATTACTATTATGTTTTGATATACAGGTAGAAATTAAGTGTAGCTCGATCCCAGGGCTTATATAATTACCCCATGCACTTGACCAATCGGCGTACGCGTGACTATTATACTAGCTACATTTACATGTATGTAGTTACCTTTTATCTTCAAATTTAAACCCCTTGATCTTCCATCCCTAAAGCTAAATCTCGTGGGGATCTCATTCCCATACATGCATCTAGTTGAATATTTTATAATTACTCTTTATATTTATTGCTTGAATGACTAGAGTGTATATATGGCGTGCTCTAGATATATAGACCCACGCTTTATCTGATTGATTTTACTGACAGATTCTAAGATATATATATATACGTACAAAGGGTCAACTTTTCACTACAAAAAGTGATAACAAATCAAAACCAGCTGGTCTGTCCGTGGAGCGTAAGCTTCCTAGCAGGATTATGATTAGGAAGTTCTAAATTACTATAGATGTATTTCAGCAACGTCTCTTCTGCCGGTGCCGTTGTTGAGAAATATGATCATTGTATCACTTATCGACGGGCCGGGACCGGGCTCGGGGATGGAGATATATTATATAAAGCCCAAATTTGTTGGGTAGAGGGTAGAGGCATGAAGATACGAGACAGCTATACCTCCAGAGGCACCGCGAAGGGGGATTCAGTCGCCGTGACGGTCCAGTCGCCGCTTTTCTCGGCAACGACATTTTGACAAAGTGATTTACGAAGTTTTCTTCATATTGGTCAAAAACTAGCCTAATATATCATTGCCGAGAAAAACGGCGACTGAACCCTCCTCCGCGGTATTTGTTGAAATCATGTATTTTGTGGGGTTTTCATTGTACAATTGTATCAAAACCAAGAATTTTGGCCATCCGAACACTCAAATATCTAGCACGTTGCTTTTTTACATACCTTCTTATTCGGAATAAAAAAATACATGTACCTACATGTATGGTATTGATGTCCGTACGTACATGTACTTACGTCCGCGCGAACAGAGTCTTAAATTGTATTTAGCTTGATATATATACATGTAGACATTCTATGAGATAACCAGTGCCAAGACTGGTGTGTACGGGTAGCTAGGCTCACCCAAGTCAGGTTTAGCGTCATCTGTTTCCCCAGACCCTGTCAACTTCAACTTCTACAAATCTACGAACAACGCGCGCGTCTTCGCTCCAATCTCACCGGAAATACAACACCCCCACTAATCGCATCTGTCAAATATGCGCCTTCGGCTGGTTATAAACCGCAATTCTCTCCCCACCATGAAGATATGGTGGGACACATCCGCATTCCAGTCCGGCGATGACAGAAATATTTCCTCACTTCTTATCTGTGTATCCCAGATTGTTCCACTGGAGTTTTCAAAGTGGGGCCTCGAGGACTATGCTGTAGAGATTGGCGGATTTGAGTGTTTGCATTTTCAGGAGGTGGATAGTATCATTAGGGATGGCGATGAAGTTGTGTAAGTTTATCGATCCTGCGATCGTTAGCGTGCTAATGGCCCTTGAAAATGCAGGATACGACCACTCTCATCGCATGAGATCAAACAGCGACGACTCTCGGGTAGACGTCAAATCAGCATGTCAGGCCGGAAGCTAATCGACGGCACTCCTTTTGGTCGTACCTTTCTTCGGCCAGCGCCGGATCGACCAGCCCTAACAGCTCGGCCGGCCAAAAGGAGGAGAATTGAAGATGATTCAATTGCAGCTGAACTTGAGCCCGAAGACGATGAGAGCTATACTGAGGAAGATGAGGAAACGGAAACGGAGGATTCGAATTCAGAAAATGACGAAGAGGCCGTCAAGGAACGACAAATCATCCCAGCGAGGAGGAGTCTGATACAAAATAGGAAGTATCCGGATGAAAACGGAGCAATCTCTGCCAATATGGAGCAATATCATAACCCTTTGATGGACCTCTATTGTAAAGAAACAATCGACGCCGAAACAGAATTTAACAAGGAAGAGGAATTGAAGAGAACTAGCGAGGGAAGGAGCCCAAATTTTGAGGAAGAGAAAGGAAGCCCAACAAATGTGAAAAGATTGTCCGCTGCAGAAATCATAACCGCCGATGTTGACTCTTCTGACTCATCCGATGATGATGATTACGATCCTAGAGAATCTTCAGATTCCTCATCAGACGGGGATGATGAACACGAGGACGATCAGGACGAAGATGGGGACGTAGATGGGGACGAAAGCAGAATGGAAAGGGCCATGCCCATAGAGAAAAAGCCTACAACCCAAGAATTCAAGATTTCCGATATAATAGCCCCCTCAGAAGATGAATCCTCAGATAGTGATTTCGACCCACAGGCGGCTACTGCCGAAGTTCAAATCTCAGACGAGGTATACAGCAGCCCGGAGCCATCGTCGTCGTCGTCGTCGTCGTCGGAGGAGGAGGAGGAGGAGGAGGAGGAGGAGGAGGAGGAAGATAGGGCAGATCTCAAACCCAGAAAGTAAGCCCTCTAGGATCATTACCACAAGTTCAAACAACTAAAATGTTAGTAGAGCATTACCTAAATTACAAAAACAGGGGTCTTATGTTTGCTCCTCTAGTTCGTCCAGTTCGCCCAGTTCGTCTAGCTCGTCTAGCTCGTCCAGCTCCCCTGAACCACAGAAAAAAGTAGCCTCGCCTAGATCGTCGAGCTCGCCTAGTTCATCCAGTTCATCCAGCTCCCCAGAGCCGCCGCAGAAGCTGCCATGTCGCCCTAAAGGACCTCCCGTGGCATCAGGGACCCTCCCAAACGAAGGCAAGAAATCTACGAAGTTAAGAAACCAACGTAAAAAGATGCAAAGGTTAAAAGAGAAGGGTGTGGTCCCAGTCGATATGGATAATGAAGGGTATTTAGCCTGGGTTTCTGAAAAATCAGCCATTGGAGCAAAGCAAGTTATGCCTGAAAGAGACACTGAAAAATTAACTCGCAATGAGGTCTCTAACGGTGCCAACCGCCGCAAGCGATATAGAAAAATATACAACAAAGTAAGAAAGGCTGGAACTACTGATCTGAACTTTGATGAATGGTTCAATGAAAGGGAAAAGAGGCGCCTCATGGAATTAGAAAAGGGAACGGTCAATGGGAAGGACATCGATGGTGACACCACGATGGACCCTACAGACGACATACCAGTCGAGGAATCTTCTAAAGAAAGACACATCCCTGGCCGGCCTAGTGTGAACATCTCTGCTGCTCGGCGCATGCTCCATCATGATCTTGCTATCACAAAAAGCCAAGCTCTAGAGAAGGAAAACATGCGAAAGGAGTGGGTAGCTACACATAAAGGCGACACAGCCAACAAAAGGAAAGGCTTTGCAAGAGAACAGTTTGGGAAAAAGCCAAAAAAAATTATTTATGATGGAGATGGGAACCCCATTTCAGCTTCTATAGATACCGAAGAAATCGTGCAGGAGGAGGAAGACCCAGATGCGTGGAGGCAAAAGCTAGCACTCACTGCAGTAGAATGTGAGTGGGACAATGTGGTACTCCCTGAACCGAGTTATCCTTTCAAGCAACCTCGGTTCCCTCTGGGTGATGTTGTGGCAGGACAGAAGAGAAAAAGAGGTGGTGGGAAGAAAAAGAAACAACAACAGGATGAATACGGGGCGCGAAATGGCTATGGGCAAAGCGATGGTTATTATCAGCAGCAGCAGGATTACGATGATTGGAACAATCATGACTACTACGATGACACAACCTACCCAGCCGCCAAAGATACAACTATGGAGGATCCGGTTTTGGTAGACGACCTCCCACCTCTCCCAGCAGATTTATCCACTCTTCATCCACTCTCAAAGCCGGTTCTCCCGGGAACGGTGCTTGCCTTTAAACAGTTCACAATGGATAAAAACTACACGCCAATAATCGCTGACTACAAAACTGCCATTGTTGAAGAGGTTATTGATGAACCAGATGGTCCGTTGCTTGTGATGAGACTAGCAATTAGAGATCGTATGGAGAGAGAGGTGGATAAAACGACCGGCGAGAAGGTCTTGAGGAAGTTCGAGATGCCTGGGGATACCAGATCCGATGAGGGGAAGGAGGAGTTGATGTGGGGGGAGCTTATGCAGCCATTGTTGGTGAAGTTGCCCGAAGGTGCAAAGGCAAATTCCAATGATGAAAAAGTAAACGGAAACGACGCGAACGGAAATGGGGACAATGCTTCTCTGGATCGTGCGGACGGAGCTGCAGATGGAGACGACAATGGAACGGAGGAGGCAATGGATGATGCCCCAAATGCAGAACCAGACGAGGCGGAAAGGGGTGGTGAAGAACCCACCTCTGGACAAGGTAATGTCCAGAATGACGAAGAGCCAACCTCCGGGCAAGCAACTTACGAAACCACCACCGAAGCAGCGGGAAAAACTAGCCCCACTCTTTCCGAGAGAATTGCAGCAACTCTAGAAGCGGAAGAAGAAGAAGCTCTTCTAGAGGAACTCGCCGCAGATATGGCAGTGGTCACAGATGAACATGCAGCTTCCCAAGAAGAGGCGGTGGATACACAGCTGCCAGATGCCCAGGTCACAAACTCTCCGAAATACTCCTACTCCTTTCGTGAACTCAACACGCCTGAGCCAGAAGCACAGGTGGTCGACACTACAGCAGTAGCACCTGACACTCCTCCGTCCTTGGAGGCCCATAGCGCGCAGCAATCTGTCTACGATTCCGACGACTCTGACTGCCTTCCAAGTCTCGAACATATGCTTTCCCACTCACAGCGAGCATCAGTCAAGGTTGAAGCCTCAACTCAAGATGAACCGCAACTCCTACCATTGCCTGTGTTCTCCCCGTTCGGAATGAAAACAAGTTCACGGGAGGAGAAGTCATTGGATGAACAGCAGATTCAGCACGAGGTTGAGGGGGCCAAGGGAGTGAGCAATGGTCCAAAGAAGATTACCATCAAGAGTGGAGTTACTCAAAGTCAGGTACAGGTTATCGATCTAACAGCCACTAGCAGTGATGCAGAGGAGATTCAGAGAAAGAAGAGAAATAGGAGAGGGAAAAAAAAGACTGGAAATGATGCGTGGAGGGCCGTCAGGAGCTAGACGATTACTTCTATCTACTTTCAAATTTGTATCTTTATCCTTTTTCCTTCTCCTTTACTGGGGTTGTAAAGATATTGGCTACAAAACTATTATCTAGGGTATAATTACATGTAAATGCATATTGCAGGGCCTAAAGAATGTCTCTGACAGCCACCTTGCAATTCTTCGGAGCAAAACATTTTTTTGTTGAGGTTTGTCGTAATCACTGTACTTTCAAAAAAAAAAAAAAAAAAAGTCCATTTTGAACTTCTGAGACTAAATAAAGTGCACCGAACCGCACTTAAAACCCGCCCCACTCAACACAAAACGTTCTCACCTCGCCAGGTTTGTCCTTATTCTCGCCCCCCACCATCCACGCTTTCTTTACACCTGTCCCCAACCTTCCACCACCCACAACATCCCGCATCTCAATCTCCTCGTCCCATCCTAGTCCCGTCACAACAAAGTGAGAGTGAAACCGCAATGGGTCCCCCGGATATGCCATGAACTGACATCCGAACCGAAGCCCTGGAGAGAGGAAGTAGTTGTGCTCGTGAAGGTGTTTGTAAAGCGGGTACGAGGTCTCCGATGGCGCTGGCTCCAATACTCTAGCCTCTGAGGGCCCGGGCGGGGTGGGTAGAGCATGATAGAGAGCTTCGGAAGTGGCCGGAACAGGATAGTAGCGAAGTGTTGAAGATGGGGCGGGGTCTACAGCGTTTGAAGGCTTCGTTTTTGCAGTGTCTGTCTCAAACACAGTGGCTCTCACTTTGTCTTCCTCTCCATCTCCGATCTTTCCTTCCTCTCTAGTTTCTTCCTCCTCGCCATCGTTATCCTTCAAAGAAGCTGGCTTGGGGGTTCTGAAAGCTTTCCTTCGCTCTTCGGCCGCTTTTTGGAGGGCTTGCATCTCACGTATCGACTCTGCCTCGCGCGCTTCGAGGTATGCGGTCTTGTCGGCTTCGAGCATGGATTTGAGTCCCTGTGCGTGTGCTTGTATATCATTAACGATATAGCCAGCACCTTTCTCGACGAGCAGAGCAGCCTCTTCGGTCATAAGCTCAAGTGGAAGCCCGAGGAAAACATTTTGTTGGGGAATCTGAGGGAGGGTTCCAGTGAGACAGCCGCACATGCGGTGAGATGCTCGGACGTGGGAGACAACTGGGCTTGTAAGAGTGTTGGATTAGTTTTCTTGAATCTCAAAGGCCAAATATCTGGATTTCTTTCTGCCTAGAGCGCTCCCACCCGAAAACGAAGACCACGGGGATCCAGAGATTTTACGTACCGTTAGCATCGTACAAGAAATAACGACTCTTGACAAGGTAGATTGGAAATGGCTCCACCACGCCCCACTGAGATGCCATTCTTCGGGTTTTGTTTCACTAAAGTTTCTGAAGGCCGTGGTTAGTAAGAAAGAAAGAAAGAAAGAAACATAAGGTGACTGTAATTAACACGGGAGCTTTACCAATTTCAAATTGCGGTGGACGTTCAATACATGTCGTTGACCTGGGACGTTGTTGATCCCATACAAAATGCGTCACACAGCATTTCATGCGCGCCAAGCCGCTTATGCCCATCGATTCTGCAACTTAAAGTTAACGTACCAGTAGAATCGACAGGAACGGCATTGATCTATCGCACTACAGCAATTGAAGAAAACAATGTCAAAGGCCTCAAAGACAACTCTCGCTGTTACCACTGCCCTTTGCGGAGGTGTCGTTTGGTTCGTACATTATTTTCAACGTGCTGAGAAAGAAGTACGTCTGCATCCCATTCGACCCATATTTTATACACTAAGCTGATAGAAATTGGGGGAGTAAAGTTGATGCATGCAGGTGTCATTCGTGACGAGGAGCGGTCGAGAATCAAGAGAGAGCGTCAATTAGATTTTGACATGCAGAAGGAGCTTGAGAAGGAATTCAAGAAGAGTCAGAGTGTTTCGCCGGTAAATACCACTGCGGGCGCAGAAGGCGGTGGAGATAATACCAAAGGATAGCGAAGACGCAAAGAGAACTTGAAAAGACTCGAGGTACCTTAAATTAGACTGGAATGGGCTGCAAACTTTGCTATGTAAATAATGGCGCTCTTTTCTATCTGATATCCGTAAAGGATGTAGAAACATTCTCCAATACTACATGTACTTATTATATTATCACTGTGGGACGTTTTTTTTCCTTTCTTTTTTACCTCGGAAACACTATATATCATTAAGAAATTCATTATCACAGCACCCCAAACTAGGCCTTTAACCTTTGATAAGGGCCTTTTTAATTCTAGGCTAGACCCATGGAGCAAAATTGAAGATCCAGGTTGTCAATTGGAAGGATATATATTGAATTTTCACATGGCCATCTCAGTTAACCCTGAATTTATAACTAGCAACAGTAGAAACATAAAAGGCTTAATTGATGCTGACGACTCGAGCTCTGGAAATCAAAGTAAACTGAGGTTGCATATGTGCTCGAGCTTGAGCCTACGCACACTCCTTCACATCCTTCCAATAGCCACTAAACTACATGTACATGTACAATGTACACAGTATGGATCATATGTGCACGTGTACATAAATGTGCGTATATGTATTGACTACCAAAATGAGATGGATATAAGGCTTACGTACGCACATACGAGTCACCGTATCTTCCTTTGCATACAATAAATGAATTAACAATAACAACATCACCGTACCTTTCTCATAGGAACTTTCCCGCGCCAAATCTGATATATATTTCGCCCTCAAAAAACAATAAAGTCAAATAAAATCTGTGGGCAACCACCAGGACTATAGTACTACGGATTTTATTTGACTGTTTCTCTATTTTCACCTTTTGGAGGAGCACGAACACGTACATGTAGCTAATAAACCTAGTTTTACAGATCAATTGTCACCTACCAAAGACCAGAGCAAGTCATAAGATGACCTTGAGTGGTATTCAAATTAGTGTGATAACTACATTTAGTGAAAGATCCTAGGCCTGTATATTGTACATCTAAGTACTTGTATGTATTTACAATTGACTGGCACACTATTTAAGTTTAGTTTAGTACTCAATCCCAGTTAACTAATAACTTTCAAATTTCCATAAATTACATGTAGGTATAGACGCGATACTATATACGATGTAATACAGACTTAAACTAGCTATAGTCCGAAGATATCTTGAGAGAAGAGACGCTGTTGAAGACTACATATATATAGGCTAATATATGTGTTTATAGGATACAAGTGGTTTCCGGCCTTCGGCCGGTACTACATGTATATCAATCAGTCCAATATACAGGCAAGCCGCTTTGCGGCTTATTTTCTCTATTTGCCTATCAGTTGGGACTCTCAGGCCGCTGCGCGGCCCTCGACCCCTCCTGACAGGCAAAGTCCATCACTATATCTGCTTGGTCGATATGTGCCTTTTCTGATATCCTCCATATATCAGTGGACAGGTCAGACAATTTCTCCAGTTCAAGCTGCAATTATATCCCTTTAGCAGCCACCAAACCGCTAAAATCGAACTATTAATCGATTCCCAAAACAGTAGAAAACCTATTAACAATCTAACATCACTCAGCATAATACTCTATGTTCATATCCAACACAACATGTTTCAAGTGAAACAAAACCTCTCTCTATGAGCCAATCAGAAGCTTTTAAATGCACATGCATATGCAGGTTATAATTATATACTTATTAGATATGCCTAGACAACGGTGCCGCAAATGTTCCTCTCATGGTCTGGGCGCAGATAGGTACACGGAAATTCTCTATATACTTAATAAAACATATTATTGACTAGGCGGATAATAAACAAAGAAACTAATGCTGGTTAATCTTGTGAAATACCAATAACTTACTATATTTTCAGGTTTTTATTAATTTTGCGAAAAACAAATTTTGATGGATGAATTTCCGTCACAAGTTATCACTCGGATAGAGTGTGAAAGTTGTGAAAGCCGATACGACGAGCAGCTCGATCGAGCCGATACTAAACTCGATCACACTATTTTTGTCGACGTCAGCTTTGGATTACTAACTTAAACCTTAGCTCTAGCTCTAGCAATACCCAGCTCGGTTTATATTTAACAGCTCGATAACAAAGCTTCTAGTAAACTCGGAACACTACATTCAATACTCAGCCAAAGTCTCATTCGAGACAAACAACACTTCAATTACCTCCTTGATTAGTATGATTATTATTTAACTTTAACCTTGCATCTCCGACCATTGACACCGGCCGGAACCATATTACGAGTTCACGGCGCTAAGGGCTCAAGTTCTACAATCTTTGGTTTTAGGAGGCCGGGTCCGTTTGACCTTATGATACGTCCCGACTTGCATGAGTGTTTTCATATAGCAATACAGCTTTTTGTTTAATTCATCATCGTGTACTCGCATATCAAGTATGTTTTTGCGCAACCAGCAAAACATATAGAATCTCGAGAGCTTTCCCATCTCCCCTGAAATTATGCATCTTTTATCTAGACACCTGAAAGACTCTACAGGCCACTTTTAGACCATATCCATAAAGAATGAGGCGAAGGGTGTCTTAAAAGTCCTTTTATTGCTTTCCTCTCCACCTTTACCAGTATCTCAATTAGGCCAAGAATTTGAAGCATGAATCTCCATTATCGAAATTATGCTATACTTGGTCGTTGTAGTTTTGGTATAACTATGGGACTTTTTATGAGTTGTTGAAAACCTCGATTTTTGGTGTGTTTTGCTGGTTGGGCAAACACATAGTTGACAAGCGAGTATGCGATGTAGAAATAGCGAATTTACTAGTAAGTGCTAACGGTATTTTATCAAGGGATGAGTTGGCGAGAGAGTCGTGTGGGTAGGCACGAGGGATTCTTGCGGTCTAGCTTTTATGAAGAGCTAGAGACCTGGACAGGCTTGAATCATGGTATATCGCTCGACACCCCTAGGCTTGGCAAACGTCGAGCAAAAGTCCTGCGGCTTGCCAAGGATTTGGTACGAGCCAGTTAGAACCTATTATCGAAAAATCGAGCTAATTAATCTGTTTACACTGCAGATA